ACATATTAGTATTTAGTATTTACTACAACTCTTCTATAACTTGAAAAAACTATAATTAAAACTTAAAACATATTATTTATAATATTTTGGTTTTATTTTTTTCGAAAATTAAAAAATAAATATTTTATTGATTTTATAAAATGACAAGTCAAAAAGTGTGTCTAACTCACAAGTGAATACTCTGCAGGAAAGAAATTTGCCTACTGTATCTAAGTGTATATTCTCATACACAAACTTGGTTTCATTTCAAACTAGACTGAATTGGATATGAAACAAAGGTAATTCTATTCTATTAGTTATATAGAGTTTATTTAATAATAAGATTTGTGTTTTTATTTATAAGAACAGGCTTATTATAATAACTTAGAATTATTTACTTATATTCTACTATTTCTCTCTTACTCTATCCACTCTCACACTATCTCACACTATCTCTATGTTTCTAGTATGCTAGTACTCATATATGGTATATTTCTTCCTATCCTAAGGTTTGAGTTGTTGAGTTTGTTTAATAATCTTTCTCTTTATTTAGTTATAAGTATTCTACTATTTTACATTAATACTAATCAAACTCTTTCTCCTTTACTTCAGGCTCACATTCCTTCTCTTCCTGTTATCATAATCATACTGCTTTTAATACTTTATTCTATCTATCATAAAGGATAGACACATGTTTTTTTAAATAATAGTAGTAGTTTTACTACTAATACTTATTGTAACTATAGTTTTTAAGTTATAAAAATAATAACTTAATATAAATTAAAGTAATTAAGTTTATGTTAGAATTTTCAGTAAATATATACTTCTAGTGTACATAACTATAAATATAAGCTTTATTTTATAAGTCTAATATATAGAATTTTGTATAAAAAATTATAAAGTCAGAGATTAGTAGATTGGTATAATCTAATATAACAAAATAGGACTAATAGCAATAGTTGCTATAACTTGCTCAAACATTATCCATTTTTTATTCTAAAAAATACAGTACATACTACATATGCTAATGTACACTAAAACAAAATTACAGTGTGAGAAATGCATTATTTGAATTAATATAAAGTATACAATGTGTGGGAAAGAATTTAGAGTATCAAAATCTTCAACTTTTTGCAGTCTTTGGATTGCAAGCACAATATCTTTTTTTCTGCCCATTTTTTGGTCTCATAATTTCATGTATATATTAATTATATGCCTGAATACATATGTACATAATCCCATGAAGATTGAGCAAGGATTGGAGGAGTAATAGCAATTTTTTTCCGGTTGTGGGTCATGTCCGCAAGGGGGGCACCACGACAGTAGACATGTTCGTGAACCGAAATAATGCAATGGACTTTAATAGCATCCGGTTAGGACACTTTGCCTGCAACCAGACCACCAGAGTAAACCTTGCTCCGGCACTCATAACTTATTACGGTAAGAAGCGGCGCTTGCGCCACACTATTTCGAGGATGAATAAGCCTTAGTCAAGACTGTATCTAAATAGACTGGACTGAACTTTGCAGTGTGTACATGTTTTCCTTGGCTTCTTTTGATTCCTCTCATAGTGTGTGGCACTACCTTCTAACATCTGGAGAACTAATCAACAAGAAAAGCGCCCTGTCCACAATGCGTAATACATTATGCATAGTTTATCAAAAGCTAATGTGGTAAATGGACCTGTCTATTATCAGATGAAACGAGAGTACCTCAGCAATTGCTCGAAGCAGCCTAGTCTACTAGGCTAGAATGGCAATATTAGACGCTCTATACATGAACGAGTCTATAGACAACGTTGTACAATTTTTTGACGACGCAAACTTCATTTACCTGCAGGTGTTTGCACCTACCCAAGCAGGATAGTTGACTATGTCATCCTGTCGATATATAAATCTCTACTGTAGAAATTGTGGGCAGAGAGCACTGACACATCACTACTTATTTATATTTGCAAGGAATATTCTAATACATATAACAACCCCAAATACATCGGCTATTCTCTAGCCTCATTACTTGCAAACTTATCGCTCTTAAGAGTTAGTTTCCTTTTTCATGCAAGAGGAAGGAAATGGAGCCTTTCATTACTATGGTATGGCTCTGGTTTGCACAACCTATAGAATATATATCGACTTCACACAAGCCTGGTTCTGCTCTCTAATAGCATACTTAAGTTCCACTCAGGCCTTTCCATCTCAACTCCAAGTTTTGATAATTGTGTATTCGTCAACCAAAGGAAAATGACAAGCTCGAGAGAAACCGAGGGTGACTGGAGTCCTGTTCCTGCTCAAGGGAATGTTCCAGCATACTATGTCTACAAAAAACCTATCCAGAGTGGCTATTCGGATCCCCGTGAATACCGTGTAATTCGCTTACAGAACGGTCTAGAAGCTACTCTCGTGAAAGATAGCAAAGAACAAGTGGCCGGTGCAGCAATGAATGTCTCGGTTGGTTACTTTCAGGATCCAGTGAGTAGTCTCATCTCCAGTAATCTATTGCAACCAATGTTAGGCTGCTCCAAGGCGTTGTCCTTTCTAATACATATGCCACCGAAAGTCGTATCCAAGGCACCAAACTACTAGTCATAAACAATAGTACTCACTTTCCTACAGGATAATCACCCTGGTGTTGCACATGCTTGCGAACACATGCTATCTCTGGTACGCTCCAGACACCTAAAGAACTCATTCTGCAGGAATATTACATGCTCACTTTGACAATCATGCTCTGCAGGGAACCAATAAGTTCCCGAAAATAAACGATTTTCAAAGGGTAAATTGTGTTAGTTTTGCTTGTGATTAGTATTTTGATCGCTTCAATGTGCAACAGTATATTAAGGCAAATCATGGATGGTACAACGCAAACACAGATGCCTTGAACACTACGTTTTACTTCTCACTTGCTTCGGGTGCACTCAAAGGTGCACTCGAGCAGTTCGCTGCTTTCTTCAACTGTCCTAAATTCGATTGGGAAGCAACAGAAGAAGTGCTAACTTCAATTACAAACGAACACAAGGGACATTATCAGGATGACGGCTGGTTATTATTTTCGGTTGAAAAAGCATTAGCAAACGATGACCACCCACAGAGAAAGTTTTGCTGTGGAAGCCAGGAGACATTATTGTCACTTGGTCCCTCAGCAAAGTCGTCCAGGGACAGCAATTATGAAGGGAAATCCCAAAGTATGAGGCCATCTAGTAAGTCCTCCACTAGAACTGGCTCAGTGCGGAACACTAGGGAATCAACTTCGACTACAAACGATAAACACACTCGCAGCAGCAAAACATCCACTACCAAACATGTTGGAGAGAGCTCCATAGACTGTAGCCTTGATAAAATCAAGAGAAAGGCTGCAGAGACATGGAGACAATGGTGGGAAAGGGAATACTGTGCAAGTCGGATGAGTTTAGCAATAGTTGGGAAAGGTTTGCTACATTATTATGTAAAATGATTTACCCATTAATTTTATCTTGAAGATTCTCTTGATGATCTCGCTCGCTGGGTGGCAGAGTTTTTCTCATCAGTTGAGAACCGTGGCCAACATCCCGCTCCAGTTTCCTTTGGAAAGGCTTATGGCAAATCTGGACTTGGAGTACGTACTTCAAATAGTCATTTTCTCTCAATCACGACTAATGACTCACTCGCTTATTGATATCAGAGAATCGTCCGCTTGAAAGCAAAACAAGAAATATACAATATCACAATCGAATTTCCAATCCCGTCCCAGAATCCGCTGTGGCATGTTCAACCAGCTGATTACCTTAAACATTTTATTAGTCATAAGGGTCCTGGCTCGTTATATTCTTACCTGACGAAGAAAGGATTGATTAATGATATTGATGTCAACAAAACCAATATTGATCGTGACAGTGCATTGTTCTATATCTACATAGAACTGAAAGGGGACGCATTCGGTGAGTTCTGCTATAATATTTCAATGACTTAATATAACTGTATTGTGCGATCTCTAGAGAAATACCAAGAAGTCGTTGATGCCTGCTTTAAATTTATAAATGTTTTGCATAAACACAAATACAACCTTCCAGAATGGGCTCAGAATGAAATAAGGCAACTGAATAGAATCTTTTTCGACTTTAACGATAGTAGGCAAAGGCATCAATCAGCTCAGTATGCAGTTGATATTGCCAATTGGATGAAACTCCAAATTCCGCATAACCTGCTTCTGAGTGGACATTTATTAGTCCGAGAATGGAATGAGAAACAAATCCAAAGGACATTGGACAAGCTGAATATTGAGAATTGCTTTATTATTTTGCAAGCCCAACACCATAGCCAGTCTGCCAAACGAAAATGGATAACTGAAAAGTGGCATAAGGCATGCTATGAGGTGAAGAATATTGATGATAAACTCGTTTTGAAAGTATGTGCATATGCTCTGGATTTAGCAGAAAATTGTCTGAAGAATATTGGAACTTTCTAAGGCCAACAATCCTAAAGATACAACTGAATTTAATCTGGCTAAGGAAAATAAATTCATACCCAAAAACCTTAAAGTTGATAAAATGACGGTTTATAAAATCAAGATGCAGCCTGCTCTTATTGTGAAAACCCAACTCATGGAGGTGTGGCACAAGAAGGACGATCAATTTTGGATGCCAAAGGGAAAGATAAAAATATTAATACAGACGTATGCTTACATTTTATTCCTACCAACTGCAAGAGTCTTTGTGCTGATAATTTCATACAACAAAGGCGCATTCCAGGTACAAGTGTGAGAGCTTATGTAATGACACAGCTGTTTGCAGATCTCATCAGAGATGCGTTACGAGAGTACTCGCACGACATGGAAGTTGCTGGTGTAGGATTCGGATTAGTCCCATCCTTGCGAGGCATCACCATGATTGTTGGGGGTTGGAATGATGGAGTGAGCCGTCTTGCCCAACGAGTTTGTGAAACAATCAAGAACCTTTCGATTGAAGAGCGGCGTCTGTCGATCTGGATAGACAAGGTGACTTTTCAAAAAAGACCTGGCTTGTGTACTTGCAGCATTGATCTCTTTTATATTATTTAGGAGAGACGAGATCAGATGAATACGCTTCTCAAGCAGCCTGAAGAGGTTTCTAATCATTATTTGACATACCTTTTAGAGGATTCCAGCTTTACAATCGAGGAAAGAGTCAAGGCGCTCGATGGTCTGTGAATAACGTCATGTGTAATGCTAAAAGTTCTAATCCGAGCTCAGGTATCACTATCAAGGAACTAACTGAGCATGCGAAATCATTTCTATCAGAATTAAACTATACAATCTTAGTCAACGGTAACTTTTATAAAGAGGTTTGAATCAGCTCGTCAATTTTCTACCACACGAATGACGATTTTCTTCGCCGATAGGAAGCATTACAGATCGTATCTCTGCTGCACAATACTTTCAAAGCAAAACCTTCAGAATGGCGTTATGGTCACCGCTCACGTATTCCTCCAATCGGTGCTTAATCTGGCTTTATAATAGTCTCTGCGTCTGAACTCAATTCTATCCAACAGGGGGCAATTATATCTGGGAACTTCCTGTCAGGAGCAAAGATGAAGTCAACTCAGGCGTCAGTTACTATTGTCATGTTGGTAGTAGCTCTGACCCCGAAACTCGCGTAAAATGCAAACTACTGGCCCAAATTCTAGAAGAACCTGCTAACAACACTCTCCGAGAACAGGAACACATTGGCTACCTAGTCCTCTCCGACACAATAGAGCGTGCCGAATCCATTGGTTGGAGAATTAAGATCCGGTCAGACAAGCATCCAACGTTCGTCGAGTCACGCATCGAGGCTTTCTTAGAAAAAATGCGCAAAAAACTTGAGGATAATTCATATCAGGCTGAAGCAGAATTCAATACACATAAGCGTGGGCTCATTAATACACTGACTAAGAGAAAAGAGGGCATCCCAGACGAGACTGACGGTTTCTGGAACGCCATCGAATCGGGAAGTTACGACTTTGAGCAGCGAACCAACGATGCAGGGCTTGTCGAAAGTCTGACAAGGTCTGACATCCTGAATACATTTAAAATGTTTTTCGATCCACGGTCCGCGACACGCTCAAAGCTCTCTGTGCACATGGTGTCGCAGAATCCCATAGTTAGCTCGAGAGCAATCGATGGATTTATCCGCAAGATGTCAGAAAAGAATATAAAACTTGACAAGAAAAGCCTCGAGGAGAAGGAGCACTACCCATTATCGGAGTTGCGGGAGTACCTGCAAAGGAAATTAGCCCAGCTTAAAATAAAACAAGATACGGTCAAGAGGTTGCTTACAAAATTAGTCGAAGAATATCCTGTAAAAGATCAAGCGCGTGTGAAACTGAGTCCCAAAGTACAATACATCCCGGATGGTACTACCTTTAGGGATATCCTTAAACTTTCCAATACTACAAGACCTGTTAGGAACCTTGAAGTGGAGACATAATAGCTTCTCATGTCCCACCCGGATGTTCTGTGTTGTAGAACCACAAAGGTTTTAATAGATAATCCACTAAACCGTGGTAGTGAGACCAATTAAAAGATCCTGGCCCATTCACTTTTTTTATAGACCAATGCCTTTATCAAGAAAAGATTAGTCGAGGCCACGTCCGAGGACGGTCCGTTTAGCAAAGCAGAGAGAAAGGTAACTATACTCGTGGTTCCATGCCTTTCGCACGCAGTTTAGTCACTCCCCTGTCTTTGATCCCGATCGATACAGATGATAAGTTGGAGCAGTCTCGGTTCCACGGTGTCCACTGACCGCTATTCTTCAATTTAGTAGGTTGGGAACGTCTCAGACACAGACTAACGTTTGAATTCTTTTTTCCTTAGAGCTCACGAGAGAAAGTTCAGAAACCTTCGAAACTGCCCCCAAAGCTAGAATCCGCTCTCGAACTGTGGGTAGCTTCTAGAATTTCCGACTATCAGTTCCTCGGCTCTGGTATACCACAGTGAATGGACTCTATCCACTCTTATTTCTCATGAGACGTTCCTAATTCACCCGAGCTCCAGCTGTACTGAAGTGCTTGCTGTTGCTCTAATTGTGATCCACGAGTCCAAGTTCTCACATAAAGGATGCAGTGTAACGACGATATACGGGAAGTAATAATTGTCTATTGAGTACAGGGCAGAGATCAGAAGCGGAACAAATGAGAGGTCTCACATCAAGTAGAGTACATGTATATAAGAAAGCGCTATTCTATAACTCCCAAGTGGTCTTCCTTGATGGTACCAATAGCAAACTAGAGTATTCAAATGTCAGTTTTCTCGTCGTGATGAACACAAAAATGCTAGAACTCTTACAATTTCTGTCGCGTCAACTCGCGTACCAACGATCTTTAATCGCACCTTCGTATTTTTCTCGATGATCTGTGGGAGATTTTAGTCGATATGGAAAAACCACGCCGTAAGGCGTAGTAACGCGATGCAGGGAAAACAAGCTAAATATTGACTAACCTGTTCGTCTGATGCAAAGGATGGCGGATTTGAGTTGGGATCAAATTTCATGTCAGGGTGTATTAGCTAGAACAAAAAAAATGAGTATATGATCGGGATACTAATGAAGCAAATGAACGTGCTTGATGCGAGACGAAAACCGTCAATGGTCCAACTTCTGCGAAGAACCCCATCTACCGCGATGCCCATCAGTAACTACCTGCGACAAGCAGAGTGCACGTCATTTTTTCAGTAGGACAGACCTTGTTAACGTTATTTACTACGCCATCCACAACCTCTCCTTTAAACGGCTTGAACACAATTGCACGGTAGCGCGTCACAAATTCGGCTTGCCCACTACCAGGAAGCACCATACCCTTCCCAATGTCTAATACACTGACGACAGCGATAATATACCCAAATTGGCCCGAACATGTTCCTTCAACGTCTGCGTATAGTTTCGTCTCAAGGAACTGTAGCATGCGAGGCCCGAAGTAAGACGGATGTAACAGGATTGTGTGTGTTAGCTCTTTCTGCCGGGAAAGTCACTTTGAGACATAGTTTTCTTTAAAGTAAAAACTGTATTCTTACAATGAAAAACATGATGATGCTGCTACCTGGATATTCCAAGCATTTGGTCCAGGACAAGATCGCAGACTGGCGTTGAGCAACCTCGTGACACACACGCGTGACGTCCTAGGAAATATTTGTCACGCTGATTTTCATGACCACTTCTAAATCACCATGCATTTTATTCTACATACCACAATGCAACACTTCATAACAGCATACAATTATGAGACATTATTATTGGTATATTTATTGTAGCTGCTACTAAGCGCAAATTCATCAAAATTTCAAAATTGTATCAAGAGCTGATTCGCCGTCTAACCAGTAGGAAAAAATCAGCAAACGGCATGCCCAGCTGATGACTCCGTAGATCCATCCTCCCAGCTTCACATCCAATATGTGCAACCTCTCGTTTCACCTCAAGTCAACGAGATGGTTTAGCAGAAGTTGAGGTTGACTGTAAAGAACCTCAGCAACGCAAACGTCCAGTGAAAACAACATGTGCACGTGACGTGGTCCGTGCGCCAATTCCATTCATTAAGACATTCTGTAGTCGCTTTTTATTTTTTTTTCTTCATTCGAAAGTTGCACTCCGAGGGTCGATATTTGGGATGGTCTTCTTGCTCTCGAGCTTACTCGAGAGCGATGGGTTCATCTTGAACTGCGTTCGGAGGAGACTAACTGCTCTTCACCCAAGATCGTGTCGATTCTCTCAATATCGATTGCGGCCCGTAGAGGAGCAACAGATTTCTCGTATCGTTTCCTAGGTTCAAATGCTCGTCACATGTCTTTCAGTGTTTCTCCTCACCTGTCTAGGCGTCTTATTCCAACATGGTACACTTCTCCAAGCTTAATTGAACCTGTTTATTCTTGCCTTCATGGGACACGGAGTAGCATGTTCGTCCGCCGTCTCAACGCAAACTTGATTCTGATCTCGTTACGGATGGTATGACCATGTATTCGCCATAATTTCCACAAGAGATCTCTGCTCTGCATGTTTACCTTGCGATATTGCCAATTTTTCTCGAGGAAATTCATCAAGACAGTGACGATCTATTCGGTCCATCATCCAGCTTCTTCATGCTTTGCTTATCTAGAATTGGGAGGAAAGAAGCTCTGCTAACGCTTGGGCTCCCACAAAAACACGTATGGTGCATCAATCGCTGTTGATGTCTGGATCTATCAGGACCCGTATCGAATTTAAAAAAAGCAAGTTTTCTAAGCTCAAATCGCAAGTATTGCTACTACGGTTACTATAGGTGGGATCATTGGCTCTGACCACATCATCTCGACCTGTCAATGCTCGACATGATCGATCGAGGATGACATCCATTCGTCAGTGGCGCGCCACTTTCCAACTTGAAAAAGGGAATTTACACGTTAAAGATAACTTCTGATTTCTGACACGTTTCGAGAGCAATGCTCTGCATTTGAATTATTCACGTTATATTTCATTTAATCCTCTCAGATAATTTCGTATGTGTATATGTGAAAAAGTGCAAGGTACATGTAACATTGTTACCGGATAGTGCCGAGGTTCAAGGCACTTTATCATTATGCCGTGTTTAAAGTCAAAACGGTATTTAGCCTACTACAAATATGGAGCACGTTTGTAGGAGACAATAAGGTTATGATATGCATTAAATATAGATTTTTAGTAAGGCGATGTGTAATGAAATATAAAGATGAGCCTTATACTGCTATTGCTATTACGGCTAAGTAATTGTGTAGTCGTGCAGCCTTCTTATCAGCACCTCACACTAATGAACGGTCACCCGACACATACAAGTCAAGTTTACAACAGAGGTATCTTTCACAACGTTATAGATTAAAACGGTACGTCAGTAGACCAGGTGAATCACAGGTTCCGATAAGCCACAACACGGAACCTTGTTCGTGCAAAGTCCCGAAAGGAAAAGAAAAGAGAGTCCTTCGAAGTTTAATTTACAGTCCGTCTTCCCCACTTCCGGCCTCCAGGATTGCACATCGATCACGGAGGAAGCCGCAGCAGTGGCAATTGCACTTGTTGATCTCCGAAGCCCCGATGACCTCCATGATCCACGATCACCGGGCGCTTAAACGCGCCGCGTGTCTACTTAATAATACTTGTCACCGCAATTACAAAGACTGCTGAACAACTCGACCAAGGTGGGTAATAGGATGGCGGGAATACCAGACATCCGTGTGTGTAAAGAAGCTTGAGCAGAGCTTTAAAAATAATAGAAACAAGCTTCCATGACCGTGAAGCACGATCACAAAGCGCAGATTTACATCCTGCCTTCTCAACCATGATACCAATACCCGACTTACTTACAAAGTTGTTGCAGTATTTTTGAACAATGATTCGGAGTTTGGGAATGAATTCAAGAGAAAAATACTGATCCTGGCAATCACTGTTAGGCATAGCCTTTCGCATATTAGAAGGAAAGGTGTCATTGGGTATCTGGCGCGCTCGAAGCTTTAGTTTTCTTGAATTCTTTGATGATTGATTCCATCCGGGAATCGGATCGTTTGAGTCAGGGAGGGAGAAGAGAAGAGTTATTCTCGGAGTTCATCATGGACGAACTTACTTATAGAAAAGTCCCGGCCGAAAGGTCTTGTATTGTCTCGCTACGTAGAATATTAATGATAAAGTTTTGAGAATACTTGGCACCACTGGGACCACGATGCATCGAATTGTTCGAGTCAGGGAAAAGAGAGCTTAGCGAAGAGCTGTTCCGGGATTCATGATGGACCAGAGTATTTGTAGAAACGGTCCGGCTATAAATGCTGTTTCGTCTCGTAACGCATAGTGGCATAGTGGTTAATTTGAGGATACCCGGAACCACTAATATGTATCAGGTTTCTCCGGCCGGGTACCTACAACATTCGTGTTAGTCCGGTCGGCCCTTATTCATGAAAGACGAGCCGAAGTTCAGAGGTTAGTTTGTTTTCCAGAATAGGATGACGGAAAGGCGTTTAAACATACACTGCCTGGCTAGGCACCGAAACATGTCTACTTCGACGAGAGCGTAGCGCCAACGCGCCACGCACCAAGCCAACCCTTCGAAGTCCATTCCGACATTAACAGTTCCGGCACTAAAAAATACAACACAGCCAAGAAGGTTCATCAGTTCAGTGTTTAAGTATAACAAAACTAGTGGCACACTGTACTAACCATCTCACTTTAACCCCAGTGGCGGATTGGCAGGAAAGATTAACAGAAGAGGTCCAATAGAACAGTTTTGATTAACAATTCCCGATATGTATATTCATATTCCAAGCGTAAGCACAGCAAGGACCTTTGATGCACAGCACATTCTACTAGTGCTCGGAAGAAACACGATGACATCGGAGTGTCCGTTCACGGAGTGTTCACAGGCGATCAAAAAAAGCTAGTGTGGCAAATGGGGTTTCCGGTTGTGAAGGCGACCAAGAGGAATCAAACACAAAGACCGAAATGAATACGCATTTTTGACGTGCGCTAGACCTGGTCGAGGTATGACGCCGGAGTAAAGATAGAGTACGCAGTAGATGCGGGATCGGATGGCCGGTACCTTGGACCTTAGTTGTGCCAAAGAAGGAAGATAAAAGCTGCTTTGCATCATTGCTCTGATATATTCTATGGAGTTTACGGTGAAATGAACGCAAACAGGTTGTTGACGAGAGCGGAAGGCCCTTGTTGAGATCAAAATCCATAGAGCGCCAGCCGCGAGACGATTCGGACATCGAGGTACCGAGAGTGTGATGATGCCGTAACGCGGCGATTGATACGCAAAGCCCACGAAGGATGCGTGTGGGATTTTATTCAGTCGGATGGGAGCGACATTGAGATGGCGCGAATCACGGATCCCTGGGATCACGGAGATAGAACCACAAACGCCAAGTGATGGAAGATGAGAGCTCGGAGAAAAACAGCCGTTGACGTCGGCTAAAGGCGGTCGATAATTTGGTAAGGCCCTCAGCCGCCGTTCGTTCCGTGTGTCGTCATGTGAAATCAGGTTCAGGAGAGACCAGGAGGCAGCGCTCGGATCTTACGTCTCGAGCTGAGACATGTGTCCTCATACTTTCTCAAACACATTGACGGCAAGGAAGTTGCTGAATACATTAAGACGCGCCACAAAATATTAATATCACTCGAGGAGGTAAGTTGCCGAACGACGACGGGAGAAATGGATAGATGGCCATATGAAACACTGAAAACGGCTAGTATCCGAGCTGAATTGCACCCAGCGGGCAAAGGCGGGCGGAGGCTAAGTCAGCTCGGGAAAGCACAAGAGGCGCGCGCTCGGTACTAAGGCCGAAAGCGGGGGCGTGCGGTCTTGTCGTGGTAGCGTAGCGTGTCGACGGTGGGATATGGTCGACATCGCCTGGCCCAGTAGGCTGATGCCCGATGCCGGCGCAGAGCAACGCAACGTAATTAAACGATTCGCGTCTCCTTAGACTCCTGCGCCGGGGGCAATGGCCGAATGCTCCGTATAACACGCGAGATTTTCAAAATCATCGTCATAATCATCATCATCACTGCGATTCGCAGTCGATGGAAACAGACGCGATGGAAAAGGGCCAAAAAAAGCACATGAACTCAGTCCAGTGTGTATGAAGCCCAAGCGAGCGTGTTTCAGCGGGCATCATTCGTGTCCGAATGCAATTTTTTCCTTACGATCCGCCACCAGGTGCAAGCGCGGACGCTATCTCCGACGCAACACCTTCTCAAGGTTCGATAGAGAAAATGAAAAATTAGATGCGAATGTTGGGCAGACGAATAGAATGAGGCGGAAGTGAACGAAGATATATGCTATGAACGCATAGAACACCGGATTGAAATGAGGACAGTTCGGACGCTGTGGATTCTCGCGAGGGAAGTGTGTGAGACGGCGATTGCGAGGAAGCGACCAAGCGCGTGAATCTAGCGGGTACATATGACTGGGTGCAGAGCCAAAAACCATGTTCCCTTCCAGCGAGCAGCTGTGCTTGCCACACAGACAAAGTACGAAATAACGCCGCGACGACGAAACCGGCTCGATGCATCCGGCCATTTCTAACTCTTTACAACGAATGAATTAGCGTGGACATTACAATAGACCACGTCACAATTGCCTGCTGTGCTGTTTGTTTCGTGCGATCAAAGGACAGAAACAAGGCCGGATTTAACACGGCGTTCGGACGACACCGACGTCGAAGCCTAAAAAGTTAAACGACGAGTCGAAGCTTCCGAGGTTACTGCGAGTACCCGTGTTCTGTGCCGTCTTGTGCTTGTGCCAGGTAGCCGAACCTCCCGCGAGTCCATACGCGTTTTCTGTCCAGCGAGGCTGTCCCATAGCCCGACAGAAAATATAATTAACAACACAACAGCACTACTTACTGGTAGTCTAGTTGTTCGCACATGCTATCACCTTCGCAGATAGTCCGCAAGGGGAAACAGCCACAATTGCCGACCCGTCGCCCCGTTGCTGGTGCTGTCGTACTAATCATCGCAAAGCCCGAGCTGCGACAGATCGCAAAGGGTGTTATGTGATCAGATCTATAGAAATCTTTCCCTGATCCTGATCAAATGACTTGCGGCCCCGACCGACACTCTGCCTTTTTTCCACAAATCCCTGCTCGCGCGTCTGCCCGGATATAAAAGTATCCCATCTGCGCCAATCCTCGCTTGTGCTTCCTTTCGCTCCTCATCCCGCCGGCCAAGCATCATCAATCATCATCTGCTGCTATTTAGCTACTCAGGTCTCTGAACTCTCAACCTTCGACTCCTACGGCCCGCCCACATTCCGTCTACCTTACCAACTGCATGCTGCTGGCTCTTCTGTGCTCTCTCCGTTCATTGCTTTGATCTTCTGAGGACGCATCTAGCAATGCATCGCTCACCGCGCAGCGTCTCGTCCTCTCAATCTCCGACCGATGTGCACGATCGCAGACTAGAACGCGAACGCGAGTATGAGCACGAGCGAGAGCACGCATTTGAAAGAGAACGCGTCGAGCACGGCCGACGAGCGCTTCCGGAATCGCATTCTCCGCCTCCGCCCTCTTCCGCGCGCGGTGTCGGCGGAGGACAGGCGCGCGCCCCGCGGCAAGGGCCTCCAACTGCGCTGCCGTCCATTCACCATCTGCATCCCGATCTACCGCCTCCCCACGCGCATCGTCACGCCGTACCAGCACAGCAGTATAGTCCTTCCGAATTTCTTCCTGGCGCGTCATATGGTCCTTCGTCTGCCTTCTTTGCTGGCAGTCAGCGGTCCCCCGCACTCGCAACTACAACCACAACCTATCCGCCCCCTCCTGCATACGAAGAGCGCAAGATGTCCTTCGACAGACCGCCTGGCGTAAGGTCACTCGCTCAGCCTCCGTCCGCCATGTATTCCGAGCAGCACATCTCACCCCCTGAAGGCGACTCGGATCAAGAGCAGAATGACTCTGAACGGGGGCCTCCGAAGAAGAAGCGCAGAAGACAAGCGTTGAGCTGTACCGGTAAGCACTGATTTCGGTTCCTTTCTGAACCCGTTCTTTCTTCTCCTAGTTCCCATTTCCATTTCTTATCATCACGAGAACACGGTGTCTTAACGTATTCTTCATCATGACGAGGAACGCTTTGTTGTAACTTGCTACGCGGTCTGACGCGTCTCTAGAATTTGTCATTTCGGGCGTGCCTGCTTTTGATGTTTCCGGCGTACTTTATTCAATTTTTAATATTTTCTAACGTTCCATTGAATTTACAGAATGTAAACGACGAAAGATCAAGTGCGATCGCACGCACCCATGTGGCCCATGTTCACGGCGTAGTGAGCCGGACAAATGCCAGTGGCACGTAATTGAACCTGTGTATGTGGTTAATCTTCCAATTAATTTTTGGCTTAAAATGTCGCAGCGCTCATCGTCCCTTCCGCCCCTCTGACGTTTCAAACAGTGATAAATACGTGACTCGCTCCGAGTGGGACGACCTGTATGCAAGATATCGGCTGCTCGAGGAGCGCTGCATACGATTAGAGAAGCTCGTTGTACAGATGCACCCCGAGATTACCGAAAATTCACCATATGAGATAGTGACTGGCAATTCCGCTACAATACACTCTCCAACTGCCCCACGCCCGACTGCTATTTCGACGCGTGCCTATGCACTTGCTGGTCCTGGCACATCTGGAGCTGGCGCAAGCTCAAGTGCGGTAAACCAGCGTGTTACGCCGAGTACTCCACTGTCCGCCCTTCCTGGACCAGGACCTAGCCCTCGCTCAGGCCCAGGAGCAGGTGTCCCCGCACTTCCTGTCGGCTCGAACACAGGCGCGGAAAGCTCTTTGTCGGCACGATCAGGCTCTGCACCGCCACCGATGCTCGCGACGCCGCACTCGGCGGGTCCTTCTCATCCTCCGCCGCATCCGGATCGTCGTACGTCCGCATCGGCTTTGCATGCCTCGTTTCCTGCGGTCTCTGAACGCACCGTACCCTCTTATCAGGTCACATCGTCGGAAACGGCGCCGTTGGCGCGCGTCCGTCCGCTTACCGCGCCGTCGCCTCGTAGTTACTCGTATCCTCCCCCACCGCCACTTTCGGAGGAGATACCAGGCTACTTACCATCTAGGAGTCACGGAAGTTCTTTACGTGGGCGTCCCTCAGCCGCCCCTGAACCGACAAGTGTTTCAAGCTCCAGGATACATACAGCTCGAACTAGTGCTCGGCCATATCCGTCGCCTCTCTCGTCCGCAGGCGGCGGCCGTCAAATTTATTCAGACGACGCAGCTGCAGAATTGGAAATGGACATGCGTTATGCAAGGCATTTTGAACGTGAACACAGACACGGGCGTGACATCTCATATGAGCGTCCCGTGCCGGCTCCGCAAAGGCGCAGCCCGGAGTCAAAAAATGGGGAGGCGCAGACGTTCGAGGCGGGTGACGCTCTGCGCCAACGCTGGTCTGCCTCGCCTGCCCTTGACTCTAGGTCTCCATTTTTATCTCGCGAGCCGTTACCACCAGCTCCTGGCCCAGCCCCGTTTACAACCCGTTCGCTGTTGACGCACGCAAATCCCGTTTATGCTCACTCGGATGACTCTACCCCGTCCAGTTCCCGTATTGGCTCGCCTGAGACGCCTCCGCGTAAGCGAGCGCGCCACGGTAGTCTCTATCTCAATATTCCTTCTGCACCCGGGACTCCGCCGCCTGTTTTGGTCCATTAAACGAATGTTAAACGGCACTGTAACGGTCATTGCTGATTGTGTCATCTTTTCTTGGTGTGGTTCACTCAACGGCACATTGTTTCGTCGCCGCCGCCAAGTGTACCTCGCTTACGGTGTTCTGCTCAACTAACTCTCTCGTCACCCGTCTCATCCCTCTTCCGGTATGATAGGAGGATGTCGTCGAGACGGCCTGATGGTTCCTTCGCAACACTGCTTTCGTCGACTTTTTCGTTTCATCTATATGTCTCAATGGTTTAGGACTTTGCTTTCTTAGTGTCATTTGTTATTGCGCAGTTCTTTGCTGTTCCTCCTTCCATGCTTTGTCACGTATGGCGATTGCTTATTTTTACTACGTGCCACTCTACATTCTCCTATCCGGCATGTGGTGCCGTTCTGTATACCTCGTGTTTCACGTTTTTCGCCATGCCAGTGGAGGACCTCTTGCCGAGCATGTGCTTCCCTTCGTTTGACTCGCTGTGCACCCCTCCTATTACTATATTTACCCTTTGATATAATTCCGTGATATCCGCAGACACTCTGTCTCTTCTGGCTCGAACACCCGTTTCAGCACATACCCTCTTTCTATTACTCTTACATCGTGTTTCTCAAAGTCTCACATGATACTCATCACCTGTTCAGTACATACACACACAGCTCATCATGCTACTACTTCTACATACTTTCTTCGCCTCTTTTACGGCCCATTTGCTAAATTTAACGACCCTGCTATATTGTCCCTCTATCAGTTAATCCGACCGTTCTTTGACATTCCATCGGACACTATTTCTCAGAACATTAGCATCCGCGCCAATTTCAATAGACTACTCTTCTATTGCACTTTTCCCATTTCCCAATGTATCAAACGCCATAACTTCGTAACTTACCGTAGGACTAATAGCACCAGCACTGAATCGAGAACGATACCTATTTTATTTCTATTCCCGAACCACAGTCGTGGGTGGATTGAAGCTTGGCGGACCGCATCGGCGTTATTCGCTGTCTAAGGATCCGCAAAGATCCAAGCTTCTCCTGAAAATGGATATCTACACACCATTCTAGCAAATGGACACGCAATATTCTTCAATATATAATTTAAATCTTCTCGTGTGTTCCATTCAGGTGAATGTACACTTATCGCCTAGTCCAGAATACACGGTAGGTAACAGATAACGTTGGACCCGTTTTATTTTAACAAAGCGAGACGAGACGAACATCTGTCCCTAGAACCTAAACTCGCTTCGCTGTTTATGAGCCCGATCGGCGTTGAGATTGTCCGACCACCACGTAGGCGTTCCCATCCATTGATCCATGATCTCGACGGCCTTTCTCCTGCGACAAGCCCGATTTAATGGTTCGAAGCGGGGATAGACGGTAGTCGCAGGGTTGGCACGCTTGCAGACGCAGACGAGCCATTTGTGCTTCCATTTGCATGAGTTGTCGTCTCTTTCGAAGAACCGTCAGCTGCAGCATCGCTAACGCGAGTTTCTCCGACTTTTTCTGCTTCAGTATTCCCGCCACCACCGCCACTAACATTAATACCAGCACCAGCACCCTGGACGGGCCCCTGGCCACTATTATCCAAAATTGTTTTGATCATCTCAGTACCGAGACGTGCGGACTCGCCGAAGCGTGGTCGGAAGAACTCCGCTGTGCGCTCGAAGCGCTGGCGGTACAGATCGAAGTTCCCAAAGCGGACGCATTGGCTCCACCCCCGTGCAGCAACAACGAATTCCAGGTCGTCCGCGCGATGCGAAACGTCCGTAAGAGCCGCGTCAATCGCGCTAATAAGTCGAGCAGTCGAGCGGAAGAGATACTCGGCTACACCGATCCACATACGGAATATAGGCGTTGCTGCAAGAGCAAGGTGGACAAACGGCTGGATGCCAAGAGCAGCCCAGCAGTCCACCATCGCCAGCAAAGAAAGGTGCGAATTTGCTGGCGCATGATCTACCGACGGGGACATAGGCGACTGCCCTGTTTGCGGCTTCCGCCCTAAGCTAAAGCGATCTAGCACATCTTCACTTAGGAGGATCGTCGGGTGCCCAGTTTTATCTTCATCTTGAAAGACCTTCTCTCGGGCGCGGAACAAGCGTGAACGCAAAGCGTCGCGGTTCCCCTCCAGCATTAACTTGAACAACTCAGTCGCACTTTTGGCGTATTGATCGATTTGCACGCGGGCCGAGGGGTTGAGAATAGCCAGACCAGCATAGACGTGCCACTTATTCGCGTATATCCGATGAGTGATGTTAACCTTTACAGTTTCGATTCCACCGACGTAATACCCTTGTTCCCAAGGATAGGTACCTTGTGCTGCCCAGGCAGTGCCCATGCTGTTGTAAAAATCGAAGGCAAAAAGGGTCAGTACGAGGTATAATGACGAGAGGCCATTCTCTAAAATTGGAAACAACGTGAGAAGCTTGGGGTCATCGGCAGGAACCGAATGTAATACAAAAGATAGGTGACCCGAGACGTCGCGCGTAAAAGAAGCACGGAGTGCCAAGAAGCGGACGGACTTAGACTTGCCTTAAGAACGCTGCGTGCGTGACTGCCTGCGTGTTTGCAGTTACGAGATCGTGATCTTCGTATGATAGATAGACGAACCGGGACCGAAGTGGTCTAAGAATGCTTTCCACTAAGGTTTGTCCGTCATCCGATGCGCGATGTCTGATAATGACCTGAACGAATCGGAAGGGAAAATCAGCAAAAGACAGATGTTTCTCCGAAGAAATTATACTCGGATTTTACGCACAAGAGGCTGGCCCAGGGGAGAAACAGTCGGTCCATGCAAAGAATGGCAGGAAACGATTTGAACATCTGGAGGTAGGTATTTCTCGAAGGCTGCCTTTTCTGGTGCTTTCACCGAGGTCTGTCCGGCGACGATAGAACCAAGTTTACTGGCTAATTATAAAATAGACGTGTCAGATGCACACACTGGTGAGAGCCAAATGGAACAAGAACAAAGATAAACGCGTTAGGTATTTTAGAAATAAGCGAGACGTGACGTCGTATGAAGTGGCCATAGTTGGCTCTCACATGGCATGATAAGAGGAGGGTGGGTAATGGAAGACATTCACGGGTGCACTCACATGGACCGTAATGTGCAACGACCTGGTCGACAAATTCCGCCTCCACAGAATACAAAATAAAGTCTGACGCGCGTGCGACGTGGTGACCATCCCGGTAAACAGTCACACCTGGCGTATCTTGATAGCATACAGGGGGTCGTTCCCCATATCCGTAAATCAGTACTGGCGCAATAAAGGGGGAGAAGATCATACCTCTCATATCCTGTTGGAGTTGTTCATACTTCTCTGGACGGTCACAGACGTGGATTCTATTTTATGACGCGATATGGCGACTTCTTTGATATTTGACGAATTCATGGCAGAAGAGGGATGAATGGCGTACTTTTTCCAACCGGCACACGACAAGTGATGCGCGTACATGCGCCCCATTTCGCCCATACCAATGAGACCAATAACTGGTTGCTCATCTTCAGGTGCGTCAGGAGTTACATTCACCCTGATTCCTTTGATTCTTCCTGCCATGCCTTAGTTGCAATTACAAGACGTGCTTATGATCTGGAATGGCGAGTGGTAGTTGGAAGGAATGACTCGAGGCCATCATCAGCATTTCTAACAAATTTTAGTCAGGATCGGGAAAGTATCTCTGGCGCTTAGCCTTCCAGAACAGGAAGGCACTGAGTAATCATGCCCCCGGCCCGAGCGGACCACGCTCAACAAACAGGCCAAGGTACAGCAGCAGTAAAACAACAATCCATTTTTAGCAACATAAACACTTCTTTTCGTAAAATGATGAACAGGGGGTATTTCAAAGGCGCATCGTGACTAGTTGATACAATTATGACAAGGAACAAAGAACAATGCGTGAGGAACCGGAAGCGACCCAACATTTAAAGAGTACTTTATAGTGTAATGCTAGAGTATGTAGGAAGTGATGATAAGGCACAGAAATTTTAAAGTATAACGACTGCAACTTCGGCAGCATCGGTGCACCGAGAGAACGCGAATAATACCATCGTAGTGTGTATGCAAAATTAACATGCAACACGGCTGCGACCAGCCGAAACAGGCATGGACGGGATGGAGCGGGATGGGTCATCGATTGGCCACATTAGCTCCTCGGCGATGAGTTCGCGGACGTATGGACAATCGGGCTTTACGTCTCCGTCCTGCGGAGAAAATTCGCCCGCTCGGCGAACGCCATTGTCAAGATATTCGACCCTCCAGTACTGCAGAGTCGTGGTCTGAAGAAAGACAAAATTAAATATAGATGCCGTAAGTTCAGAGTAATGAAGACGTACGGGGTATTGCTTGAATCGTGTAGGCTTGATGACACGGGCTGGGAGCCAAACGGAATTCCGGCCCTCGCCACGGATGTGAACCAACACCTGCTGGCCAGGCTGTTTTGAAATAGAGATATATTTAAGTTTAAGCCATGATTAATTGGAAATAAATGACGTACTGCGAACGTGTAGTTCCATGGCTCATCGCAGTGCTGAGGACCTTCAAAGCCAGTAGCGATGACTTGAGCAACAGTCTTAAGACCCCAGATCGGCATTTTGGATGATATGTAGGTAGGTACGAGTATTAAGTGAGGCGAGACTTTTTAATGAGGACTATCGACAGACAGTCTTTTGTGCTGAAAGTGTCGGATGCAGCGGAAGAGTATCCAACAAAAAAGAGACGCGAAACAGCAAGTGAATCTGAGACTTTTCGGAGGGGCCTAAGCGTCGAAACTGTGAGTTGAGTTGGCTGTGAAAGTTTATTGGTGCCAAACCCACCGTCATTTTATACATGTTCGTCTAGCAAGTGTAGGTCCAGGTGTCTGATGAGAAGGTTGCGATTAGCGCATACGATTTGATAGTTGCCAAAGTGTTGAGTCGTAACTACCCTGCACTCCGGCGGATTGGAGTACAAAGACTTGACCTGTGCAGGGAAAGCGCGTCTCCCGAGTTTGGACTGTCCTTTCAGACCCATTCTTCTACTGGTGGAAACGCTCGCTGGTCGTCAACGACGCGCGAAGTATGTCCAGGCGCACTGGCCAGAAAGAAAATAAAGAAGCTACCAAAAAGGAAACAGCACGTGGGCTGAAACAAGGCATGCCGCATTCGGTCGAATCTTCGATTTGCTCTCATGGCCATGTCTCCAGACTTTTCTCCATGATCGACCAGCTTCTCTCTAACAAACGTATCCTTTCATAGCGCGAGAAGCACCACTAATTTTACACTTGGTGGTATCGGGAGGAATTTCTCGTGATCTAATACAACGATGCTCTCTTTTGTTGTTCTGAAACATCCGATGGCTTGTCATGTTCGAAGTGTGGTCATCATCCAGCGCCCAATGTTTTTGGTCTTATATCTCGGAAGAAATCAGGCTCGATTGATCTTTAATTCATTATCTTAATCACACAAGGCAGTTGCTAGCAAGGACAAATGAATGGCGATCAAAGATTTACAACTCGTGTCATGTCCATGGAAAATCTGGAACTACAAGGCTTCGCAAACTAACACCGTCCGTCCGCCTCATGGTTCAATCATCCAAAGGCCAGTGTCACCTCATGTCGACCTTCAGAGTATTCATGCTGAATATCTGAATAGATTCTGGGGTCGATACTTGCCTGCATTTTACTCGCACCATGCCTTTCCATCGCTCCACGTCGTGACAGACGTGCGCCGCTATTGCAATGTAAGTTAGACGTGTTTGCGTTAATATATGCGAAACAATGGGGGGATCGTCATCGCTCAGGGTTCTTTCATTATCACAGTAAGCACACTTCTGGTCTACATCGTTATCAGTTCATCAGGGGCATTGTTTCACCGGAAGGTTCCTGGACATACTTGCCCACGAAGAGTTCGCACTTTGTTCTGTGGCTTTCATGTAAGGTTTAGGTTCAACAGTCAAGGTAACAGTCAGGACTCAGGGCTTCCGCTACGAGTTAATTAGGCTAAGCGCCGGACATTAACTGAGGTCGCTTGCGATGACAAGTACCCTGCACTAAGTTACTGGAATAGACACAACTACGGACTAATGAAACTATGTCCAAATTGATGTGGCCTCACGGTACGAAATGACACTAAACACCATCGAAGAATAGCAATGCAGGTAAAGAACCAGATATTTAGCTCGTCTCGCTATTCAGACCCGGTGTGTCTCCGTCAAGAAGTATTCACGCCCTAGCCGATCACGTCCTTCCGTGAGGAAAAACTTGTTTCTTGCACCTTGCTAATAGGTGGAATAAAATTAGACGATGAGCATTGAGAGCCAGTGTAAGCAACATGAAGGTTGCAATAATATTTATTCATAAAATATATTGTATAGGGACAATTATCATAATTACTATTTCAGGACCGAATCTTATATAATCGCTTGTTTGTTGACATGGGTGCACTACTTAACCTACGAATAACATCTGTTGTCAACACTTTGAGAATTACAAGCCTTTCATATATGGGAGAAGCCTACTCGCCACAAACCATTTATGTCGACTACGCCCATCAAAGAACTCATGGCGAACCCAAATGAATTGAGCTGAACAGTAGCCCAAAAATAGACTCTAGTTATCTATTCTTCCCACATCGTCTATGTTGAGTTCGGCGAGTACGCCTTCTCCTGCATCTGCAGCCGGCCCGCATCAAATGCAATGAACTCTCAAAAGTTCCCACTGCACCGACATCCAGACAATCATGAAGCTCTTCAAATCGCTTGTCGCGTTTGGCGTGCTCTGCTCCTTAGTGTTCGCGCATGGTCGGCAAAAGGTCTTGTCGGGTGAAACAGAGCACGTTGAAACTGAAAGGTAAGAGCTTGCTTTCTTATATCCGTATCTTATCTCACGCTTATTTCATTACTGATTTATTAGTAGCGCAACTGGTGCCCAAACACTGCAACTCTCGTCAATCCCGTCCGACGAGTTCATACGCTTCTCTCATCCTGCGTTTCCCGGAAGGAGTGCAAGGATCAAGAAGTCCGACTTCTGTGATGGTGGCGTTGCGTGCGTTGTATTTTGTTTGCTTCATATCTTACGTACAAGCCGACTCAACATGCGTGTATAATCTACTGGTAGTTCTTACGCCGGTTACATCGATGCTGGTCCGAAGCATTTCTTCTTCTACTTCTTCGAGAGTAGAAGTAAACCTGATGAGGATGATGTTCTTCTCTGGACAAACGGCGGACCAGGCGGCTCTTCTGCTCTCGGACTCTTCATGGAACTCGGTGCGTAATCTTAACCTACCACAATAATGACATCGCGAAATGAGACATCCCTTACTACAAAGGTCCATGCCGGATTGCAAGTCCTAATAGCACCAAGTATAACCCGTACTCTTGGAACACGAACGCGAACGTGTTCTTTATTGACCAACCTATTGGAACCGGATTCTCGTATAATGATCTCGGGGATGTAGTTGTGAGCATCCTCTAATTATAGTTGCAATATAACCTCGACTAATGGAATGTATCTGCAGTCGACGACAGAAGAAGCTGCCCAAGATGTAGCTGCCTTTGTCGCCATGTTTTTCGAAACATTTGATAAGTTCAAAGGCAGAAATTTCCATCTGACTGGAGAATCATACGCCGTATGCACAGCTATTCCTAAACCAACCTTTGACTAAAAATTATGCTGACGCTTGTTGCATATTACAGGGTCGTTATCTTCCTGTATTTGGGGCAGCAGTCTATGATCAAAACGCAGTGCTTATCGAAAAAGGACTCGAGCCTATAAGTCTCAAGTCGATAGTAATCGGTTTTCACGTTCCTACCATTTCTTATTTATATATTTTCTGATTGTGGTTGACTTTGACAGGAAATGGAGTAACTGATTTCTTCTCGTCCGTAGTGACTTATTCTCTTAGACACTGAACATAAACAAATAATTTGACTACACGATTACAGAGTGCTACGTTCGTATTATGACATGCAATGCACAAATGCGGGTATCGGTCCATTTCAGCCGATCTCGACGTGCGTTCGAATGAAACAAACTGTAAGTTTAATTCCCATCTCCCAGTTTTCTATCTTACAGTCTACCTTGAAGGTTCCTCGCTGTGAGAAACGACAGCAGGAGGCATGCCTCGACCACTTTGACTCGATTGACTGCACTGCTGCGTTCTCGTTTTGTATCACAGAGTTTATGGACCCTTATCGAAATGCAGGTAAAGTTTTAGTGTTATTTGTCATACCCAACATAGAGTTGATAAAGCCGGCAGGTTACAACGTTTATGATATGACAATGAAATGCAGTGGTTTGGACTGTTATCCGGAAGAGGAGTAATTTAATTTTTTTAAACTCGCGTGCAAGCTTCTGAAGCTCCTTTACTTCGCAGGGACCTCGTTGCGTACTTGAACACTCCATCCGTACGCAAGTCGCTTGGAGTCACCACTACAAAGAACTTCTCAACGAATGCTCGGGAGGTCCACGCTGCCTTTTGGTCCACGGCAGATCAAACTCAGGACTCAAAGCAATACGTCATAGAGTTGCTTGCGCGTCAGGTCAAGGTTCTTATCTATGCAGGCACACACGACTTCATTGCAAATTGGCTAGGCAATGAGTGGTGGACGCTGAGCCTGGACTGGCCTGGCCGATCTGCTTTCTCTACTGCTCCTCTTGAGGAATGGTTGGTGGATGGTAACCCTGCCGGAAAGTCACGAACGCACGGAAACCTCTCGTTTGTCACAATAAATGGGGCCGGTCATCTTGTAAGTCCAACTTCTAGTTAACTGACTAGAATTTGACATCATGACTGTTTTTTATTACAAAAATAGGCCCCACACGATAAACCGGTTGAATCGCTGGCCATGATACAGCGTTGGTTAGCAGACGAAATGTTCTAAATGGTTATGGGACCCTTAGGAAAGTGAGAAAATTTGGATGTCTGACCTATACTTTTTATCTCAGGAAATTTCAGGAGAGTATTTGTACGCATATACTTATAGTGTGCTGTGTGACACAAAGCAGTCCAACAGTTCTTTTTTGTCCCTTTGCCTTTGGACTTGAATATAATTATCATACAACGATCACGTGACGTACTATGCAGCTCCTGCTTTCTGAGCCTCTTCACTCCTTCTTTCGACCTCTTTAACGCAACTTTAAGTTCTTCATGGCTTTCGCATACATCAACGCGACTGACTGCACTGCTGTCAATTTTAGACCAACTTTGAGAAATGCAAGCCCTTCGGATATAGAAGAAAGTCTATTGGCTAATCTTCGTACTGTTCAGTGTTGTCTATTCACCCCAAACCGATCTATATTGTCCACGTCAGATCATAACCAGCAAACGTGCATTTGTGAACGCATAGCAAACCCAATTGAATTAGACTGAACGATAGTCCAAATATAGACCCTGGTCGTCTATTCTTCCCACATCATCTGCGTAATTGTGTTGAGCTCGGCGAGCAAGGCTTCTCCTGCATCTGTAGCCGGCCCGCTTCAAAAACAGGATATCCTCAAGTTCCCACTGCATTGAGATTTTGACAACGATGAAGCTCGTCAAGTCGCTCGTCGCATTTGGCCTGCTCTGCCCATTAGTGTTGGCTCAGAGTCAGCAAAGCTTCCTGTCTGGTGGTGTAGTGAACGTTGAAGTCGAAAGGTGCGAACTTGCTTTTCCATCCGAAGCCTTATCCTGTGTTTATTTCATCAACTTCTCGTCATCAGCGCGACTAGTGGTCGAACAATACAACTCTCGTCGATCCCGTCCGACGAGTTTACACGTTTCTCGCATCCTGCGTTTCCTGGAAGGAGTGCAAGAATCAAGAAGTCAGACTTTTGTGATGGCGGCGTTGCGTGCGTTGTACTTTGTCTAGTTCTTATTTTACGTACAAGCCGGCTCAACATGTATGCATAACCCTGTCATAGTTCTTACACCGGTTATATCGATGTTGGTCCGAAGCATTTCTTCTTCTACTTCTTCGAGAGTAGAAGTAACCCTGATGAGGATGATGTTCTTCTCTGGACAAACGGTGGACCGGGCGGCTCTTCTGCTCTCGGACTCTTCTTAGAACTCGGTGCGTATGTCTTCCCTCCGTGATTCTGGTGTCACTTAAGAGAAAATATTCTTCAAGGCCCATGCCGGATTGCGAGTCCTAATAGCACCAAGTACAACCCATACTCATGGAATACGAACGCAAACTTGTTCTTTATTGATCAACCAATTGGAACTGGATTCTCGTATAATGATCTTGGAGACGTAGCTGTGAGTGCATTCTTTCGTTGTTTGTCAACTCCTTGTAGTTACTGATCTGAGCCTGCAGTCAACGACGGAAGAAGCTGCCCAAGATATAGCCGCCTTTGCTGCCATGTTTTTCGAAACATTTGATAATTTCAAGGGCAGAAATTTCCATCTGACTGGAGAATCATACGCCGTATGTACAAATATTTCTAAACCAACCTTTGACTAAAGATTATGTTGACACTTGTCAAATATTACAGGGTCGTTATCTTCCATTATTCGGAGCAGCGGTTTATGATCAAAATTCGTTGCTTATCGAAAAGGGGCTTGCTCCCATAAATCTCAAGTCAATAGCAATTGGTGTGATCATTCCTACATGTACTTATCTTTATGCAAACTAATTGCGCTCGTCTTTGATAGGAAATGGAATTACCGATTACTTCTCGTTCGTAGCATTTTATTCTGTGAAAGAAACTGAGAATAAGCAGATCAACTGACTATAAGGCTGCAGAGTTCTACGATCATACTATGACATGCAATGCACCAATGCGGGTATTGGTCCATTACAACCAATCTCGACGTGCGTTCGGATGAAACAAACCGCAAGTTCAGCGTCTATACCTCAGTTCGCTAGTGTTAACATCAATCTTTCTAGATACCTCGTTGTGAGAAGCAACAGAAGGAAGCATGCCTCGACCACTTTGACTCGATTGACTGTTCCGCCGCATTCTCGTTTTGTATAACGGAGCTCATGGGCCCTTATAATAGGGCTGGTAAGGCTCGAAAATCATTTTCATATTCTGCGTGAGGTTGATGAAACCGGTAGGCTACAACGCTTACGATATGACAATGAAATGTGGTGGTCTGGACTGCTATCCAGAAGAGAAGTAATACGATTATTATTCAAAGAATGGTCGAGTGTCTGAATCAACTTTACCTCACAGGGATCTCGTTACGTACTTAAACACTCCATCTGTCCACAAGGCTCTTGGCGTCGATATTACAAAGAACTTCTCAACAAATGCTCGGGAGGTCCACGATGCCTTCTGGTCCACGGCAGATCAAGCTCAGGAATCGAAGCAATACGTCGTTGAGTTACTTGCTCGTCGGGTCAAGGTCCTGATCTATGCGGGAACGCATGACTTCATTTGTAATTGGCTAGGCAATGAGCGGTGGACACTAAGCTTGGACTGGCCTGGCCGATCCGCCTTCTCCAGCGTTCCTCTTGAGGAATGGTTCGTGGATGGTAGTCCTGCGGGTAAGTCACGAATGCATGGAAACTTCTCATTTGCTACAATAAATGGGGCTGGTCACCTCGTACGTTTTTATTGTCAGATTTTATTGGACGGAATTTGACTCGTTTGTTTACAAAAACAGGCCCCACACGATAAACCGGTCGAATCGCTGGCCTTGATACAGCGTTGGTTAGCAGACGAACCGTTCTGAGTCGGACTCTCACAGAGAGTACAGCAACTTGGATGTCTGAAGGATATCTATTATCTAGGAAAATGATAGGAAACTAGTATGTCATGCATGTGAAGCAACAAAACAGTTCAACAGCACTTTGTTGTCCATTTGGATATGATTAGCTGAATGGGTCACGTGGATTCGCAAATACTGAACATCGCTCGTCATCTCTGAGCCATTCTTTCCCCGCTTCCTTCTACCTTTTTTCAATTCAACACTAATTAATGTCTACTGGTCCTTTGTTTTTCATCTCCCAGTACAATGTACAGACGTGCAGGTACAGACGTGCAGGTTCATACGAGTCATGACTGCGAATTCCAACGAATCGGCTCCGAAGATGCCAAACCATCCAATGATGGGCGCCGAAGAAGAGGTCGTGAGAGCAAGTAACTGGAGATACCAGATTTCAATATGGCACGCCGTATCGGCCGCAATAGAATATAAAGGGAAGTATGGAGATGATGCGCATTCTGTATGGACATGAAGAGCTGCAATGAGGAGTAAAAGATGGTCGTGGTTATTGCGCAGACGATACCCACATGGATTCAAGTAAATCGAAGGTCTTAAACAAAGACGCTACAATGGATGCCATCAACACGTGGGCAGCAGTGACGACTTCCGCAGTCGGCCCGACGCATTAAATATCTCCAGTCCTTGGGAAGTTCCCACTGCCATTGACACAACGCTCAAACGGCCATGAAGACGTTCAAGCCGTTCATTGCATTTTGTGCACTCTGGGCTTCAGCTTCGGCTCAGAGTCAGCAGGCTTTCTTTTCGGGCAACACGAAGTAAGTTGAGGGTTACGAGTCCATGTTGTTCGGAAGATCACTGAGTAACAACATCAACGTTGTAGAAATGGTGAATCTGGTGCCCGAACATTGCAGCTCGCTTCAATTCCGGCCGATACTTTCACAAGCATTTCTCATCCTGCATTTCCGGGGAGAAGTGCAAGGATCAAGAAATCAGACTTTTGCGATGGTGGGGTTGCGTACGTCGTTTCTTGCTTGCTTGCTCCTTGGAATGTGTCAACTAGTTCATACTCAAACAATGGATTCTCAAACACAGAGCATATACTGGTTACATTGATGTTGGCCCGAAGCATTTCTTCTTCTACTTCTTTGAGAGTAGAAGCAGCCCGGATGAAGATGATGTTCTTCTCTGGACAAACGGCGGAGCAGGCGCCTCTTCCGCCCTCGGTCTCTTTGTCGAACTTGGTGCGTATTCTTGATCATTTCTAGAAAAAGGTATTCCCAAGCATTTAACTCCCTTTTTATCTAAAGGTCCATGCCGAATTGCGAGTCCCAACAGTACAAAATACAATCCGTACTCCTGGAACACGAACGCAAATATTTTCTTCATCGATCAACCGATTGGAACTGGCTTCTCGTATAATGACCTTAGAGACATAGTAGTGAGTCTCTCTACGGCAAATAGATTTCTTCTTAATTACTTATCGCTATTTGCAGTCCACGACAGAGGAAGCTTCACAAGATATTGCTGCTTTCGTGGCTATGTTCTTCGAGACGTTCGACAATTTTAAAGGAAGGAACTTCCATTTAACTGGAGAATCCTACGGTGTAAATGCTTCAAATTCGCAATCAAATACCTCCCTCCTAATCTCATTCACATTATATAGGGACGTTATCTTCCAGTCTTCGGAGCCGCCGTTTATGACCAAAACTCGTTGCTTATTGAAAAAGGCCTAGAACCGATTAATCTCAAGTCGATTATGATAGGTTTGCACATATGTTCTTATAGTCAATGCTTGCTAATTCGCTTGCAATTTCCATAGGGAATGGAGTGACTGACTTCTTTACGTGGGTGACGTTTACAATGTCGAGACTAATTCGACGCTGGTAGGCTGACTTAGATCCGCAAAAAAATAGGGTCTTACGCTCGTATTACGACATGCAATGCACGAACGCAGCCATCGGGCCCCTCCAGCCCATTTCGACATGCATTCGCATGAAACAAGCCGTAACCCATTTCTCTTTCATCCATTATCTAATACTGATAGCCCGCTTTTTATCTCTCCCATCAAGCTTCCTCGCTGCGAGAAACGACAAAAGGAAGCTTGCACTGATCACTTCGACTTGATTGACTGTTCTTCTGCATTCACTTTTTGTGAAAATGAGCTCAGTGCGCCTTACACTATCGCGGGTAAGGATACTGCGTTTTTTATGTGACTTCGCGCAAAACTGAAGGCCTACGAAAGGATACAATCTTTATGACATGACAATGAAATGCGATGCTTTGGACTGTTACCCAGAAGACAGGTAATGCTTTTACTTATCCAATGTTCTCTGGGCTGACTTAATCGATTTATCTCAGGGATGTTACTGCATACCTGAACAATGCAACCACTCAGAAAGCACTTGGAGTCGACAAGGGGAGGAATTTCTCAACTATTGCTTGGGACGTCAATTCAGCCTTCTGGGCTGCCGGCGACGAAGTGCACGACTCGAAGCAATACGTTGTAGAATTGCTCGCACGCGGTGTCAAGGTGCTCATATATGCGGGCACGTACGACTTTATTGCAAATTGGTTAGGTAACGAATGGTGGACGCTCGACTTGGACTGGCCTGGTCGATCTGAATTCTCAAGCATCCCCCTGCAGGAGTGGTTTGTGGATGGTAATCCTGCAGGTCAGACTCGCACATATGGAAACTTTTCATTTGCCACTATATATGCGGCTGGTCACCTTGTAAGTATATCTTTACATCAGGTTGGATTGCTATTTTATATTTCCTGTTATTTATAATGCAGGCACCGCATGATAAACCGGTCGAGTCGCTGGCGATGTTGCAGCGCTGGTTGGCAGATAAGCCCCTTTGAGTTTAACTCCTTAAGACGTGCATGAATATAAAGGAAGAGATGGTTTTTTTTGGTTATAACGGAATTTTAGTACTGAGTATTATGATTGTAGTCTACAGCAAAACAGAGTTACAGCAATTTACGCAGTTGAACGGATTATCGAGAAATAAGTAAGTAATGAGTGCTAGGCTGCCAGTGCAACGTTTAAAGCATATGATTACAACTGAGTCATGTGAATTATCAAGTACTAGCGTGTCTAAAAGACTTTGGCCCCGACTCTTCTTCCCTCGGCCACTTCGACCTTATACTTAAGTCCTGCGAGGTTTTGTCTCCTGGTACTTTGTCGCTTCATCTCCAAACACAACACACAGCTGTATGGGCGCTCATGACAGCTTCCACAAACTCCGATGAATCAGGTCCGAGAATGTTACCGCATCTGGTGATGGGTGATGAAGAAGGGGTCGTGAGAGCAAGGAACTGGAAATGCCAGATTTCAATAGCACCGCGTAGGCTGCAACTGAGACATAGAGGTGTCAAATGAGGCGCATTCTGTTTGGATACGACGGACTGCGATCAGGACTGAATGGTGGTCGCAGACAACGTCGGGTTCCAGTGAACGAAGGTCTTAAAACAAAGACGATACATAGACGCCAAACCCGCGTGGGTTGCAGAGATAGCTTCCGCAGTCGGACCGACGCATTATATACCCCGATACCATTGAATGTTCCCACTAAGAACGCTCAACCAGTCATGACACTGTTCGCTCCGTGTATTGCATTTTATGTGCTCTGTGCTTCAGCATTGGCTAAAAGTCAGCAGACTTCCTTTTCAGGCGATACGAAGCAACTTGAACAGTACGAATCGTTGCTATTAGAATGACCACTGTAATTAATACTCGGTACATTTATTGATATTGTAGTAATGGCGCATCTGGTGTTCGAACACTGCAACTCTCTTCAATTCTGGCTGATACCTTTACAACCTTTTCCCATCCTGCATTTCCAGGAAGAAACGCAAGGATCAAGAAGTCAGACTTTTGTGATGGTGGTGTTGCGTACGTTACTTCCTCTTTGCTTCGTGGACCGTCCGCTGGCTCATACTCGGATAATATTTTTTCAATCATAGTGCATATACTGGCTATATTGATGTTGGCCCGAAACATTTCTTTTTCTATTTCTTTGAGAGCAGAAGCAATCCTGATGAAGATGATGTCCTTCTCTGGACGAACGGCGGACCAGGTGGCTCCTCCGCCATGGGTCTCTTTGTGGAACTTGGTGTGTATTCTTGCTTGTCCTATCCTATGAAACTAGTAATACGATACAGACAAACTCTAATTGTTTTTCATTTTCTTCGAAGGACCATGTCGAATTGCTAGTCCCAACGGCACAAAATACAATCCATACTCCTGGAACACGAATGCGAATATTTTCTTCATTGACCAACCTATTGGAACCGGTTTTTCGTATAATGACCTTGGAGACATAGTTGTGAGCACCTCTAAAGCACATTTACTTCTCCGCAACTAAATTCACTATATTTGCAGTCAACGACAGAGGACGCTGCACAAGATATTGCTGCTTTCATGGCCATGTTCTTCGAGACATTCGATAAATTCAAGGGCAGGAACTTCCACTTGACTGGAGAATCCTACGGTGTAGTTATCTTCATCATAGGATTATTTTACGATTACATTCTAAATTTCCGAATTCTACTTATATCTTACAGGGACGTTATCTTCCGGTTTTCGGAGCCGCCGTTTATGACCAGAACTCCGTGCTTATTGAGAAAGGCTTCGAGCCGATTAACCTCAGATCAATTATGATAGGTTTGTCCATTCTTTCTTTACAGCCAATACTCGCTGTTTGATACATTACTATAGGGAATGGGGTGACTGATTGGTTCACGTGTGTTTGGTTTTCAATTACAGAAATAGCTCAACCCAGGTAGGTTGACCCAGAACCGTGGAAAAATAGGGTTGTACGCTCGTATTACGATATGCAATGCACGAATGCGGGTATCGGGCCTCTCCAGCCCATTTCGACATGCGTTCGCATGAAACAAGGCGTAAGCTCATCTCCTTCTATCCAATGTCTAGTACTGACGGCGTAATCCTTATTGATACCTTAGCTTCCCCGCTGTTCGAAACGACTAAAGGAAGCCTGTATCGTTCACTACGACTTAATTGACTGCACTGCCGCGTTCGCATTTTGCGGAACTGAGCTTGCATTCCCTTATGATAGGACAGGTGAAAGATACTTGATATTTTTGATTCTTCCTTTAGAGCTGAGCGTAGTTGAAAGGGTACAATCTTTTCGACATGACAATGAAATGCGATGCCTTGGATTGTTACCCAGAAGAAAAGTAGTGCTTTCACTTCTCCTATTATCCAAGTTTGTCAGACTGATTAATTTGGCTCCATCTCAGGGATTTGACTGCTTACCTGAACAATGCAACCACTCAAAAAGCACTTGGAGTCGACAAGAGAAGGAATTTCTCAACCCGTGCTTGGGACGTCAATGCAGCCTTCTGGGCTGCCGGCGACGAAACGCACGACTCGAAGCAATATGTCGTAGAGTTGCTTGCACGTGGTGTCAAGGTGCTCATATATGCGGGGACATACGATTTCATCGCAAACTGGTTAGGTAACGAATGGTGGACGCTGGACTTGGACTGGCCTGGTCGATCTGAATTCTCAAGCATTCCTCTGCGGGAGTGGTTTGTGGGTGGTAGCCCTGCAGGTAAGACGCGCGCATATGGAAACTTTTCCTTTGCTACAATATATGCAGCTGGCCATCTTGTGAGTATATATTTACACTATTTGAGATACACATTTCTGATCATTTCTCCTCCAATAAAACTTGTAGGCACCACATGATAAACCTGTGGAATCACTGGCAATGTTGCAATGTTGGCTAGCAGACAAGCATCTCTGAGTCTACCTCCTTTAGTTAGCAATGTGAACTGAGCTTGGGAACTTGAAGTGCTTTGGATGTGTAGTGATTAATAGTACGATCGTATTGTGCTTTGTAACAAAAGCTGAGCTACACCTATGGTATAGATGAGAAAATTGTCAGCTCCTCTTCCATAATGCGACATTGCGACAGATGGGGCAGCTGCTGGAAGAAGCTAAACGGTGATCGACATAGCGAGGAAAGGATGGAATGAAAATTCTGGAGTATTCACCGGAATTTATGTGCTGACAGCGAGAAAGTCAATGTAGAATACTAAACTTGATCGAAGGTTATTGTGTAAATAATGTACAGTAGAAATTATTGAGAGCCGGAGTGTTTGCTGCTTGCTTGTATTTCTGTCTGTAGCCGAAATGAAGGGTCGAACAAAGCTTCTAGTGGAAACAGTCCTGAGTGCCAGAAAAAGAAAGCCGACGACGAACGTTGCCCTCAGCATTTCTCTCCACAACAGCCATGCCCTCATCCCCAGCAAGCAGCTGCACGTCGATTCCAATGGTGTTGCAATGGAGGATAGCAGTCCAATTGTGTTGTGAAACATGGTAGTTTTATTGGTTTCAGGATGCTGACTAAGCTGATGGCCAACTCTTGTAGCACGTCCTCCTGACCGTTGCTCGTTATACGCCACGACGCTGAAGCGTGCTTTTCGCCTGTAATCATCGTGTGTCATTTAAATGACCCATGATGAGCGCAGAGAAACCATCTTCACCTCCGCCAACAATGCAAGACGCGAAACCGACTCAGAGGAAGCTAACGCGACATTCTGAGTTCTGGTTCTCTGATGGGTCTGTCGTCCTCCTCGCCAACGATGTATTGTTTCGCGTGCATAAATCATTTCTTGCGCGACATTCACTTGTATTTCGGGATGTGTTCTCTTTGCCCCAGCCATCGGCTGTGTTAGAGGAGAATCTGTCACCCACCATGGGATGCAGTGAGAAGACGAGTGGCAGCTGGACAAGTCTTTCGACCTTGCCTGAAGACCTGCTCTCCGATCTGGCTGCTGACAATGGCGAGGCTACGTTGGATGGGTGCCCTGTTGTACCGTTGCATGACTCTCCCGACGACGTCGCGAGTCTCTTATATGCTCTCTACGATGGCCCGTACGTGTCCATCAGTCGTCTCCAATTTGTACTCTATACTTACCATCTCTATAACAACTCGTTCTATTGATCTACATCACATCATTGGTGCATATAGCAAGTTCGACAACAACTCGAGCGAAGATTTCCGTGTTGTGTCGGGTATTCTGAGACTTGCGAGTAAATATGAGATTGACGGACTCCGGTCGCGTGCGCTTGAGCATTTGAGTGTAGCATGGCCTGCGACATTGAAGGGATGGGATGCTCGTGAGGAGTTTCTTGGGAACGCTGGCGGAAGTGTGGAAGAGCCGAGATTTTATCCTAATCCAGTGGTACGTATCTACTTCAGCTCGTAATCGAGCGCATTTAGTCAATGATTTATTGCGTTGGCAGGAGGTCATTAACCTTGCACGCGAAGTTAACGCTCCAAACCTTTTACCTTCCGCTTTCTATGACCTTTCGCGATACCCACTCGAGCACATCTTTCAGAACAGCCAGGGATCTATCCCAGCGTTACCACAGTCAGACCGAACGGCTCACACCGAGCTCTCCCTCACCGATACCCAGCGCCTCGCACTTGGCAAAGAAACGTCACATTGCGCAGTGACCGCCCTCATCCGCAGTCTCGCAACCGAAGCGCGTTCCAATCCATCACACCATACGCAAAGCCACTCAAGTATCGGTCACCACGCACGTGGATTTGCCGCACGCCACCAACATAGGCGGTCCGACTCCGCTGCAGGAGTGGGAAGGTGCGCGTCTCCAGCAACGTGCTGGCGAGATGTCTGTGAACTCGTTGATCTCGCAACACAGCATTACCTATTCGATCGCGAACGAGGTGCTTCGGATCCTCTATACGTCGCCGAGGAACTTGCACTTCTTAAGAGCTCAGGCGACGTATCTTACCCGTCTGAGCGAAGTGACCTACTAGGTGGGAGGAACGGAGGTGGAGGTGGAGGGACCCATGGTGTTGGGATAGGATTATTAGATGAGGACTTGGGTGAGGCGGGGACGTGTAGAGCTTGTTCACGTGCTTTTGAGGTGTGGGCGACGAAGGAGCGAGAGAGGCTTTGGAGGGCGATACCTGGGTGGTTTAAGCTTGATCAATGAATTCCTTTCTCTTGCCGTCGTTTGTGTTGCTTGATCGCTTTCCTTCTCTCCTTTCGCTTTGACGTGATTGTGTTCCTGATCAAATTACTAGATGAGATTTCTGTTGTACTTTCTAGGATTAGCACTAATGACTGTATCCTTCACTCTTCATCATGTTTCGCTACGACAGTTGTAGAATGCTATTATTCTGTATCTCCCATGCTCAGAAACAAAATTATACATACTACATGGTATCAAAACAACGAAAAGAACTTGAAGTAGGGAGTACTCAGCGACGCAAATAGATACGTTCAATAATCAATAAGTAAATACACAAGTAGTCTGTGAATGTTATGTACCCAACAATCATTCCGAAAGTACGTATTCTCGAAGTTGACGACTCCGGCCAAGAGTTGGTTATTCCTTCTCCTCAAATCAAGAAAAGAGAAAGGAATTTGTTGATCTTGGCTACACATTGACCTCCACGGACCATATAACATTATATGCTCGATCCGGGAGGCTTCGAAAGAGCCGTTCTCAAATGCTTATTGTTTTTGTCGAGGGTGAATGAAGTAGTTGTTGGCATCGATGGCGGATTGTTGGCGGGGATGATGAATCGTTGATGAAATACTAAAAATACAACGTCTTATATCTATGCCTGCACAGGTGTATTAGAAATGCAGTTAAATGAATGGATGGTGAAGATGAAGGCACGTACAGAGGTTATAATCTGAACGTATTTATTGGTCTCCCGGTATGTGAAGATAGGGAGAGAGTTGTGGTACAGCAATGCATGCACGCATGCGAGAGGTTGAAAGTCTCAGAAACCTATTACCGCAATTAACTAGTAATACAGAGTGGCGAGAAGAAAGAGAAAAAGAGAATAACGTACAGCAGTCACAGTCGAAAGGACATAACGAAGTATCTATGAGCGTACAAAGAAAAGTCAGAAATATAATTATATGGTATTCTAACGAGAAAGAAAGGGCGTACGTCCACCAGCATCGCGAATTCCAAGTTCATCTTCCTTGTATACTAGGAAGCCTTCTTCTGTCCTTTTACCTGCGCAGAGGTTGACACATTACTCAAGAAAGGAAAAGAGATCAAAAAGTGAAGGAACGTACGTGGACCTGTGCCTCGTGAATCTTTAAACCTTTCCAACACTTCGTCCATTTTCTTCTCCTCCTCCAATGGTTTGTTCTTCGATCTTAACTTTTCTTTGAGTTTCGACGGCTTGGTTGACGTAGGCGGTGGGATGGTGGTGGATGGGAGAGTGGTGGAAGGGTCTTGTACTGTCTCGACGATTCGTGAGCGTTTTGGTTTTTTCTTCTCCTCGACAGCTCCCGTACCATCCTCCTTATCTCTGGAATTTGATTTCATTGTTGATTTCGTCGACGCCGTTGCAGTGTCGAGTGTATCGACCGCATCAAGTCCATTTCGTTCCAGCTCGCGTTTTCGCTTCTTCGCCTTTTTCTTGGCCGAGCCAGTTGAGACATCAATATCAGTACGTTCTTCTTTGGCCTTCTCCTTCTCCTTTCCCTTTGTCTTTGAGGTAGAATCAGCGAGTTTGGGGAGTTTTCCTGAGAAGATGTCGTCGATTTCGGTGGTTGGCATCGTCGTCGTCGTAGCAATAAAATAATAATAAATGATAAAAAAAGAATTGTAAGCCTGATTAGTGATAGATCGGCACACGCTAGTCCACTCATCGTCTTAGCCGTTCTCAGTCATGTCCTTCACCAAGTAACTCGCCACATCCTTACCTCCCCTCTACTTTAAAGACAAGTACAATGTCAAAAAGACGCTCGACGGAAGTCCGACGTCTACATACTCCTTCATCTCTCCAGGCTCCTCTGTCATCGCCTGTTTCGCCGACCGACTCGGACTTGCCTGTTACACCTGCGAGCAGTAGCTCTTCTCGGACGAGGTTTCCGAGGGAGGTCGTGATGGGTGAAGGGGGGAGTACTCTGTATAGGCCAGGGAGAGAGGAGAGGGAAGAGAGGTGTTATGAGTACCCGCTTGAGCATTGTACGGGCTTGGTGGAGGTTATTAGGGATGATGAGGATAGGATTGATGTCGAGGCGGAGGAGAGGGCCTATCGTGCGTTTGATTTGGTGCGTTCAGCATATCCTATCCCCCTTCTTTAATATCTTCTTATATTATCTTATTGGTTATTATTTTAGGACGAATCAGACTCTTCTGCACTAGGTCTTGCCATGCGTAATGACCGTCCAAGGCTTCTCACCGCCCCTGCTCGACCTCCAGGACAAGGAGTAAAACCAGCACCGAAACCGCGCGCACCGTCGTCTATATTCTCGCATGATATATGGGTAGGAGAGAATGGTGATGCGGAGAAGGATGTTTCGTTTGCGAAGGGTGTAAGGATTGTTGGGTGGACGAGTGTGGGTGATAAGAGGGGTGGGGCGTATGTCGGTGAGCTTATATTACAATGTTAATGCCAGCTCTGGTATGCACATGCTAACTATTCGGCGTGATAGTGTACGACTGTGCGATCCTCACGCACGCACTAACAACAATCCACATTCACAAACGATACAGTTCCTTCTCGTCATTACACAGTACACTCCTCGCCACGCTTCCCGGGTCCGTACGACATCAAGTTCCACCTCTCCCACCGCGTACGGCGTGGCAGCGATTTAGGCCGGGGTTTTTGGAGAAGAGGAGGAAGGCTTTGCAGGCGTGGCTTGGTGGTGTGTTGTTGCATCCTGAGATTGGGGGGTGTGGGGCGGTTAGGGAGTGGGTTATGGCGGGATAGTTTTGGCGTCTGGGACTTTCATTATTTCGCTGTTTGATATGTTGTGCTTTACATGGATGCTAGTATGCAGGACATAGACCTCTATCGTATGGTAGTAGTACTGTACTTTTCTCGTGTATAGTAATTTCATGCTGGACTTTGATATGGCATTCTGTAATCTGTTCTCACCGCGTCTAACCCGATTTCCTCGCGTTTGTTCAGTTGACTTCGTTCCAATGCTCTCTCGTCTCGTACAGCGCCAGGCAGCGCGTCGTACACACCCTCACTCTCTCAAACAATGTCGAGCACTTTCATCATCAACAACGTCCTCTCCTAACTCTCCCTCTTCCTCTTCATCACCTTCACTTTTCCTTCGACGCGCAATAACAACTTCCCTCGTCCTCGTCTCAGGCACGCTCTTCGCAGTATACTACTCTGACTCTCGCTCTGCTGTGCATCGTTATGTGTTCACTCCAGTGTTAAGGAAAATGCTTGACCCGGAAGGCGCACATTGGTTTGCTGTACGTGTTTTGAGGAGTGGGTTGGGGCCGAGAGATCGGGGGGTGGATGATGAGCGGTTGAAGACGGAGGTGCGTACTCTACAATTGTGAGATTACTTAACAGGCTTTAAGGATGAAATATGTCGTTCGTGTATTTGTTTTCTTTTTAGTTGTGGGGAGAGACACTGGCGAACCCTGTTGGACTTGCAGCTGGGTTTGACAAGAACGGGGAAGCTATTGACGGTTTGTTTTCTATTCTCCCCTCCCTCCCTCATTCAAACTAACTAATCAAATAAACCTCCTTTTTATCGGAAAAAGGTCTATTCAACCTCGGCTTCGCATGGGTAGAAATCGGTAGCGTCACTCCCAAACCTCAACCCGGTAACCCCAAACCGCGGGTATTCCACCTCCCAGAAGATAATGCTATGATTAATCGGTATGGGTTTCCTTCGGTGGGTGCGGTGGGGGTTTTGGAGAGGTTGAAGCGGAGGTTGCGGGGTTCTGTTTTCTCTTCTGGAGAGAAGGGAGAGGGAGAGGGAGGGCATGCTTCGCTTCGCCCTAACGCGCTACTTGCGATTAACCTTGGGAAGAACAAGACTTCTCCTGCTGATAGTCCGGAAGACTTCCTTAAGGGTGTACGTATGTTTGCTCCGTACGCGGATGTGTTGGTTGTGAATGTGTCGAGTCCGAATACTCCTGGGTTACGTGGGATGCAGACGCGTGGGTTGCTCGAGGAGCTTTTAGGTTCGATTGTTAAGGAGAGAGACGCTCAGGCTGACATCACAAAGGCCGCGAAAACAAGGGATGGAGAGTGGAATGTGCAAGTGGGAGTGACGAGGAAACCACCGAAAGTGGTGTTAAAGATCGCACCAGACTTGGATGATGCGGAGATTGAAGATATCGCTGAAGCTATAAAGGCAACTCCAGGTGTCGATGGGGTAATTGTGAGCAATACGACTGTTCAGAGACCCAAGTCGCTCACTCCTGATCGTACGTCCCGCTTTCCTCACCCTCATACAATTTTGGTAATTCCAATTCTTACAACCCCCCTCTTCTTCGTTACAGCTCGAACGAACGAGATGGGAGGTCTCTCCGGTCCTCCACTCAAACCACTCACACTCCGCGCACTAAAGTCCCTCCGCTCACATCTCCCTTCGACGATACCTATCATAGCGTGCGGAGGTATCTCTACAGGTGCCGATGCACTTGAGTACGCGAAAGCAGGAGCGAGCGCTGTACAGCTATATACTGCGTTTGGGTACGACGGCCCCGGCGCAGTTAGACGTATAAAAGACGAGTTGAGTCGGGAGTTGGAGAGGGAAGGGTTAACGTGGGGGGAAGTTGTGAGGAGGAGTGTAGGAGAACGAAGTTGGAAGGGCGAACTCAAACCTCGGAAGAAAGTGGGGGAAGAGGAGGAAGACGAAGAGGAAAGCGGGGTTAATATTAGTACGAGTTTGCAAGTGCTCGTGGATGAAGCACATGCCATTCGGAAACAGTTGGAGAATCTGGGGGAGAGGCTTGGGGAGAAGGAAAATGCTATTGTTGAGAGTTCTACTCCGGCTACTTAAGTAGCTTAGGTAGCTTAGGTAGAACGAAAATACAGCAAATAAAAGTCTTTTTTTTTCAGGGCTTACTCAATTATATGTGCTAAGATTCAATAGAAGCTCCTTTATACAATGATGAATGCAGGTACCTTTTTCTATTCATTATAATTTTGATTATGCATTGTTGTCTGAATAGTAATAATGAAGGAACTGTTTTTTTTTTAAATCATCTTGGGGGTGGAATATCATATACATGTATGTTGGAGACACAGATTGGGACTGACTTTCCTGCATTTTTATTATAATATTAAGTAGTTTGTATTACTTTTTTCCTTCTTATTTACTGTCTTGTTTCTGTTTTGATTACCTCCTTGTGTGTTAGTATCAAACAATGGTATACTATGCTGCAAATTGGAAAACACAACAAGACCAGAAAGACCAAAATAAATGCATTTGATAATTATTATATTACGTAATTTTAGCAAAGATTGGCCATCCTGAATCCTGAATCCTGATCTGGCGGTCTGGGATAGAGTATGAGTGGAAACTCCCTAGTTTCCCACAGTGAGGATTACCACAGAGGTTTCCCACGAGGTAAACCTCACTACCACAAGGGTTGCCGGAAATTGGCCTGTGGAAAACTCAAACGTATTAGTCATACATAAATATTATGTCAGTAGATAAATTAAGAAAAAATGCCTCAACCTGACGAAAAGCAAGGAAAATAGATAGTTTGAGAGTGCATATACTCTGTGTCTGTCATTTTTTTAGGTCAACATCTCCTACTTTGCCTGACATTCTTTCAGATACTCCTTCATTTGAAGGAGTACACTCTGATAAAACTAGAGAGGTACAAGTGATAGATGTGGACAATATTTCCAGTACCTCTTCGGATGATTTACAAATTTTGAATAATAATAAAGCCTGGTCAATGTAACTGGTTGCCTCTTTCTTTTTATTTCTCTTAGATATATCTATTTATTATGTAGGTTTCAACACTGGTAGACTATAAAACACAATATAATTGCTCTCAGCAGTATAACCAATGTCTGAAATTAATATTACACCTAAATTTTTAGCTCAATAGAGGTACAGCACAAAATTCTTAAAATTTTCCTTTTTGGAACATTATAATGATATTACTAATATACTGACTAAATGTTGTCCACGCGAGGTTTACCACGCCTCCAGAGGCCCAGCAAAATGACCTGTGGAAAACTAGTTTCCCACAGGCTCTCGGGAGTTTCCACTCGTACTCTAGTCTGGGACTTTTATTGTTCTGCCACTCAAACATGAAGACTACGTACTAACGTAGTAACGTATGCTGCTGGTACTTTGCTCGCGGGCTTGCCTGGAGGTTTCGAGGCCTTCGTTCTCGCCACAGTCCACTTGACTTCGGTATGAAGCCGGGCGCCGAACAATGTTAGGCCACTCCTAGTGAGCAGGAGATCGAAGCCTTTCCGCTGTCCTGCTTGCCTGCCTGTTCTAAGACTGGACAAAATGACCGGTATCCTTTTCTACCTTCATTACCCTAATGGTCGTCCACAAACAATTCTCCACAAGAAGTGCCTGTTACGTACGCTGCTCTCATACTCACACGGGGTCTTAGGACATCTAGTTCGCGCCACAAACGGACTATCCTAGTATCTATTTTTGAAACAACTGGAGGGTCCTCTAAAGCAAAGCACTGACTAACTTTCCCCTTCCCTTTCTGCCGGAGTTTCAGCTCTCATTATCGTCTGCAATCATTTTTTCCTCGGTTTTCTTTCTGGCGCGTGACTTTTTTTAAACTTTTCACTATTCAATTTACTTAATGACTGAACGGGAACGGTCGGCATTGATGACGGAAATGCGTATACCGCCGCAATTTTGCTCTCAAAGGCACACCGTGTGCCGATACCCCGCCACAGACAGTCTATCCGTCTTCGTAAGAGGCGTAAGAGCCTCCGAAACACGAACCTGAGGGTCTACCTTTGCTCATGACATTGGACTTTTAACGAGAATGGCTACAGCCTTTGCCTTGGCTCATCTGGGTTGCTGTTCTCTATTCACCTGAGAAATCAGCTCCCTTCACGATTCGCAATCGTTTTTTCTGCTTCTTTACTCTCCGTGGCGACATACAATGACAGACACGCTGAAGGTGGTCAACGCAGATACAACGATAGAAAACGATGCCGCGAACTGGAAACTCGTCCCAGCGAAGGACGGCTACCCTGCGTACTACGTCTACGCAGTCCCGATCGAGAAGAGTCCTTTAGATGATCGCGAGTATCGTGTAATTCGTCTGGAAAATGGACTCGAGGTGGTGCTTGTACATGATGAGAAGACTGACAAGGCCGCGGCTTCTTTGAAAGTTCATATAGGACATTTCCATGATCCAGTGAGATGCATCAGTAGAGTCGATCTACTCTCCGAAACTAGGTTTAACTGACATTTTGCGGCGCAATTTGTAGGACGACATTCCGGGTCTTGCGCATTTCTGCGAGCATTTGTCATTCATGGTAAGGTTTAACATAGAACACGACTGCGCGACTTCGGCTGATTATAGTAATACATATCAAATGATAATAGGGCTCAAAAGAATTTCCCAAAGAGAATGAATATCCTGAGGTAAGGTTCACTTATCACTTTTGAAATTTAGAAGAGTTCTCAACCACCTGGTAAAACCATTCTACCGTTAGTACCTTTCAAAACAACACGGATACTACAATGCTTGTACTGGCGGTTCTAAAACAGTATACTTCTTCAACGTCGCATCAGACGCTTTCGAAGGCGCACTGCATCGCTCCTCTGCGTTCTTTCACGGACCGCTGTTTGACGCTAGCACGACGATGCGAGAGATTAATGCCGTTGATTCCGAATTTAGAAGCTATCTCCAGAAGGATGTCTGGAGGATAAATCAGATTGAATGTGACCTCGCACGGCCTGGACACCCATTTAGGAAATTCAACGTTGGTTGTAAGGAGACTTTAACGCAAGCTGGATGGTCTAAGGGTGACCGCTCTTCGAACAAGACAACAGATGCAAAACAGGATAAGAACCCTGGAATAGATACGGCAAAGGGCCTGGAAACGAGACGTAGAGTGATTGAATGGTGGGAGAAGGAATATTGTGCAAGCCGTATGAAATTAGCAGTCGTCGGTAAAGGTCCGTCGTGATCCTGAATTATTTACCAACTATATCTGATGCTGATTGTCTACGTCAAGAATCGCTTGATGACCTTGCGCGTTTGGTTACGAAGTTCTATTCTCCAGTAAAGAATCGAGGAGTGGATCCATTACCAAAAGTGCCTGACGATCCGTATGGAAAAAATGAACTTTGTGTGCGTTGTTCCCAGTATGTCATTCGCACCATTCTCACATTTGATAATCGTGGTATTCGCAGAAATTCGTGCACGTCAAAACAATAAAGGATACTTACGAAGTTAACATTAACTTCCCTATACCGTGGCAAACCCCCCACTGGCGGGTTTCACCTGCCGGATTTCTCGCGCATATCATCGGTCATGAAGGATCAGGCTCTCTGCATGCTTACTTGAAGAATAAAGGTTGGCTGAATGGCTTGTATGCAGGGCCTGCAGAGGCGGGTCGCGGTGTTTCGGTGTTTGCGGTGACCGTGGACCTGACGAAAGAAGGGTTCAGTGAGTTTTACTATCATGACAGCATTGTTGTTAATCCTCATTACTGGTTTGTACATTCACCAACAGAGAACTATCGCGAAGTGATCCTGACTATCTTCGAGTTCATCAATCTACTGCGGGGGTCAGAGCTTCCGAAATGGGCACACGAGGAGCTAAAGACGCTTGGAGAACTGGCATTTCGGTTTACGGAGAAAATCGAGCCCCTTGACTATGCGTTCACGTTATCATGCGGGATGGAATCGCCAGTTCCTCGAGCGCTGCTGCTGAATGCTCATAAGTTCCCGAGGAAATGGGATGAGAATCTCGTGCGCGAGATCCTGGACACACTTAATGTCGAGAATTGCTACATCTTCGTGACTGCTCAGGATCATAGTCAGATTGGGAAGACCGGACCCTGGCTCACAGAACCCTGGTACGGAACGCAGTACATAGAAGAGAAATTTAGAGATGATTTCATTTCTGAAGTACGTATTCCACACTTTGTCAAAGTTGATATGAAGTCTGAACCGAATTGTTAATATATGATAGGCCCACAAGAGCAACGACATCGCCGAACTTACTCTCCCGAAACAGAACGAGTTCATTCCGAAGGACACTAATGTAAATAGAGTAGACGTTGCCGAGCCCAAGAAGCGTCCGTTCCTCATTAAGCGTGATCAAATAGCGGAAGTTTGGCATAAGAAAGATGATCAATTCTGGGTTCCTCGCGCACAAGTCTTGATCATTGCTCGCACGTACGTTTAATATACTGTAAATTTGCGAGCCTTTTAACATAATCCGACTCTTTATTAGACCTGCCGCTGGAGCGACTGTTCGTACCTTCGTCATGACAAAGCTATTCACGGCTCTCATCACGGATTCGCTAAACGAATATTCATATGACGCCAAACTCGCCGGTTTATCGTACCAATGTGGTGGGACGATGCGCGGTATCAACATCTCCATTGGAGGGTACAATGATAAGCTTCACATACTCCTGCAGCGTGTTCTCGAGACAATTAAGAAACTTGACATTAAAAAGGATAGACTGCAAGTGATGATTGAGCAGGTAAATATTTGAAAGATATCCGACTGTCTATGTCTGACCCCGGGTGCGACACTAGGCTCAATTGGACCTGGATAATAGGCAACTACAGGTCCCATATAGTCTTGCACTATATCACTTGACTTATCTGCTTGACGACCAGAGGTGTACTATTGAAGAGGAACTAGAGGCGCTCAAAGGTACGTAGTTCGCGACCTCTGTTGTTTTCTGAGTACTGACCAAGTCATGATAGGGATCACTGTTGAAGATATTTCCGAACATGCAAAGCAACTGCTTTCGCAGATGAATTTCTTAATTGTAGTGAATGGCAATCTTCTCAAAGGGGTGAATTATGTGCATCCATCCTTTAACCATAATATACACTGACGTAGATGCTTAGGATGCTCTTCGCATGGAATCCATGGCCGAAGATGTTCTCAAAGCAAAACCAGTCCCGGAAAGCCGACTTGTTAAAGATCGTTCACGTCTCCTGTCTAAAGGTGAGACCTACAACAGAAAATAACATATTTGATCGCCTCGGTACTGATATTCCTGAAAAGGATGCAATTACATTTGGGAACGTCCGATCCACAACCCAGACGAGCATAATTCGAGCGTTTTCTACTACTGCCATGTCGGAAACTACTCGGATGCCCGTACTCGTGTCACATGCAGTCTCATAGACCAAATCCTCGAAGAACCTACATACGACACTCTTCGTACGAAGGAACAACTTGCATACCTCATCTGGGGATACATGATGGAAGATGTTGAGTCTATCGGCTGGGGTGTCCTTATACAGTCAGAGAGGGACTGCAAATATCTGGAATTACGCATTGAAAATTTCATAACACAGATGCGCAGGAAGATTGAAGACATGCAGGAAGGCGAGTTTGAAGAGCACAAGAAGGCGCTTGTCCATCAGTGGACTGAAAAGCTGAAGAATCTGGGTGAGGAGTCAACGCGTTTCTGGAGCGAAATTCAAATGGGATACTATAATTTCCAAAGAAATGAAAAAGATGCAGAGCTTATAAAGAGTATTACGAAGCAGGATGTCCTCAATATGTACAAAACTTCTATTGATCCCTCGTCACCTTTGCGTTCAAAGATTTCTATACATATGCGTCCTCACAGCCCACCTGCACGCAAGTTTAGCGAAAACGCAGCCAATTATTTCCTTGAGGCACTGCGCAAGGCAGGCATCAATATCAATGAAGAGGAGTACAAGTCAGAGTGTCACGATGAGCCTCCGGCTGTACAAGTGCGTGCATATTGGGCAGAGAGGCTGCACAAGGAAGCCAACGCGAAGGATGATATTATCAATAATCTGCTGGCAGAGCTTGATGGGCTTATTGAGAAATATCCTGCAAGAGGCCAAGGACATATTGAACTGGACTCAAAAGCTGTTTTTATCGAAGATGGTACAAGATTCAAAGAGAGTCTGGAGCTTTCTGGACCAGCAGAACCTGTTGAGAAGTTCCAAGTTGAGTAAATCACTAACGTCACAACTAGGCAGGTAGCATACGTTTGTGTAAAAAACATTAGATACTACATCCTGTTGACAGTAGTTTATAAATGAAATATTATGAGTGGCCTGACACAAGGAAAGTCATTTCAAATTATGAGCATCAGAAAGTATAAATGCTGTTTAGCATGCTATTAGCTATAAAGTTGAGTATTTAGGTCTTCAACACTTCAAGTTGAAAGTAACTATATATGGTGTAAAAAGGACAAAATCGTCTGCAATTCTCATCTGATTTTCCGGAGATCTAGTAGTATACTGGATGAGAGACTCAATATTTCATACTTCTCTAACTATTGTACGTAGATTCATATTTAATCGCAAATGGTACCAGTACCAGTCAGTCATTTACTGTAAATGTGTAGTCAGTGATAACTGTATCTTTACTGATAGCCAAATCACACTGTTTTGAGAAAAAGGTAGCACAAATGAGATTATGTGATAATGCAACTCCCTGAAATGTCTAGCGTGTGCTTGATATGATCTACAGCATCTGACCATTAGATACATCTTTCTGAGCTGTTTAGACCGGTTGTGAGTTTTTATTATTTTTTATTTGCTATACAGCAGCCGTGACTATGGACTCCACTTTTCAGTCAAAGGTCCTCCTGGTCTGCTTGTGAGCTCAGCGCATTCATACAGTTTTATAGAAAGTGCCGAGGCTGGCTGCTGCTTTTCAAGCAGAATTCGCTACAGTCTGATACAAAGTTGTACTCGAGACTCAAAAGTCAAGTTCGTTTTACTGGTTTCGTCTCGGTCCGATCACGTGACTTTGTTTCTTCCTGCAGTATACTATACGTACGTACGTGCCTCTGGCGAAAATCGAGGACCACCACTAAAAGGATCGGGATGTACGACAGATGCGTTGCTCATCAAAATCCAGAATTTCTTTGCTGTTATTCGCAATACGCATCTTTTTACCATTATGTGGGGGACACTTCGACGACCGAGACGTGGCAACTATGCAAAGTCGGACTATGCTTTACCAATGGTGACCTGAAACGTTCTGGCTGTATCCAGACATTGTGTTATCCGTGATCCAGAATCACGGTCCTTACAGGCTTTCCCCTTCCATCTCATGCTATATACACTGCGCAATGAGTGATCAGTGAGGTGACTCCGTTGATTGTCAGTTGTCTGAGACTGATAACTGGTGGATAATCGTCAATGTGCGATAGTTGGAGTACTCCTTTGTCCTTTGCTCGAAGAGTTTAAGACTCGCCACAACTAACTCGAGGATGTAACACGTGAAATGACCTCTGCCGTTTTGAGGGGTCTACCTTTGCTCATAACTCAGACGTCTTATAGAGCATTGGCCATCCCTCAATCAACCCAGGTTTGCATCCCTTACCGCTCTTCTTCTTTCTCTGACAAGGAAGCAGCTCACTTCAATCCACTTTGCGACGTCCTTCCTGCGACTACAAAATGGAAGACGCGAATAACATTGTTAACATAGATACACCAATCGAAGAAGATGCCGCGAATTGGAAACAGGTCCCAGCAAAGGACGGCTATCCCGCTTACCATGTATACACGGTTCCAATTGAGAAGAGCCCTGCAGATGACCGCGAGTATCGTATTATTCGCCTGGAAAATAAACTCGAGGCAATTCTCGTACATGATGAGAAGACCGACAAGGCGGCGGCAAGCTTGAACGTCGCCACAGGAAATTTTTATGATCCAGTGAGATGCCTCACCTCCATCCAAAGAATTTACTGACATGTTGGTTTCGTCATCTAGGATGATATCCCCGGTCTAGCACATTTGTGCGAACACATGTTGTTTTTGGTAAGCTTCAAAGTAGAACGTCGTCGGCTATCCATCGCTGAATACTTTGTAACTGATGATAGGGATCAGATGAATTTCCTAAAGAAAACGAATTCGATGAGGTTGATCCCACTCCTTTTATTTACTTGTATGAGAATTTTAAATTATTTCTTTGGTGCAACAGTACCTTTCCAAAAGAGATGGCGCCACGAATGGGTGGACTACAGGCTCTGAACAAGGATTCTATTTCGCGGTTGCCTCGGACTCCTTTGAAGGCGCACTTCATCGCTTTTCCGCCGTCCTCCACGGACCGCGGTTTGATCCTGACTCAACGATGCGGGAGATCAACGCAGTTGATTCCGAATTTATAGACACTATTCAGGACGATGGCAGTAGGATTAGTGAAGTAGAAGGTAGCCTTGCGCGCCGTGGGCATCCGTTTGGGAAGTTTGACTTTGGGAATAAGGAAACATTAACACAAGCCGGATGGGCTACGAAAAATCGTTCAAAGTCAACATTAACGAAAGCAGATAGAAGGGATAAAACCCGTGAGGGTCAAGTGTCAACTAGTAATGACTCAACGGTCAGTAAAGAGAATGACGACACCAAAGGGGCATTAGAAACAAGACGCAGACTGATCGAATGGTGGAAGAAGGAATACTGTGCAGGTCGAATGAAACTTGCACTGGTTGGTAAAGGTTTGTTGGATCTCGCATGCATTTATCGGAGCTTACTCGAAGGCTGATTATGCGTATCAAGAGTCTCTCGATGACCTAGCACGATTCGTTACAAAGTACTTCTCACCGGTTAAAAATCGTGGACTAGACCCATTACCAAAAGTGCCCGATGATCCCTATGGAAAGAATGAGCTCAGTGTATGTCGTGTCTGGTTGTTTTCGGTGCATTTAATGGACTGACTTTGTGCGAACAGAAATTTGTACATGTCAAAACAGTCATGGACTTGTACGAAGTTGACCTTACTTTCCCTATTCCTTGGCAGACTCCCCACTGGCGCGTGACGCCTGCTGACTATCTTGCGCATTTAATTGGACATGAAGGACCAGGCTCTATATTGGCCTATTTGAAGAGCAAAGGCTTGGTCAACGAATTATGTGCTAGTTGCTCGGCACCCGGTCGCGGTGTTTCGCAATTTGAAGTGTCCATCGACCTAACAAAAGAGGGTTTCAGTGAGTTCTAAAGCCGGTGCTATCCGGTGCTGCCATTGCTCATTTGCACGGTTACGAACAGAGAAATATCGTGAAGTGATTCTAGTGATATTCAATTATATCAACCTGTTGCGTGATTCCGAAATTCCAAAGTACGTGTACGAGGAGTTCAGGACGCTTGGCGAACTCTCGTTCCGCTATGCTGAGAAGATCAACGCGTGTCCCTACTCGCAGATCTTATCCGGTATGTTGGAACTTCAGGCGCCGCGAGCGCTACTTCTGAGTGCTCTCGCATACCCGAGGAAATGGGACAAGAAACTCGTGCGCGAGACTCTGAATGCGCTAGATGTCAAGAACTGCTATATTTTCGTGGCCGCTCAAGACCATAGTCAGATTGGAAAGACTGGACCTTGGCTTACAGAGCGTTGGTATGGGACACAGTACATGGAAGAAAAATTCCACAATGATTTCATTTCCGCGGTTCGTATTACGATCCTGACTGAAGTCGAAGTGAATTCTGATGAGAACCATTGGCTGTCGATAGGCTCGCAAGAAGAACGATATCAAGGAGCTTGCGCTTCCTAAGCCGAATGAGTTCATTCCGAAAAACACAGATGTGGAGAAAATAGATGTTTCCGAGCCCAAGAAACGCCCATCGCTTATTAAACGTAATTCGCTTTTGGAAGTATGGCATAAAAAGGACGATCAGTTCTGGGTTCCCCGCGCGCATGTCTTTCTTTTTGCCCGAACGTATGCTACATTTCCCTTGCCAAGTGTTCGAACGTTCGCTGACGAGTGGATTTCTCCATGAAATAATTTAGCCCTATCGCTGGTACAACTGCTCGGGCGCATCTCATGACGATCTTATTTGCGGACCTCGTTGAAGATCATTTATCTGACTATTCTTATGATGCCCAACTTGCCGGATTGTCGTATGAGTTTGACGGTAGTATACAGGGTATTGGCATCGGTATTGGTGGATATAGCGATAAACTACACGTGCTTCTGCGCCGCGTTCTCGAGACAATTAAGGGACTTAAAATCAAAAAGGATAGATTAGCTGTAATGATGGAAAACGTGAGATAGCCTTCGAAGTTCTTTTCTTGCTTCAGACGTTAGTAGCTAAAGTGGAATACGATATTCAGGTGCAAATGGACCTGGAAAACATTTTACTCGAAGACTCAAGCGTGCTTGCAAAGCACCACTTAATTTACCTACTTAGAGACCGTCAGTATACCATTGAAGAAGAGTTGGAGGCGCTCAAAGGTGTCGTTTTCACCCTTGTTCTCCCTGTTCGGAGGATTGACTAGTAGCGGATAGAAATTACTGCCGAGGACCTCGCTGAGCATGCAAAGAAAGTGCTTGCTGAACTTAAATTTAAAGTACTAGTAAATGGCAATCTGCGTAAAGAGGTAGGGTGATATACTCTTACGCAGCTGTCTGGAGTATGATTTGACGTTTGACACAGGATGCCCTCAGCATCGAATCCATGGTTGAAGATATCCTCGGTCCGAAACCCGTTCCGTCGGGTAAACTTATTGAAAAGCAGTCACGCCTTCTGCCCAAGGGTACGTATCCCAATTCTTAATTATAAGTATGTAATATTATTGGTATTGACACTCACAAATAGAAAGCAATTATATCTGGGAGCTCCCTGTCCCTAATCCAGGGCATATAAGCTCATGCGTCGCCTACTACTGTCATATCGGAAACGTCTCGGACTCACGTATTCGCGTAATAGCCAATCTCATAGGCCAAATTATGCAACAGCCTACATATGATACACTTCGTACCAAGGAGCAACTCGGATACTATGTCGGAGCTCAATCAGTCGAAGGCATTGAGTCCATCGGATGGGCCCTCATTATCCAATCAGAGAAGGATCCAAGGTATCTCGAATTGCGGATTGAATCCTTCTTGCATAAAATGCGCAAGACGATTGAGGAAATGGAAGAAAGCGACTTCGAGGAACATAAGAAATCGCTTGTGCACATGTGGACTGAGAAGTTGCATAACCTGTCAGAAGAGAGTGATGAGTTCTGGTCTGCTATCACATCCGGGTACTATGACTTCCAAGGCGATCAGAAAGACGCACAGCTCGTGCAGAATGTCACAAAGTCGGATGTCCTTACCATGTACAAGAAATTTATCGACCCTGCGTCTGACAAACGTTCAAAGTTGTCGGTTCACTTACGTTCTCAGAATCCGCCGGGACCAAAATTCAGTGAAGAAGCAGCCAAGTCGTTCCTTCAAGTGCTACGCAAGGCCGGTATCAAGGTAAATGAAGAAGAGTACAACGCAGAGTGCCAAGATGAGCCGCCTGTTGCACAAATACGCGCATACTGGGAAGAAGGACTGCGCGAGGAGACCGAGGACAACGACAAGAAGGTTGAGAAGCTGCTTGCTGAATTTGACAAACTTGTTGAGAAGTATCCAGCGAAGGGACAGCAACCTGTTGAACTAGACGCGAAGGTGGAGTTCATCAAGGATGGCAAGAAGTTCAGGGAGGGACTAGAGCTTTCTGGACCAGCGAAACCCGTTGAAAACTTTGAGGTTGAATAATGCGCCACTTCTGACTAAGGCCGTGGAGGTAACATGGCTGCTGCTGATGATAGTTAGCAACTTAATAATATGAAATATAAATAGAGCTGCATAGTAACTTTGAAAGGAAAACAAATACGATTTTCCATTTGATATTCTTGTCTGGTCAAATGATTATATAATGACCTTCTATGGTGTATAGCTCCCACGGTATTTGAACAATGAAGACTAGCAACGTCTGAGAGTCTTAAATTTAACATCTATTCCCCATGAACTTTGATTTCAATAAACTAATCGCCATTCGCAGTGTAATGCCGCTCTATGGCAGTGTATTCCCCTCTGACTAGTACTTCCCTTCTGGGAGTCATACTAGTCTATGGCTAGTACAGAGCTCTCTGTTTACGCATTTTATCTCCGCTCGCTCTAGGATCTCCCGAAGTTACGCTCGCAGAAAGTTCTTTTCCTTCTTCGTCTCTACGCCGGTGCCCATGTTGCATACTAAGGGGTTCGCCACATCTCCCTTCAAGGTTCGCTCCTCCCTAGAGTAGTTTTGAGAAACTGTCTCACAAACCGCTTGCTCCTGTCATGTGGGGTGAAAATGTAAACGTAGGAACGACCTTAGAGGGCGACTCCGTCAACTGGGAGTTTGTTCCTGCTACGAAATGTGGCTCTCCAGGATACTATCTCTACACCGCGCAGATACAGAAGAGTCCGGAGGATGATCGTGAATATCGTGTTATTCGTCTGGGGAACGGACTTGAGGCTGTTGTAGTCCGCGACGGAGATGCAATTGCACCAGTGGCTAGTCTAAACATTGCCACTGGACATTTTCGCGATCCAGTGAGTGACTCTTCAATCGAATGCTCATTTGTTCTTGTTCTCAGTTGATGGGGTACTGGTACTCTCAGGAGGACATGCCCGGGTTAGCGCATCTGTGTGAGAACTTGACGCTTTCTGTGAGGCCAAGCGCTGTATATCATTAGAACTTATACTGATCCATCTCTGTAAATGGCAGGGACTGGAGTTGGACGAAGAGGTAACAAGCCAGTTTAAGGTTCCTGGTTTTTCTTTAACCTTCATTTCCCTTTTTTTTCTACACATATAGTATACTGAAAGAGTCAACTACATATCTGACACAAGCTCAAGCGGGTTGGATACAAGCTGTACTTTCTCCGTCTCCTCGAATCACTTGGCCGATGCTCTTGAGCGCTTCTCCTCTGTTTTCTGTAATCCGCAGTTCAGTACGGAGATAATTCTGCGTGCGATTGACAAGCTTGACTCCAAGCAGTCGGAACGTCCTGTAGATGATGAGCGGAGGATTGCTGCGGTAGAGAATACGCTCGCACGCCCTGAACACCCATTGAAGAAGTTTGGGTGCGACGTGGCAATAACGAAAACCAGAGAAAAGCTCGGTGAATGGTGGGAGAAGGAGTACTGTGCGGACCGAATGAATTTGGCGCTGATCGGAAAAGGTTCGTACCTCTTAGTCTATAACAATCACTTTCCGCCTTAATCAATATCATGAAGAGTCTCTCGAAGAGCTTACACACTTGGTTGTGAAGCTATTCTCTCGGATAAAGAGCGGCGGACAAAATTCGATACAGCTCAGCGAACAACCGTACACAAAGGAAGAGCTCTGTGTATGTAGTCTCAGTTTCAAAACTCATTCGAGCTTGACTTAATTTGATTACCTGCAGAAAATTACATATATCGAAACTACTGATGGTGCATATAGAGTCAAGATCAAATTTTCCGTACCATGGCAAGCCCCTTTTTGGCGCTTCAAACCTGCGTATTTCATTGCGTACATTATTCGCCACAGAGGTCCTGGATCGCTTCATGCCTACTTGAAAAGCAAAGGATGGATTTCTGAAAAAATAGTTACTGGCGTCGTCAACATTGCGAACGGAATCTCGTTCTTTGAAATAGAGTTGCGGCTCACCAAAGACGGGTTTGGTAAGTTCTAAAGCCAGGTTTATGAAACATCCCGTATAACGCGTATTTTGACAGAGAACTACCGCGACGTAATCTTTGCATGCTTCAAGTTCATCAACTTCCTCCGCACATCTGAGCTTCCAAAATTCATCCAAGAGGAAATCATCAGGCTCGCCCAACTTTCATTCCGTTTCTCCGAAACCGATGATACGTACGACTTTGCGCAGATTCTCGCTAACTCCCCGAATCGCATTATCCCTCGCGCTTATATTCTAACTGGTTTTAGCCTAACATGGGACTGGGATGAAAAGCTCGTACGCAAGGTACTCGACGAACTCGTTATCGAGAATAGTCTTATTGCAATTGCTGCTCAAGCCCACCACCACGAGATTGGACAAACTGGTCCATGGCTTTCAGAATCATTGTACAAGACACAGTACTTCGTAGAAGAGCCAAGTAGTGATTTTATTTCCGCCGTAAGTGCTCATAGCATGCGCCTGACGGGGTGACCGACATTTACAAGTCTGCTTTCTATCAAGACGAAGCAACCGAACGATATCCAAGATTTCTCTCTGCCTCAGCGGAATAAATTTATCCCCTCTAATGTTGATGTTCAGAAAGTCGATGTTTCACAGCCACAGAAGCGTCCGGCCCTCATCAAGCGAACTCCGCTCACGGAGTTATGGTATAAGAAAGACGACCAGTTCTGGTCTCCTAACGCATGGGCCAAGGTTTTTGCATGGACGTCCGTACACTCTATTTAAAATTTCAATTTCCTGATCTTATTATCTGTTTATATAGGCCATTCGCTAGTAGGACTGTCCGAGCCAAGATGTTGAACCGAATATTCCTCCTCCTTGCCTATGATTCAATCACAGAACATACGTATGACGCTCATCGAGCTGGTTATAACTATTTTATTGGATGTGAACAAGGGCTCGATTTTACTTTTATGGGATACAGTGACAAGCTATACGACATGGCTCGACTTGTTCTCGAAAAGACGAAGAATGTAGAAATCAAGAAGGACAGACTGGTGGCAATGATTGAGGAGGTAGTATCTCTAATTTTCTCCGTCATGACCCTTTATAATAAATCTAACTGTGATCCGTAGGAAGAAGCTGCGCTTAAGAAAAGACTCCCGCGAAGACTCGATTTAATCCCACAGGACAAATTGTTTCACATTCTCGAGGAGCACGGGCCAACCACTAAAGAAAAGCTTGAGGCACTCAAGGGTGAGCTGTTTGCAACAAGGATGTGTGCTGTGGATGACTACTTAACTCAGGCATTACTGTCGAGGAACTGGTTGAGCATGTGAAAAAGCTCTTCTTGAAATTTAGGTATACAATTTTGGTCGATGGTAATCTTCAAAAAGAGGTGAGTTGTACATCTTTATTCATCGGTAGATGCTTCATTGGTCTCGGTAGGATGCCTTCCGTTTTGCATCTTTGGTAGAAGAGGTTTTGGGATCTAACCCCGTACCGGAAGAAAAGAAAACGCACGGCCGTACACGTATTCTTCCAAAACGTATGCGCTACGAACTTCGACAAAGTATTTTACTAACAAGTATCTACGATTTTGGTAGCATGCAACTATGTCTGTGAACTTCTCAACCCAGACCCGAACAAATCCGGATCAAGCATCGCTTATTACTGTCAAATCGATAAAAGGATGGACAAACACTCCAATGTGGTAGCCTTTCTATTGTCTGAAATTCTCGATAACTTTGGGACTACCGCTGATGAGCTTCTGGGCAAGTATGACATGTCGACTCGACATGATCCTGCAACTATCGGATGGTACGTTGTCACTCGTGCCAAGAAGGATACAAAGTATCTCGAGCAATGTGTCGAGCAATTCTTGAGGCAGGCGCGTGTAAAACTCGAGGAGATGAGCGACGCAAGATTTGAGGAGCACAAGAAGATACAGATACACGAGTGGGCGAATTGTGCAAAGGCCCGTGATCTCAGAGGGGAAGCAATCGCATTCAGCTATGCTATTGAGTCAGAGTACTATGACTTCACCAGGTACGAGGACTATGCAAAACTCGGTGAAGGCGTGACAAAGCAGGATGTTATCGATATGTTCAAGGAATTCATCGATCCCGATACTCCTACACGCTCGAAACTCTCTGTACATGTACGTTCTCAGAAGCTCCCAGCGTCCGAAGCCACTGTGGGTCAGGAATCAGTTGAGTTGGATTCGAAGGTGGTGTTCATTGAAGAGGTAGATCGGTTCCGGGAAAGCCTTGCGCTCTCTGGATATCGTAAACCCGTCCAGAAGTTTGAAGTGGAGTAATTATTCCTGATGACTAGAGGTATTCATGCCACTTTCTTAGACGTAGGCATAGGACGACAATATGTTTTTACTATGTAATATTTATTTACATCACAGATCACTCCTTGTTTTTATTACTTCTCACTATGCAAAGTAACTATCACATCATCAACTTGTCAATATGAAATTCTACAACAGTTGTAACGAAGCATGAGGTGGGGATACAGTCATTAGTGCGATTCTTAACAAAACGGTACAACAGAAAGCTCATCTAGTAAACAATTATAGCAGGAACACGAAAAGAAAGAAAAATGATCAAGAAATACAACGACAAGAGAAGGCGATCATTGTCATTGATCAAGCTTGAACCACCCAGGTATCGCCCTCCAAAGCCTCTCTCGCTCCTTCGTCGCCCACACCTCAAAAGCACGCGAACAAGCCCTACACGTCCCCGCCTCACCCAAATCCTCATCTAACAACCCCATCCCAACACCGCCATGTGTCCCTCCACCTCCACCTCCGTTCCTGCCGCCGAGGAGGTCACTTCGCTCAGATGGATAAGACACGTCGCCTGAGCTCTTGAGAAGTGCAAGTTCCTCGGCGACGTATAGAGGATCCGAAGCACCTCGTTCGCGATCGAATAGGTAATGCTGTGTTGCGAGATCAACGAGCTCGCAGACGTCTCGCCAGCACGTTGCTGGAGACGCGCACCTTCCCACTCCTGCAGCGGAGTCGGACCGCCTGTGTTGGTGGCGTGCGGCAAATCCACGTGCGTGGTGACCGATAATTGAGTGGCTTTGCGTATGGTGTGATGGATTGGAACGCGCTTCGGTTGCGAGACTGCGGATGAGGGCGGTCACTGCGCAATGTGACGTTTCTTTGCCAAGTGCGAGGCGCTGGGTATCGGTGAGGGAGAGCTCGGTGTGAGCCGTTCGGTCTGACTGTGGTAACGCTGGGATAGATCCCTGGCTGTTCTGAAAGATGTGCTCGAGTGGGTATCGCGAAAGGTCATAGAAAGCGGAAGGTAAAAGGTTTGGAGCGTTAACTTCGCGTGCAAGATTAATAACCTCCTGTCGAAACAGTGAATAAATGCGCTCGAATAAAAAGTAGAGTAAATGCGTACCACTGGATTAGGATAAAATCTTGGCTCTTCCACACTTCCACCAGCGTTCCCAAGAAACTCCTCGCGCGCATCCCATCCCTTCAACGTTGCAGGCCAAGCTACGCTCAAATGCTCAAGCGCACGCGACCGGAGTCCGTCAATCTCGTATTTACTTGCAAGTCTCAGAATGCCTGAAACGACACGGAAATCTTCGCTCGAGTTGTTGTCGAACTTGCTATATGCGTCATTGATATGATGTAGATCATAAAACGGGTTGTTATAGAGATGGTAAGTATAGAGTGCAGATTGGAGGAGACTGATGGACACGTACGGGCCGTCGTAGAGAGCATATAACAGACTCGCGACGTCGTCGGGGGAGTCATGCAACGGTACAACAGGGCATCCATCCAACGTAGCCTCGCCATTGTCAGCAGCCAGATCAGAGAGCAGGTCTTCGGGCAAGGACGAAAGACTCGTCCTGCTGCCACTCGTCCCACTCAGGCTGCACCTCATGGTGGGTGGCAGATTCTCCTCTAACACAGCCGATGGCTGGGGCAAAGAGAACATATCCCGGAAGACTAGTGAATGTCGCGCAAGGAATGACTTATGCACGCGAAACAATACATCGTTGGCGAGGAGAACGATAGACCCGTCGGAGAACCAGAATTCAGAATGTCGCGTTAGCTTCCTCTGAGCCGGTTTCGCGTCTTGCATTGTTGGCGGAGGTGAAGATGGTTTCTCTGCGCTCATCATGGGGCATTTAAATGACGCACGATGATTACAGGCGAAAAGCACGCTTCAGCGTCGTGGCGTACGACGAGCAGTGATGATGGTCAGGAGAACATGGTACAGGATATCAGCTTAGTCAGCATCTTGAAACTCACGAAACTGCAATCGTTTCGTTTCACAATCACAATTGAACTGTCGTGTTTCTCTGTACGATTCGATCCTGTTGTGCTTCCGTCGCCGAGGATGAAGACATGGCTGTTGCAGAAAGACATGCCGAAAGAAACTTCATCGTCGTCTTTCTTTTTCCGGCGCCCAGGATTATTTCCACTAGAAGCTTTACCTTGTTCGACCCTTCATTTCGGCTACACGCAGAAATACAAGCAGGAGACTCTCTGGATCTTGATAATTTCTACTATACATCATTTACACAATAACATTCGACCAAGTTTGGTATTCTACACTGGTTTTCTCGCCGTCAGTACATAAATTTCAGTGTATATTCCAGCATTGTCAGCCCACTCTTTCTTCGCCTTCTCAATCGCCTCGTCAACTTCATCCTGCGAGCTACATATTCCAAGTCCACCCGCTGCCATCAACACAGAACCCACATTGCGGAAGAACCCTTCAGCAATCTTCGCACCCAAGACTCCATTCTCGCCCCACTGTTTACCAACAGGCGCACGGTGGAACTCTTCGTTGATGCCAGTGAATCCCGCCTCTTCAAGTAGATTACGAAGTCGATGACGGCCCTCCATACCAAGCAACTCGCGATGCGTCATAATAGCTCCAGCTATCTCAGTTACTTTCTTCGTCGCAGGGATCTCAAATGATTCGTCAACTGATCCAAGTTGTTGAATCTCCATAAGCTGAATAGCGCCTCCTGGTTTAAGAACGCGATGCAGTTCGGAAAACGCTGTTTGCCACATTGGGATGGTGAACGAGCTGGAGAGTAATCGTTGATGGATGAGGTTGAATGAGTTGGTCCATTCGGCTGGGAGTTCTAAAGTCGAGATTTCGTAGACTTTGATGTTACTTGGATAACCGTCTTTCGGGAACATTGCCAGAGAAGGATCGACGCCCACCAGCTCCACTGTGTCCGGAACGACTTTCGACAAAGCAAGAGTCCAGGATCCTAAACAAAGAAATAAGTCGAAAATTACCATTTTCTCAATTTACTGCATATTTCCACTTGAAATCTGCTGGCAATTACCTGCACCTACTCCGGAATCCAAGACACGATCTCCGGGTTTCAGCTGAATGCTATTATCGAAAATGAGCCGTCCACCAATTGCTTCTGTCACCCAGGCATGCTGTTCCTCGAGCCTATAACAAATTACGGTAATTCAGCATTATGAGCGTGTAAAAATCCCAACAATGTAACTGATCAGAAGTGCAGTACCTTATACGTTCGACTTCATTCCTTGGCAACACATACTTCTCCTCGGATGAAATCTCTGACGACACCATGGTCTATTATCGCGCTCCTCTTCGGTTTAAATATCTGCTAACAATGCTCTGAAGGCAAATTGAGGAATTGGATTGCTGGAGTTGATGTCAACTGTATTCTTGTCTTCCTGCTGTTCTAACGGCATTATATATTCACCCAGCAGTCCCTTGAATCCTATTCAGAGATGAGTCTACCGATGCGTGTTAGTCGCGGGAAACAGGTATTCATGGCATAGAAGCATCAATGGAGTGCGAATCTAATCATAATTTTGTGTACGCTTACTAATATATCTTTACGAGGCTGGTGGTTCGAAAAATAATTAGGAGTAAATGTAGCATTTTGGCACGTACCATGGTTGTGGATCTGGTACTGTTGACTACATACTTTGTATCTTTCACGGGAAAAACGTGGACTACCAGAAGCAGTGGTACTTGTTGAAGTTGAAGTAAGGTTTGTTAGTTTCTTCAAAGCTTTGACAACTTTACAATGAACTCCACAAACTGACATCCACTATCTTAGGTAAGCCCTCCAGAGACTCTCGTTTGTTCGTGAATCCGCCAATGAATCAACCTTGAATACTTTGTATTCAAGATTCCGGAGATGGTCTAGCACCAACCGAACATCATAACATATGATGCAAGAAGATCCGGCAACAGATAATCCAACAAACACATAAACAGCAATGACCAATTGCCCGATATAGGTCGTTCCGGTTGATAACCGGCCGCGTCTCAAGGCCCTCAACCACTTCAACTTGTCTATAATCAAAGAATACAAGGAGGCCTCATCTTGATCGTGGCATAACCACTGTCTTCTCCTTCTAAATCTCATATTCGAGCACGGGCTTGTCGTTAGCAACCACGACGAATTAGGTTTTCCATCACGAACAGGCCACGAGAATAGTGTAAAATGGACAAATGGACTGCCACAGACTTCTGGGGATTTGTACTGTATATAAACAAGAGTGTCTGAAATGCCTCCTAGTGGGCATCCCCCATCGTCGAGGCAGTGCTCCCTTCACTCTGCCAAGGCCTGTGCATTGTGGTCGTACTCCCACTTTCAAGACTCAGTCGCTTTTTTAATATCCCCTTTCCGGCTCTGTACCCATTTACAGGACCTAAATGCACCTTCCCGCGATGCCCAAGCTCTTCGGGTTGAAAGTACGAGACATAATCTCAACTCCCGGACACCTAAAACTCGACTCCCGCGTCGACTCTGTGAAACGTGCATCACCCTACCGAAACTCTACCTCCGCATCGAAGGACGCGAACATTAATAACAATAATAGAAGGAGGTCGAAACACACGAGCTTGGGGAGTCTCAACCTACTCAAGAAGCTTACTGGACGGAGGAAGTCTACAACGAGCGCTCGGTGAGTCCCATATTAATGTCTCACCACGCTCGGTGTTCTCGGCTCAACATACATATGGGCGCTTTGTAGTCATGCAGGCATTAATAGTGGCGAAGAACGCAGACAGTTAATTGATCAACGCATTTCGGACCTTTCTGCCTTACTTGACGCTGCGGCTGCCGCAAATACGAGCGATAGAGATAGACGCTCAAGCTGGGATTCACACGAGAAACGTACGTCAGAGGGACATGACGAGACGGATAGTGCGAATCGTTCTAGTAGCTTTCGACGTCCGGCTTTGAGGCACGATCTTTTTGAGCCACCAGCGACAGCGAAGGATAACACTGAACAAGTTAACGAAGTTAACAAATGACGGATGGTGTAACGCACGACATGACTTGACAAGGAGAAGAAGTTGAACGGACCTTACCCATTAAAGTTTAATTACTCGATTCTTAGTGCCATGACACGGACTTTATTGAACTCATTCTTATTATCATTACTCGGACGATGTAAACGAGAACATAAAATGAAATAGAAGCTTTATTCCATCCCTTTGTTTTAGCAGACATGCTACTACCATAAGAGTGCACTACTCCTTGATTCGGAGCACTCTAAGTAAACCAGGCGTACCAACAGCAAGTGCACCACTCGTCGGTTCCACATTCACAACAGCCGGATCCGCATCAACGTTCTCCGGAATAATGGTCGGAGTAATCGGAAGGACGTTCGAAGGCTGAGGTGAAGGAGAGAACAACGTATAACAATTGAACTTGTCCGTCATAGAGAACATCGTCCCAGCGTTCGAGATACTTTGCGAGTTCCATGGGAGCTTCGAAGCAGGTGCACGAGTTTGCTGGACGAGTCTCAAACGCCATTGTCCGTTCGACACTTCCCGCACACCTGGATCCTGTTCTATCGTGCTACCTGAGATATCTTTGTCCATGCGCGTGAGCTGAACGCGATACGAAAGGAGACTTTTCTTCTTCTTGTTCTGCAGGTTATCATACGCAACAACGTAAATCTCCACAAGCGCATCGCTCTCATTAAGTGCATCCCGCTGCCAGACAGGCGTGAAAGCATGCAGAGCAAGAATGTACGGCTCTTCCTCGTCATCAGCCGTTGGCTCAGCGAGGCGAAGCCTCAGCGCATGGTTGGGTCGCGTTGGCGTGTCGATGTCAGTCTCAGGCTGAGGAACAGGATCTGGGTTTGTTATAGTCGCGTGTGTGAACGTGATGTCCGTTCCATCTCCCTCTGCATGCCCGTTAGACCAATGCTGTGCGAGAGAGTCAAGGGGGATTGCTGTTAATGTGAGTGCACCGAGATGCATTACGACAATGAGATGTTGGTCTGCGATGAGTGCGGCTCTGGCGTTTGTACGTCGGCCCTAGAAGACAATGGTCGGTTGGTCATTATCCAATTAGTAGACTCAAGGTTGTACGTACCTCGGAATTGGTGAAGTTCAAGAGAAGCACGTTCCCCGTCATCCAGTTTAGGAGGGTAAGCTGAACACTGTGTGGCATATGGATCATGACCAGGTCACCGCGAATCATTAACCGGAAGAAGAACACCATGGGTAGATTGTACTCTCTCAGTAACTCATCTTGCTGTGTCTGGAACTCGAACTTGTAGACCTGGACGAAGCTGCAAGAATAACCAAGCCGTCAGCTTAATATCTAAAAGAAGGTAATAGTTTGGCCCACCATCCGGTTGCGACGTTGAGGAACAACACCGCAATATTCATTGATTCTCCTCCATCCACGATCTCAAAATCAAAAGCAATACAATCCGCTTCTCTCGAAGGGTTCGCAATCCATACACGAGCACGCGGGAACAAAGACCACAGTTCCAGTCGTCCATGGTTCTCAATGAGCGCATATTTCCCTCCAGGAAGGAGACGAGGATCTACACGCTCGTTCCCTTCTCCAGGTAAGTCACCTTCAATCACACCTTGTGTCACCGGATCAATGTGTATAGAGACCTCCTGGCCGAACCTCAAGCCACCAGGAGTCCGCCACGCGCGTGCGTTCCGAACGGCGGTGATTGCTTTCTTGTATAGCTCTTCAGTCGCAAAGTTGTCGGGCAGTTGGTGTGTACTGATATCAGGAGCCTGAGTGATGTCTAGGTCTTGAATGAGGGACAGCCAGATGGGACGAAGGAAGCAGATCTCCCGTAAGTATTTGCATGTCTAAAGAGTGAGTGGCGTCGCTATCAGAGTCATGTATATAACAGGAAAGACTAAAACTATACCATGCTGAGTCTGACAACATCCTCCACATCACAGCAACAAATGATCTCAATGAGTATTTCTTCAGGCAGGCACAATAGCTTGCATGGGTTTTCTATCATAAACGAGCGACTTGTTCAAACGAGTGTAAGGGTTATGCACAAAAGGCAGGGAAGAGAAAAAGGAAAGAAGGTTGAGCGTATGCCCTCTTCAGTCACTGAAGGTAGGGAGATAGTTAAAGCCAGGATGACTGATTCGGGTCACGGCCAGAAGATGTAGTCCTTTGCGCATGGTCCCACGCTGGAGGAGCAAAGAAAGCAAACTTGTACGAAGCGGGAAGCCGAGAAGGCCGGATATATCAGTATATGCCAGGAATTACCATTCAAGAACTTCAAAGTATGTGCAAGATGATATGTTTCGAGGAAGTGAGTTGACTTTTAATGAATTCGAGGCACGGGCAGCTCATGTGAGGCGCCAGCCTGCTACACGGCAAGTGCACCGTGCACAGTCAAAAATAGGAAGTGTCGACCAGTAGGAGTGCCCTGTGCATAGAACAGGTGGTGTGGAGGTTAGACAATATTAATGACTCGTCATTCTCAACTCAGCACGGCAAAAAAAAGCCGTGCTAAATTTAATCAAGAACAAACATCGACTAGAGAAATTACGAGGAAGACCTGTTGAAGACACGAGTTGCATGCCCAATTCGCATTGTAGTGTGAAATTCCATAACGATGGACGACAGGAAAGGACTGAGCAAAGTTGCGTCGTGAAGAACACCAAGTCAAGACAAGGATCTCGAAATCAGGTCGACGTGACGTAAGATGAGCTAGTGTCACAAACTGTCACTCGTCTCCGTTCAATAATCTCCTGTCCAGCTCTTGACTGCCATGTTCATCGCACTTCAAACAGCTCGTGTTGTGAATTTCACAAACTTCGAGCAACCACGGGTCTAATATCTCGCAACAAAAATGCCTTACAGGGTCTTCTTGAATGCCCCAACATTTGCTGCTCTCAAGAAGCAGACTTCTGGAGACAAATACTCCTGGCAGACGGCGAGATCAAACTCACCTGGTGTCCTATCGGCCGGGTCAAACAATGAAGAAACCCAACCTGTTAGGGTTGGAACCTCAAGGTCGAAAGATGAAGAGAGCTTGTCAAACTTATCTATAAGGGACCCGGATGCTCAAGAATGGTTGATCCCGCCTGCCACGCTGGGAGCAGCAAGTCAGCGGATCTCGGAGATGTATAAGAACGTCATCTTTTCCGATGTTGAAGAGGAGGAAGACGACTGGAAATTGATGGAGCAGGCAGCAGAGGATGAGTCAGGGGCAGAGGATGAATCCCATACTGGTGGGCCTCCGCGCTTCTCTCGACTCCTTCCAGCCTCTAATATGCCCCGAAGTTCACAGAGAAGAGACACTCATCTCGTGGCCACCGACGGCACAAGCTCAAAGTCAATCTCGAGCGTTGACCGGGTCTCTTTTTTTCAAAACACAGGATGACTCCGACGACCTATCGTATGCGCATACATCCACTTCATCAATCACGGCCTTTCCAACTTTCATCATCAACTTGCACGCGCTCACCAGTCTCTCGGACCTGGCAAATGTGATAGCGGGCAAGTGGACACGTAAAGTAAACCTTCTTGTTGCTGTATTAGAGGTTGACGGACCGGATGTAGTAAGGATAAAAAGAGGACCCGATGCTGGAAGAGAGATAGGCGTGCTGAAGTTGGTAATTGGCGGTGAGGAAGGTGGTATATGCAAGCTCACCGCATGGAGAGGAGTTGCAGATGCTTGGGGAGGGGTACGAGATTGGGGCTCTGATGATGAGAGCTTTGAAGATAATGAAAGTGTGAGGAGGGGAGACATCGTTTATATCGAGAGTATGACAAAGGCTCTTCTTTTCTTTGTTCCTTTCATCTCGTCTAACATCGTTATTCTCCAGATATTCTCGCATCTTCTTCTGCACCTTGTTCTGACACAGGAAAATCATCTGCACGCCCCTCTATGTCGTTGACGGCATCTCCGAACCTCGCCTCGCGTTTACACATATGCTATCGTACGTTGCCTACGGTCCCTTCGGACAGACGGTTCCGTCCAGATCTGCGACTTGCAGCAAGTGATCCTGGCTTGAGAAAGGTTGCAAGCGTTGTGCGATGGTTCCAGGGCGTGATGGGAATTGACTGTGCATGAGGCTGTGCATCTTGACACTGGACCTTTCACTGTCCAATTTGGTCAACCTTTGACAGTACCTGTGAGTATCAAATCAACATTCATTTGTTTTGTTCTCAACAACAATGGAGCACTACGTACATCATATCATCGTCTCGATCCTGCTCGCTAAATTTTCACATCGAACATGCGAACTTCTCCCTCAACTAGAAACTGACATTGATATCTTTACTCGATTTTAAAGAATTAACTCATTTCTATACGGGATCGAGATTCGACTTTGATGTGTATTTGTTCGCGAGTGATTAACGATCACGTGACCAATGAACCGTGATTTATGCTTCCGGATTCCCACGTTATTGTCTTTCTTGAGTGTTGCTTCCGTCGCTACCACTCGACTCACTCGTCAAAGACAATAAGCATAAACTCCTATAGTTAACAGGAAATGGCGACTAGCATTTACAACCCTCACTGCGGTTTGATCCCACCTTCTGACTCGTCACCCTTTCTTTCTCTTTGCACGCTGCGCTGGTCGCTCGGGCCCTTCACTCCTAAATCTAATAATATTTTTTCTGCTGCTGAATTTGCTGGGCAACTAATCTTTGGGCTGCTATCGACTGCGTGTATATCCTTATTAGAACGCTAATCGGACACCTACGATATACGATATAAGAATAATCTTAATTGACGGAATGGCAACGAACGAACATTGTGAGTGTGTTTGACTTTGGTTTTTGCTTCCGGTTCTCTTTAGGCCTCTGCGATGAGTTAATCTGACTGGACGTTCGCTTTGTGTGCAGTTTTGTTGACGAGCCTCGCGAAAGTCGTTGGGACGGTTGATAATCTGGCGTATACTGTTGATGAGGTTATTAAGAACGGTTTGTGTTGTCCTTGCCTTCACAAAGAGCTGGTTTGACACATAGATGGTTATGAACAGTGAAGAAAGAGAGGTTATTTGCGAAGGTTAATAGTGGGACGTGTACGGACGTTCTCGTCACGAAAGCACTTCAAAAACTTGTAAGCATGATCCGAGCGACACTAAAATGACTAGCCATTCAACGTTAATATGTTACCATGATTAGGACCAAAATGAACACATTGTCTTTGGCGACGTAAAAGGACAGCCTGGATTCATAGTCACGGATCGCGGAATTGATGAGTACGTTGACAGACTCTTTCTTCATGCTCACTCGTTAATATTATCCTCTTTGTTCCTTTTCTTTGTTAAGAATTAAACGAGCTATGCGGGAGTATCCTACACGAACACGACGAGCTGCGCATTCGCCGTATTCCTTCCGTGCGCGGGAAGTGCTTCGTCTCGGGAGCTTTCTGAAGAGGAAATTGTTGAGGAATGCGAGTGATGTACGTGAACAGAAGTCTTTTCTTTGTCGAGCTTTACGTTAATCGAACACAACGCTGACTTTCTTGTAATGCAGCCGGTTGACGAGACGCGGGGTAAATATCAGGAACGTAGTGGCGTAGGCCCTGTCAGCATCGCGCCGGATGAAAGCGCAAGTATTAGCATACCAGCTGTCCGAGTTGACGACAGCATCGATAGAGTTGTACCGCGTCTGTCGGCCTTCGGTCGTCTTCCCTCACAGTACGTACAGCTCAGTCTTTGTTTGCAACTACCTAATTTGTAATCTATTCGTGCTAGACCATCTTCATCGTCCGTAGCTCCAGTACCTGTGGATCGGCCGGCAAATACTAAGGTCGCGCCTCTCCCGAACGGGTTTCTTCAACAAAGACCAGCATTCAAAGACGTCCTCTCAGAATCGGGATCTGAGGCGGATTGCGACCCGAACTATGCGTTCAACTACAAGGGTGATTCGTCACTATCGGCATTCTGCCGACTGTCATCTCCAGGAGTGGGCCCTGTCTGCTCGGAGTCTCCGTATGATGAGCACCGAACTGTACGTCCAGTGAGGAGCAGCGCGAGAAGGGAGGGAGAAAGCGAAGATGTCGATATCCCTATCGTCGTTCGCCGTAAACCAAGTATCGACTCACAACGGACACTAGTTGGTTCCGATGACAACGAATACGATGTTGCTCGGTCTATTTCTTCCTGCGCGACTTGGGCTTCGAGAACCGGGAAGAAAGCGTACATCGAGGTGGCATACTCGTCATACTCGCTGGACCAGGGTCAAAACCATGCCCAAGTCCTCGAGACAATTTCTACTAGCAGACCTCCATCCCTGCCGTCAGCAGCGCGGTGTCGTTCACGCTCTGGAGGGGATAAGACAAATCGCCGCGGTTCGGGTGATTCGGACCAGACGCTTGTAGCCTCCGAAGCGAATCCTTCTCGGTGCCACCATCACCCGTACAAACAGCCAGAGAGGGCTACTACCACTTCACGTCTTGCGAGAGTTACTCGAAGCCAGGCTCGAACGCGTACACCCTAACCCATTCAGATTATTCTGGATTTCACCTCACGTGCGACTTCGGTTCCTCCTGTATATGTATATGCTATTATGCTCTGTTCTCGTTCTATGCTATATGCTATTTCTTTTGTTCTTGATGTGTCTATGCTATGACCTACGTCCCCCACAGGGCCCACACCAATTGTACCCTTTCTTCCCCTGTAGCAATAAAAATGTAATGCTAATTAGTAATGAGATTACATGATGCCGGTGATCTGCGCTGTCGTCACCATACTTTTTGGACGCTGACACTGCGGACGTGGTTTCCGTTAGCGTCAACACCTCTATCAGCCATGCTCTTTTCTTCTTACCACCACTAACTCTCCTTATTCACCTTCGAAACACTTTCATCTCCTGTAAAAATTCATTGAAACTTGCTACTACTGCTCAAGATGTCTGTGCGTAACGTCCACCTCCTCATCCTTGTTCACGGGATGTGGGGGAACCCAGCGCATTTGGCGGAGATGTGTCGTATCATTAAGGAGTCTAAGGGTCCTGACTCTCTCCACCATTCGAAAAATTCAACCTCGAAGGAAAGTGCCAATGACGGTGATGATGTGGAGCTGGACGTGTTGGTCGCGAAGACGAATAGGGACGAGTCGACGTATGATGGGATTGATTGGGGAGGGGAGAGGGTTGCTGATGAGGTGAGCAGGCTTTTTGATTTTCAAATATAATTGTTTTTGCCTCTTATTGATTGGATCTTTTGGTTATTTTGTTAGGTGCTGAAGAGAGTCGACGAGATTGAGAAAGGCGGCGGGAAGGTGGTGAAGTTCTCTATTGCGGGGTACAGCCTAGGCGGTCTTCTCTCTCGTTACGTCGTCGGGTACGTACGCATATACTCTGACCTTCATTTAGACTTTCGCATTTAGTCTAACTTCCCAATTCCTTCAAATTCTAGTATCCTCTACCAACGCAATTTCTTCACTCACATCAAGCCAGTCAACTTCGCCACTTTCGCAACCCCGCATATCGGGCTTGTTCGGGCTGCGTCGCTTTGGTCGACCATCACCTGGTTTTTGGGACCGAGGATGTTGAGTCGGACGGGAGAGCAGTTCTATGCGGTTGATAAGTGGGGTGTGAGTGGACGGGCTCTGTTGGAGGTTATGGCTGATCCTAGTGAGTGTTTCTCTTACTTTTGTTTTATTGTGACGTGTATGCGTGTAGAGAGGTATTGACAAGCTATCTTCTTTATAGAGGAGATATTCTACCAAGCTTTATGTCTGTTCGAGCATATACGTATTTACGGAAACGCGTATGTTTTGCTTCGACTGTATGCGCCAACGTTTTTACCAATATTTTTCTGGCTTGATAGCGTTAATGACTTGACCGTACCATATTCTACCGCGCTCATCGAACCCATAGATCCGTTTGTAGACCGTTCCAAGACAGGTATCAACGTGTGCGTACCCAACACAGATCCTGGTCCTACATTGCAGACGTACTAAATCATGGTTACTTATTCACAGAGAATTTGACCCGAAATACGAGCCGATAATGCTTTCGTACAGTACACCCGATACGCCCCCCGTCAAAGTCGTGCCAAAACCTCTGTCACCGGCGTGGTTCAAGAGTTTTAACCCGTCGCGATTCCTCCCTCCGCCGCTTCAGTCGCTTAAGTTCCCGCTTAATGTCGTGCGTAACTTCAATCTAACATTTTCACTTCAACCTCGTACATAATGCTAATTTAACTTTTATTTCGTGCGTGTATATGCGTAGCTCGCCTTGGTACTACTCCCGGTCCTCATTCCAGCCTTCCTCTCCATGATCCTCGTCCGTCTCTCTCTCCACACCCGTTCCTCACGCGCACGTATCCGACTTCTCGAAGGTAACGAAAACGCACTCGTGCACGCGGTCTCACGCTTTGAACGCGGGATCGAAGAAGCAGTGGTAGATGCTATCGAGGACGACCAGGGGTCAACTCTCACTCCACCGAGGAGGGAGAAGTCTTTTACGGATGTGAATGGTGAAGCGTTGGACGCTTCGTCTTCTTGGTTCACTCCTCCGCCTGCCAAGACACAAAAGACTGCGGATCACACCCGTACACCATCCAAACCAAAAGCGAAATTCGAACTCTCACTCTCCTCAGCTTCAACTTCCAGACCCGACTCCCCCCTCTCCTCTCCCACCTCCGCCTCCGCCCCACACTCCGAACTGCATTCCGAACTCCACTCCGAAGCAGCCTCCGAATCCGAAGAAGACAACGACGACACAGACTCCCTCGACACACTCTCCACACCGGACGCCCAACCCGTCCTAACCCCTCAACAACTCCAAATGATTCGCAAGTTGAACGCATTACCGAGAATGACGAAACATCGTGCGTATATTGATCCGTTGAGGAACTCACATGCGACGATTGTTGCGAGGGATGTGGTTGGGTATGCGTTTCATAAGAGGGGGTGGGGAGTTTTGAGGCATTGGGCGGATGCGTTTGAGGTGTGAAGTGTGAGATGTGACTCATGAGAGATGTGGATTTAATGCGTGGATTGCGTGTGTGCGTGCATACATACACGCTGTATACTCTGTGCTGGTTGGTGGGATGCCGTTATCAATGCGTTGCAACCAGCGTACTACTGCTGGTCTGGTGATATGCATATTGATACTTCCTGTCTTTACTCGCTTTCATTTCATTTCTATGGTTCGTTCGGTCACTGTCCACGATTCTAATCATTTACGTAGAGAAAATACTGTAGAAGATAATTATGGACTCCTTATTCTCGTCTCGACTAGTAAACTAGCTCTAATGAGTATACCATGTGTTAATTCGAGCTAATTACACTAATAGTATTACTGTGCTTCACTGTTGCAAAACTGTACTTGAAAGGAGACTGTGGCTTAATATGTGACTAATACTCGTGTTTAGTTACTGTAGATAGTCAATTATGCCAAATAATACCAAAAGAAACGTTAGGCTTGGGTTAGGACAAAGAGGGAAATTAAGGTGATTAGGCTCTTCAGTCCTCTGAAGTAGTATCCAACTTGATGTCACCGAATTCATCGGTCAACAGAACTGCATTACACCTAAAAAGAAGCGAGCGGTCAACAAAGCAATAAATATAGATTCAACTTGGTATTTAGGAAGAAAAACAAGATGAAGGAACGAAGGAATACCACACGCACTTATCGTTAATCTTCCCCGAAATTTGTGCGTCAGCGACTAGGTGTATTGCAACGCGCTGAACCTCATTCGCGACGGAACGAACGCCATAGTTGATTTCGTAAGCCGACGCCAACTTCTTCACAACTGAATAAAGAAAGAAAAGAAAGAGTCGTAAGTATGACCGTAATTAGGTAAGAAGGAATAAGTGTAAGGATACGCACCCTCATTAGACCAGCTCAGCTTGATTCCATGTTCTTCCTCTGCACGTCTCGCCCACACACCCAACTCGCGCTCCACAACAATCTCAATCTCTTCCTCACTAAGTGGCAGGAAAACAGCAATTTCATTTATCCGGCCAATGAACTCATCGCGTTTCAACGATTGCTTCAAGATTGGACGAATAGAACGCGTGAACTCCCGAATGACGTGTAGGTAGGACTCTGGCCTGTCTTCTGTCTCTGTGAGAGCGACAAGTTCACGTAGCTCTGAGGAACTTTCTTTTATCTCGTCCGATGCGATGTTGGACGTCATTATGAATATCGCATCTTTGCAACAGACGACACCATCCTGGATTAAAATTTTTTGTCAGTGGGTTCTAATGGAGGATTGGGAGTTAAATTACCTTTGAGTCTGTTATCCGACCGTCGTCGAAAACTTGGAGGAACATATTAAGCACATCTGGATGTGCTTTCTCAATCTCGTCGAGTAAGACAATGGCCTTCGGGTTCTTCTTCAATGGCTGCGTCAAGGCACCTCCATCACCGTATCCCTGGGAGAAAATGTCATTAGAAGATACCAGTTTATTGGTGGACAAGGCCGTGACTTACTACATAGCTCTTCGGGGCACCTGGTTTTTGCGTCAGTAGAAGAAAACCGATCGCACACGAGTGATACTCTTACCGATAAGATTGTACGCCGAATGGCGCTCCTGATATTCGCTCATGTCAATACGAACAAAAGCATGTTCCTTTTCAAGCTGTTTGACGCGGTCACCATTGTTCGTCGAAAGCCCGTTCTGGCCATGAATGAACAGAGCTAATTGTTTAGCTAGCTCCGTCTTTCCGACGCCAGAGCTTCCAAGAAAGAGCATCGTGAGTGGTCGATCGGGGTCGACCCACTTCCCTTCCCGTAATCGGACTGCGTTCGCCACAGTTCGTATTGGACCTCGCTGACCCACAAGCGTCTCTTCCAATACCTTTTCGAGGGAAAGGAACGATTCTACAATAAGAAATTTATGAGTTAAACAAATCGTGGAAAGGAAGAGTATTTAGCTACTTACGGGCGGGAGGCTTTGGAGGTGGTACGTCGACGCACTCCTCGCGTTTGACTTCAAGCAAAGGCTCCTTGGTGTTGGCGTGGCATTCTCCCCAGTCAGACCAAGCATTCATGCCGATACGCTCGGCCTCCTTCCACGCGTTTACGTCACCATGGCATACACTCTCCTCAACAGCCATCTTCCTCTTTTCCTCTTCCGCGACGCAGAGGCATGAGAAAACGTTCTTTATATGATCGTAATTCTCACTCTTCGGATAGAACAGATCCTCCGGTTTCCGGCCTCGGTAGTCCTTGATGTTCCAATCGGCGCCGGCCTTGATTAGCAGAGTAATGATGTCTAAGTCCTCTATGAGACAGGCATAATGCAGAGCGGTCGCATCTTTCACATGTTTGTGTGGAACGCCTGGAGGTGCGAATGACGAGAGGGAGGCTTCACACGACCAGATCGAACGGTTATCATATTCGTTGATTAAAGACGGGCATATTGATAAAAGGTGCTCCGCGAAATAACGACGCCCCCGAACAACAGCAAGGTGCAAAAGAGAGTAATCGTAATACGTAAACTTCGAAGCGAGTTGTGGCCGTCGATGTAAAGCCCTAGCGTAAATGTATTTCACTGTTCGAACTGCCGACTAATTTCAACTGGGATGCTTACTGCTTAAACAAGTCGTACTTATCCTGTCGTATCAAGTCCGCTACATCATCGATATTTGCGTACTCTAAAAATAGACTGTCAGAAAAGCAATATGCATATAACCGACTCGGTCCACATACCGTTGTAGAACTCGTGTCGATCACGCCAATTATTGTATAGGTAACTGAATGCAGTTGCAATGTCTAAGTCTCGCTGCATATCGAAATAATCGATAGGCTCCCGCTGCCATTCATCCCGTGCATTCAGTAATGCTCCATGATGGGTAAGCAAATTGATGATATCGGCATTGCCAATCATGCATGCATAGTGAAGCGGTCTCGCCCCCGTTGTACCATCAACGTGTAAACCAAGCTCTCTCTCCAGGTCGGGAAAGAGCACAGAAGTGGTGCCTACTTCATACACAGCATTGACGTCTGTGTTTGGACATGAAAGAATCAGCCTGATCAGATCAATGTCACCTGACAGGACAGCCGCGTGTAGTGGGAACCAACCACCCCTATGCCGTTTGCTCACGAGGCAGGGAACAGCTTTCAACATACTGTGAAGGAATTGGTTAAAGTCGTAAGACTGTTAGTTAATCGAATGCATTCTTACCACGAAACAGCCTCGCAGTCACGACGTACGATTGCCCTGCATAATTGTTGAACAGCACTGTCCAGAGAGCAATCATATACGCCGAAGGTAGAAGTCGTGTCTTCAGAGTCCGTTTCAGAAGCTGGACCTCTGCTTGGTATTCCACCGAGACAACGACGGCGTTCCAGGCGCGACGCCCGGAGTTGAGTGTATAGACTTTCAAGCGAGGTAATACCCCGAACTAGCGCCAACAAGAACGAGACTAGCTCCTTTACAATGGCAATAAGCAAAAATACTTGGCTTGCTGCACCAGAATTAGGCCTGAGGCGAATGTGCTCGGTAGTAGAGGTTTTGTGATCCATGGTGAGCCTTGTTTAGGTCCAGGTAACCAAGTATGTTGTGCCTGCTTTATATGACGTGTGTCCAGCATCCGTGCTGCAACAGCGATGTTTTGGGCTGTAAACAGCATGAATAATGCACCAAATGGCTTCACTGCAGGTGACAAAGCTCACTTACATTGGCAATGTATTGCCGCGGATCGAACGCGTTGCACGCTTGTGAAAGCTAATTTCTAAATGTTCCGTGGAACAAGGGGAACAAGCGGTTTGGCGCCCAATCCTGTCTCCGAGTGGTCACGCGCGGCAATTGGTGGTCAGTGACCTTCGCAGTTTGTGTGCCAAAGGTAGTGGAAAATGATGTTATCGTTACTTTTAATAACCGCGCCACAGACGCGCAGCGACGATAAGGGCGTAAATGTAAGACATCGGCAGGCTTTCTACGTAATAAACGCGGTGAATTCCGTTATAGAAGTATTTGGTACGAAATAAATTGGCCCACGCGCAATTCAATTCCACTGCAACTCGGGCGTCTATCAACTGTTATCGATCTTCCTGTGTCTCTGTGTCGGCGAAACTGCAACAGCCTCGACATGCCGGTTTCTCGAAGCCATCATCTTCGATATTAAACCAATAAGTGGGCAGGATCACATCTATTTAATAAAAGACCCGGGAATGAAATCTCGTACCATTTCACGAAGAAGTCCCATCCCACCAAGCACTCCACACAACCAAAAGTTTCTGTCACTTTCGCCGCTGTTTACCAAACAAATACCATGATAGGATAGGTCTGGAAAAAGGATTTCTGGCCCACTTTATGGTTGAAGCGACTGACGGTCAAAGTGGCACGGAAAGCAGGCAGTCAAATGGAAGGACGTCAGAAAGTACTGGCCAACTATGGCGACTTGCAAGCCGGGAAAGTCAAACGCCCAGAAATTGGAAGACTGTCTTCCACCGATTTCAATCCCGTTCCTGCACGTGCAGACAATGACTTCCCATGCCTCACCAAGCAGGAGGACGCATGACCTATTTACAACCTCCATCCAGATTCCACTTCATGCCTTCCGCTTGCATTTCTTTGTCTTCGCAATGGCAGCCGCATCAACAACGTGCACATTTTGGACTATTCGAAACCATCGATTCGTTAGGCAGATCGCTGTTAGCAAGTTCTCCAAGCTGTTCGTCGAAAATACAAAATGGTCGAACGAGAGGGCTCATCAAATCATGTGCGACTCCGGATTTTTGGAAACTTCCCACACTCCGTAAGACGTAAAGGACCAGTTTTAATAATAAATTAATATCAAATATTATTTCTACATAGCTGTACATGAAACAAAACACAATTTCTGTTCTTATTCCCGTATACCAATTAATCTATCTTCAACAAGAATGCAGTTTACTAATTTTGAGCTTATTGCATGAATCACACTTTTTCAGACAATAAGTATAGATGGAACACAGATCTGTAATGGCAGTGCATTTTGAGATGCAGATACGTTAGTTGGTTGTGTTCTGGAATTTTGGAACTTGACTGGCAACAGTGAATTTGGGAACCTTATGTTATTTGGGTTGTTTCTGCTCACTAATCTCATCACAGTGAGAATATCTCTCTGCCAACTTGAGCTATTTTTTATTTTATTTTAAAATTTGCACTTCTTCCACCCTAACACAAACTATGGGTGCAACTAAGCAATCATATAGCTGGCACAAATTACTATAAATCCAAGGAATAACAGACACGATGATCACAGCAATGAAGATTAGGTAGTTCCGTCCACCGGGCCATCCTTTGGGTCGTTCTTTGGGCCATCCTTTGGGCTGTCCTCTGGACCTGCCTTAGGGCCGTCCTCTGTGCCGTCCTCTGTGCCATTTGGGCCATCCTCTGGAGTTTCCTTTGGGCCGTCCTCTGCATCCTCTGGGCCATCCTCTGGGCCATCCTCTGCATCCTCTGGGCCATCCTTTGGGCCATCCTCTAGACCATCCTTTGGGGCGTCCTCTGGGTCGATATCCAACTTGATATCACCAAGCTCATCGGTAGACAGGCGTGCCTTGTAGCTGAAAGAAAGGAAGCGATTTAGAAAATTTAGAAGGAAACAAAGATCAAACACGCTTACCCAGCAGAAATCCGACCCGAAATCTGCGCATCAGCAACAAGGTGAATAGCAATGCGTTGCACCTCGTGTGTAACAGAACGAACACCATAGTTTATATCATACGCAGTTGCCAACTTTTGCACAACTGTCCTTTGGTAAGAAGGGAAGTCGAGAGAAGAAAAGGAAAAGACACCCACCCTCTTCAGACCAACTCAACGTGATACTATGCTTCTCTTCTGCGCGCTTTGTCCATATACCAAGTTCACGTTCCACGACGGTCCCGATTTCCTCCTCACTGAGTGGAAGGAAGACAGCAATCTCGTTAATCCGTCCAATGAATTCGTCTCGCTTCAATGCACACTTGAGTTGCGGATGTATAGAGCGCGTGAATCCTCGAATAGCGTTTAAGTACAACTCTGGCCGTCCCTCAGTCTCTGCATGAGCTACAAGCCTGCGTAGCTCCGGAGACCTCTCTTTAATCTTGTCCGATGCGATGTTCGATGTCATAATGAAAATGGCGTCCTTGCAGTAGATCACGCCATCCTAGGGATGGATAGATACATTAAGCATTCCTCTGAGGATACTCGAAAAACTGCTAACCTTAGAGTCCGTTATCCGACCGTCATCAAATACTCGGAGGAACAAAGTAAGCACGTCTGGATGTGCTTTCTCAATCTCGTCTAGCAGGACAATCGCCTTCGGGTTTTTCTTCAACGGGTTTGTCAAAGCTCCACCATCACCATAACCCTAGAAAAACATTACAGATGTTTAATTTGGACATACGCGATGAAATTTGATGTAACGAACCACATAACTCTTTGGAGAACCTAGTACACGCATCAACAACAGCCATAGCCAATAAAAACGTCGAACTCACCAATAAGGTTGTATGCGGTATGACTTGACTGATATTCGCTCATATCGATCCGCACGAACGCCTTCTCCTTCTCAAGTTCTTTAATGCGTTCGCCTTTATTCGTCGCAAGCCCATTCTCTCCATGAACAAATAGTGCTAGCTGCTTCGCTAGTTCTGTCTTGCCAACGCCGGAACTACCAAGAAAGAGCATTGTAAGTGGACGGTCGGGATCCAGCCACTCCGCTTTGCGTAATCGGACTGCATGGGCTACTGCTTGAATTGGACCGCGTTGCCCCACGAGCTATTCCTCCAGGCGCTTTTCTAAATCGAGAAAAGACTCTAAAGTCTGAATGAGTCTATGCCCTACATGCTGAAATATAAGGAAAGAATAGAACGACTCACGAATTGGGACCCTAGGGGGTGAGTCGTCATCATCTTTATCACGTTGAGACTCTGAAGAGTCATCATCGGACTCGCAAGACTCAGACGAGCTTTCCGAATCGATGTGTTCCGGGTCGTCGCGTACATCACCATTTTCGGGCTGCGACTTCTCCGGCTTGCTCCTTTCCTCTTGAGCCGCACAGAGATCAGAGAAAAACCGCTTCACATGTTGATGGTCTGTACGTTTCGGATACAGCAGCTCCTCAGGCTTTCTGCCTTTACCGTCTTTAATGTTCCAGTCTGCACCGGCATTAATGAGTAGAGTGATGATGTCTAGATCTCCTGTGAGGCAGGCGTAGTGCAAAGCAGTTGCATCTTTCACGTATTTATGAGGAAAGATGGGAGGCGCAAATGACGAGAGGGAGTTATCAGAAGTATAGCTCGAACGATCGTCAATCCTGTTGATCAAGTCGGGACAGGTGGTCAACAACAGCTCAACAAAGGAACGGCGTTGATGAATGACCGCAAGGTGCAAAAGTGTGAAGTCGTAATATGTAAACCTTGAAGCTTCTTCAGGAAATTCAGACAAAGCCCTAGCAGCGCACACCTTGTCAATACCTAGAATATCGAGTATATCAACTAGGAACGGTACTGACTGCTGGAACAGAACAAAGTTGTTCTGACATATCAAATCTGCAAATTTATCGATATTTGCGCTCTCTAGGGCAAGTTAACATTACGTTTATCATATTCCGAAAAGATTCAAATAACGCACTTTTATAAAAGTCTTCTCGAGCCTGCCGCTCTGCGCATAATTCACGGAACTTGATCGCGACCTCCAAGTCATGTTCTAAATTGAAATACTCGATAGGTTCCTGCTTTTTCCCGTCCAGAGAATCGGGCAATGCCCCGTGCCGCATAAGGACATCAATGATATCTGCGTTTCCTATCATGCATGCATAGTGCAGCGGCGACGCCCCACTCGTACCATCAGCGCATATTCCGAGCTCGCTTTCAAGGTCTAGGAGCGCGGAATTGGTTTCTGATTCCCCTGGCTCATACACGGCTGTCACATCCGTATTTGGGTTTGAAAGAATTAGCTTAACAAGCTCGACATCACCCGTCAAGACTGCAGCGTGCAACGGGAACCACCCGCCTTCGTGTTGCCGATTAACGAGGGACGGTGCTACCTCCAATATGCTAAGAGTACTTTAGTCTCCAGATCAGTGGCTAGTCCGAAGCACTCTCACCGGAAAACAGATTTGTGATCACGTCGTACAAGTGCCTTAAACAGTTGCTGGATAGCACTTTCCAAGGGTCGTTCCTTGGTCCCCAGAGTGGAAGTATCCTGAGAATCCGTCGCAGAGTCTGGAGATTTGCCTCGAATTTTTTCGAAAGAGTCACTACCCTGCAAGAGTGACAAATGAAGCCGGGCGTGCAGGTCTTCAGGTGAGGCGGTGCCCTGAAGAGCTGGCAGAAGGCGTAAGACCAGCTCTTTGACAACTTCATTTAACTGCGCAACTTGGGTTGCTGCATCGGAATAGGACTTAAGAGAGATTTGCTCTGCGGGAGGAAGTGCACAATCCATGGTGGATGTGGTGAGGAAACCAGGCAGCCGATTATGCGACGTTTGCCTTTATAAGATATATGGGTATTATACGGCTGTGCAGAAATGGCGATGTTCTATCTTGTTGATCATATGAAATTATGCCGAACCACTCTAGTCAAGAGCGATAAACAACGCACGCCAATGCCACATTTCCATGAAGGCGTTGAGGACTCATGGCGAATCAGCAGCTAGACTTTCGTGTGGTCAATTCCCTTACTGTACCAGGTTGCTACTCAATGCTAACAAAGAATCAGCTATCTTTGCGTTTTTGGATAATGGCACCGGAAAATAATGACTTACTTCTGATGCGCATGTCGCAGACGCTCGGCGATGAAACGGGCTTAGAAGCAGATCTATGAAATCGTGAAATCGTGTTCAAGGAACCGAATGTGGGTGGTTGACTCGTAAAGTATTCGTTATGCTGTCCATGCATAGCTAATCCCGAAGGGACTGGCGTTTATCACGTAGTATCAGCCTCTAATTATGCCTTTCTTAAACCTCGTGCATCAATCACAGCCACGTTGTATTACTCTTAGAAGCAATCGTTTTTAGTGCCAGGACCGAATATCAACACGATGGAGTACTAAGCGCCCAGCTGATGCAAATCTAATCAAAAGAGTGTGCGCAGTTTGATGAATAGTGCATCAACCAGTCCGCATGCCAGTCCACGACTTTCAATTCCCAGAGAACTAGAACGGCCTTTCCACAGCCAGTTACTAGTACTATTTTCGTTTTATGAATCAAGGCAATGCCATCGTAAACGACTTCCGGGAGGAACGTGTCTGTGATCTTCTGTGAGATAGCGTGGACAAGTGGCTAGCGGGAAGTGATATTCACAGTTAGTCCTGCATTGCCCCCTGCACAGACATAGGCAAAAAAACCAGCCCCGAGGAACGACCACCCCTGGACAATTCAGTCTCTTTCCCTTCATAGATTGGCAACGTTCTTAAGAAGTGATAGGACTTGCAGCGAATGAGCATGCACGATAGAATCCACTATCAGTGGGAAGCTATTTGTCAGAATTGCGGGCAGTACTGCAGTAGACCCGAGAAGCTTTAGTCAAAAATGACAATGACTGAGTGAGGGAGTGCCTGAAAGTCGTAGCACGTGTCAAAGAGATAACGTGACACCACGTGAATGTGACAACCGCGACAACAATGAAGCGTGACGTCGCGCTTTGAAAGTCCGACACGACATAATTTCAATGCACAGCCACGAGTCGCTGGTGAATCTCCGTCGTGTCCTGGGTCCTTGGTTGCTCACCTTCACCTCACCTCGTCCAGCGTGTGGCAACGCGCAATTGTCCACTTAGCTGCTCGCCATGACTTGTCCACATTGTGGTGCACGTACTAAGCCGATTGACATCCCAGACTCGTACGTCCCTTTACCAAAAGATTTCATGCGCTGTTCTGATTTTCGCATATTTCTCTAAGCAGCGAGAAAGCTGAAGGTGATGCTAAAAGGCCGTGTATCTCGTAAGCTATTTTCCGGTGTAGACACTCTATCGATGGCTAATCTTCTCCACAGTGAATCGGAGAAGAACTTGTATCATCAAGGTCATGGCTTTGCCATAAATCTCGAGGATCTCCGGAAAATCTTCCCCCACGACGTTTTTGAGCAAGCAACGGAAGTAGCCCGACGTAGACGCCCAAGGTCTGCGAAAGAAGTTAAAGAAAGCAACCGCGAGATTGAGGCGTGTATCGACCTGCCGTTACGGAGAGTTTTGATGAATATCAGCGAATACAATAAATATTCCTCGCGAGGCCCAGGGTGCAGAGTCGCGGAATTGTTCAATCACGTTGGTCGCACAATGTGCCAGGGGTATGCCCCTTTGGGAACATCACCACGACGAGGATTCAGCTGTCGCTTCGGATTCGGGTCGACAGGCAAGGGGATGTCCGACCTCGATCGTAGGCAAAAGCCGGACTTAGTCTTGGTCGATCAGGACCTTGTGGACAGTGAGGATGTAACCTGGAGAAATGTACATTGTCCAATTGTAGTCGTCGATGGTATCTCTGGCCTGCAGTCAGGCACAGATCGGCTCCTTGGCTTCGCCCATCACATTTTTAACAGCCAACCCCGAAACTTCGTCCTGGGCGTTGTGTTCCTTGGCACGCACTTCACACTAAATTATTTCGATCGTTCTGGTCATTATTCTAGCATACGATATCGTCTTAGGGAAGGAAATGCCATTGACTGGCTCCTTGCCGGCTTTTTCTTTGCGGACGAATGGCAACTTGGTCATGATAATTCCTTGGTACGGAAAGATGGTGAATTGTATGTTCGTGTGAACGAGGAAGAGTACCTCGTCAAGGAAGAACTGGATCACCATACCCAAGTGTGGAACATGTTCGGCGAGAAGTCTATTATTCGTGTTGTCGAGCGTGATGGCAAGACGTACATCAACAAGGACGTTTGGCTCGATAAGTGGTCCAATCGTGATTATCAAAAACATCGTAACGAAGCTCAGATGATGGAACGGATTTGTGGCCTAGAAAACGTCGCTCAACTCGTCAACTACTGCACCGTAAAGTATCCTGCTCCTAACGGCAATCCCGTCTCTTCACGGAGATGCAGGGGATGGCTTGATGATATAGGGATACCATGGGGATTAATAGACGCAGCACATCCCGAACTAATCCATCATCAGTTGATTATATCTCCCTACGGAGACAACATAAGTACCTTCACGTCCTTGGAAGAGCTTGTTTCTGTCTTTCGTGACATTACTCGAGGTGAGTAGGCATTGTATCCGGTTGACATATACCAATCCTGTCTAATGTGTTTCAAATAGCCATCAAAGAATTAGCAGGGAAGGGTATGTACCACAGGGATGTCAGTTATGGAAACATTGTCCTTGCGCAGAAGCCGGATCAGCCAAGTGAATTACGCACGGGTTATCTCATCGACTTCGGGCAGTGTGTAGTTAACCAGCCTGACCATGGAAGTGATCCCGCTGTACGTGTCCTTGCATACTATTTTCGTCTACGATAGTCATTAACTATGCTAACTAGGGAACTGCAATCTTCATGGCGTTGGACGTCCTTTTTGCGAGCAGTATGGGTATCAAGATCGAGCACCAAGCGATGTATGACCTAGAGTCACTGCTCTATCTTTTATGCTGGCATTGTACAGCATCCCTTGGCCCGAAGACGCCTTACAAATCCAGTATGAAGGGAACTATATTGGACAGATGGAGAGTGGATGGTTCTTCGGGGTCGGAAAGATGCAGCAGGTTATTCCGCGTTAAGTATACGGATATCATCGACGACGAAGCCTTCGAAACGAACGTACTTGCCAACTTCCAGCCGTACTTCCACGACTTAATACCGTGCGTCAGGGAGTTACGCAAACTCTTGTGCCATCCAGTGTATCGTTATTCTCCGAAAGACATCATACCTCCTCATAACTTCGATGAGATCCTGAACGAGGAACGTCATGCCATTTCAAAGTCTGTGCTCACGGAGCACCATTATAGCTTCGATCCTGATTGGGCTTGTTACGTTGGGGCGGAGATAGACTATGTGGTAGACCCGGCCCTGAAGATTTTTGAAGACACCTTAGCTATGATTCGGCGAAAAGCAAGAAGAACTGATGACCGTGATGGAGAGACGAAGGAGGGCGTAGTGAAAGGTGTCGACGAGGATGGTAGAAGTGCCTTTCCGTTGTCCAATCCCACCGAAGCCGAAAGAAACAAGGAGGGTGCAAGGTCTGGAGTGCAGCAATATGCAGAACAGCGAGCGAAAAGAAAGCGTGACTCCGACCAAAGCTCAGTCGACTCTGGATATGTTTCGGGGTCACGAATATCCGCTGTGGAGACGAAACGGCGGAAAATACGCGTAAATTCAGCGAGGCTGGACGGAGGAGTTTGAGACCTTGCATGATGGGCGTTATACCTTGCCTAAGGTGCTGGGCAACCAAGTCGACCGACACTCATTGTAGATTTCCAGCCAGTGACAGAAGCCGGAGTTCGTATCTCGCTGTCATTATTTTTTCTTCTCTGCAATTCAACAACCACAGCTGATCCCTTGCATGGATTTCTATTATACAGTCATTAACTGTTCCTTTGAACACCAACTTTAAATTTGATTGTATTTTACTCTACACAAAAAATTAGGAAAAATTAAGCTGTAATTAGGAATTAAATGGCAATAAGAGCATGCCTGAATTTTTTCAGGCCATTAGGATTTGTAGAAAAATTAAAATGAATGTAGTAAAAATGAGAGGATTTGTCACAAAAACTGCTCCTTTGAACACCCTGTGACACAGTGTCACGCTGGCACACATTCATCCTCCTCACCCCTATGCTCTCAACTTGTGCTCCTATGTTCACTCTCAGCATGCTCCTCTTGCTTTATTTTGTATGCACAATTGTTCTATGACTTTATCCACAGCTCTAGGTGCACTTCCAGCCTTGTTCATCACACCTACACAGGTCTGGGTTGCATTTACCTCATCCAGACACTACTTCTTCATATGTAGTACTGTTCATGCCCCTCTCTCATAGTAGACACTCCTGGACTTGTTTCTTTGTTGGTCTAGATAGTCTAGGGCTCTAGTAAGCCTTTAGAAGCCCCTCTTCCTTCCACATGGTGCATTTATCTTGCTATTTGGCAAGGTCTTTGTCATAGTGTGTCTTGATTTGTTTCCATTTGCTTTCAATTGTATCATTGACATCCTTCTTCCTTTTAGCCTCCTCCTTTCATACATGGGCCTCCTTCTCCTCTCTATCCTTCAACTCCTTCCTCTGTCTGAGCTTTTCCCTGGTCTCATCTGAGGTCATGATCTTTAGCATTCCATCATTAAAAACTCATGAGTTCTCTGTTGTTTTTCCTTTCTCCTTCTTGTATAGGGCATTCTGGAGCCTAGCATTAAGAAGAGAGGCTAGAACAAGCTGTGCTTGAGCCCCTTCTGTAATACTATGACTGATTTTGATGTGCTAACATGCCTGAGTAATGTTCTTAGTGAGTTCCTTGACTTCTGCTCCAAGTTCTTGTCCTGCTAACTGATCCAAGCACAGGTCCATAAGCTTCCAGTCTGGATCTTCAAGATGTGAAGGAACCTTCTCTAGTACAAGTGGTGGAAGTGTTTCTGAAGAGGTAAGTTGTTCTTTCTTTACTAGAAAACTTTCAGACACTAACATTACTAGTAATGAGTACATTAAGCACATTTGTTTTGTTAGTGTGTACAGGGATGGATCAATCACTAGATTAATGATGGGAACCTGTAGCAATGTAATAATACTACTACTATAAGAGCTGGCATCTGGATAGGTCTGTAGTGGTGGTGTAATAATACTACTACTATAAGAACTAGTGTCTCAACAGTCTTGAATGTGAGATGACAATACAGAAGGTGTAGTTACTAGCAGGTGTGTTGATACATCAACATCAAAGCTTATTGGAGGCTGATGGTGAAATACAGCCATAATACAATGGACTAGAGTAGACAGTAGTAAGGGAAAGGAGGAGGATATAGAACCAACTTTGCTCAGTTGTAACTGTTCTGGAGAAATGACATCCTAGTTGAATGAATGTATTCCTGTAACACAGAAGGCAGATTGAATAGTATGCTAGTCAAAGGCAAGTAGAAATGCTCTTCCAAACAGTCCTAAAAAGTCTTACTTTCCTACACATTGTAATACATGTGTTTCAAATTTGTTAATAAGATTTCTCCAAATCTGTTTCATCTTAGCAAAGCACACTACATCCAAGCCCTATAATGTATGCATGTAATAAGGTGGGTATGTAAGAATACAGACATTACTTGTAGCAGCCACATTAAGAAGATTAAGAGAGTAATGAGAGTTATAACTATCAAGAATGAGAACTCAAGTATGTCCATTTGCCTGCTCTCTTATACTTGGCTCAAACTGATTCTTGTTAGGACACAAACATTTATCAGTATATATAGTGTGGACCAGGTGTTAAGCCAAGCTTGACATTGTACCCTTTTGGTGAAGAGGTTCTATGTATAGTCTACTATATATAGTAATCCCTCACATAATGTCAAGCTTAGAGCAGTCAGGGGTTCAATCCTGATGTAGGGTTGTCTGTGAGTAAAAGTATTAGGCTGAGAATAAGCTTCCTAAAAGGGGGGGAGTGAATTTCTCAGTTACTTGGAATACTAGGGCCAGAACTCTATATTAGGATATCTCTCCCTACCTCTAAAGGCTGTCAAGGTTAAGCTAGAAATAGTAACCCTTGGGGTCAAACTCTATATACTGGTCATGTGAGGACACATGACTCTAGAGAGGAGAGTAATGTTAGGACACAAACATTTATCAGTATATATAGTGTGGACCAGGTGTCAAGCCAAGCTTGACATTACACCCTTTTAGTAAAGAGGTTCTATGTATGGTCTACTATATATGGTAATCCCTCACAATTCTGGAACCAGTCTAGAGCAATTTCACTGTCAGTCCAGCCATTAGGAGAGCAAGTAAACCTATCAGGCAAGTTAGTCTCTTTCTTTTAGAAAGTATGTTTACTTACCTAGTGTTTACAACATTATTTTCTGTCCATTTAGACCAGATATTCTGACCTTTGAAGATGATAACTGGCTTCAGGTAAGTGCCATTAGCACAGATTGTAACAATAGCAGTTACAGTCTCTCTATTTGCCCCTCCTTGCTTGTGCTGAATCCTTTTCCCTCTAGCTCCAATAACACACCTCATACTATTATTGGCTGGAGGAAACCCAGACTCATCCATCCCAAATATGTTCTCAGGTAAGACTCCTTTCTTTATAATTTTGTCCTCTACAATGTCAAACCACTTATGAACAGTTGTAGGGTTCAATCTGTTTGCTTGTTGAATATCCAGAGGAGAACTCTAGTAAGTCTTCAATTCATTATAGTGACACTTGAGGAATTGCTGAACAAATGTAGGTCCACACTCCAAGTACCCAGGTCCATTTTGTACCTCAAGCAAACAGTTTGCTGTATGTTGAACATCATTGCAAGTGAAGGGGCAGCCTTGGTCAGAAGAAATCTGTATTAGTTGAGTAAGTGCTGTTTCATCCTCCTCACTTAGCTTTGTCTTTGAAGTATTAAACTCCAAAATAGACTTTTTTCCAGCCACCCTATTTCTTAATGTACCCATCATCACTCCTTCAAACATGTCAGCGATTTTTCGGAGCCCTCAATGCTTGTCCAGTAGCTGTTCTAGCTTGGCCTGATACATTTCCATAGCAGCAACAATATTTTTTTCTTTTTTTCTTTTCCTTCTCTTCTTTGTAGCAATTTAGATTCAGCAGACTTTGTCATAGATGTAGAGTTGTTAGAGAATGAGGAAACAAGAGGAAAAAAAGTGTATTTAGCATAACAGACTATAGCTTTACCGATGTGTCATTAACCTAGTGTTTTGAGTAATGAGGTCATTCATGCTGATCATTTTTCAGCTGTCACGCTTTTAGAGTAGTCTCAACAAATTGTTCAATATTAATTTAAATACACACTCAATATCCATAATAAAAGATACAAATTGTAACTATGATACAGAAGAATACAAATATGTAGTTTTAAATTTGAATTATTGAGCAGAAGCATCTCAAAAAAAAGTTGTTTACAGTCATATAATTTGAATTCACTCATTTTTACTGGTTTTGATTTTCTGTACAAATAAATACTGAATATTTTTGCTTCAAAATTCATATACTTAAAGTAAAAGTATAGCTCTAAGTAATTCTATTTTTTTGAGATTTTACAGTAAGTTGTTGTAGAGTTAAGGGGGGGTGTTCAAAGGAACGGTAGTGTTCAAAGGAACGGTTAATGACTGTATTGTACCATCCCTTCCGCTTCTTCGTCTTCGCTAACTTTATACCATTGTTATTGGTGCTGAAACGGATTCGTACGCCATGTTCTTCACTTCATGATCGATTACAACTTGTATGTAGCAGAAATAAAGCAAAGGAATTAACATTGCTTAGAATAAAATGACGTTTTCCATCACCAAAGACTTGCGTTACTTAAAAAAAAAATAATGACAACAAGAAAATCCGAATCCGGGATGCATTGTCACAAGTACCTACGTCACGGACACGTTATGGCTCCCCGCTTGCTTAACAACTCGAAGTACTTTTACTAGCAAATTATCATACTCATCATGGATTCTTCAGACCTGTATCACGTTAGGCAGCAATTCACATTAGGTACTGCTCATATTATGCTTATGATGTAAATTTAGTTGACTTTTCATTTGTTAGGCGCGTACAAGACGCTTGCAAACCTTACACTGCCAGATGCATCTTCTCCAGACCACGATGCTTTCCTTCTCTACAAAGCGCGCTCGCTAATTGCTCTCGGAAAGGCTAAAGAAGTCTCTAAGTTCGTACCTGTCGAGCCGGAGTCACTTTCGTTGAAAGCTGTGCGTGCACTTGCGCGGTTCGTGCAGGCAGAACAGGAAGAAGAAGACAAGGACGTTCCCTTGGAAGAGCTACGTGATTTGTGCGTGGAGGTGGAAGGAGAAGATGTAGATGTGAAGGAGAGGTGGCAGGTGCGTGTCCTCGCTGGAACTGCCTTTGCGCGAGCTGGTGAAGTGGAGGAGGCGTTGGAGACGCTTGGGGTGGGGACGAATAATGAGAGCCTTGAAGCGTATGTTTTCTTCTACTAGTGCTTTCCAGACTAGCTGATCGAATGCGTTGCAAATGTAGTGTATCCCTTGTCGTTCAGATTTACCTCTCAATCTCACGCGCAGACCTGGCTAAGAAGGAGCACGCTCGTGCACTCAATTGGGCAGAAGACGATCTCCTCTTACAGTCTATCGAAGCCGCTATTGGCCTTGCGACGGGATCAGACGCATATGCGGATAGCAACTCATTCTACACCGAGCAACTTGGTAACCCATCCTTGGCGTCAACACATCTACTTGCTTCCCGTGGTGTTGCACGGCTGTTACGTGGTGAGGTTGGACCAGCGCGTTCAGACTTGGAAGAGGTCCTGAAGGGCGACGAGGGTGGAGAAGGTGAGGAAGAAGCGTTATGTGCGAGCGTTGTTGCTGCAGGACTAGGTGCTAGCAAGAAAGGCGAAGCAGATGAGTTATTCACGTAAGGATTCCATTTTTCTTCAATGCATCAAAATACTGATTTTTTTTTAAATTTGTTTCGCAGTCAACTATCTTCGAAATACCCGACAAACCCACTCGTCCGCGACGTTCAAGAAAAGAGTGCTTTGTTTGACGAGCTAGTAACGAGGATAGAAGTACCGCCGTCGGCTGTACCCTCTCGCGCTTAGACTAATGTGAGCTTAAGTTTGACAAAAAGCAAATTGACCTTAACCTCACGTAATTTTGATAGACCGCCTGTACTTTATTTTGATATAAATCCCACAAACAGGGCTGTTTAGAAGTTCGAGTATATATTATTACCGGATGCCACTGTTCATCACTGCGCTTTGTTCACTACATTTTGTCGAGTCATACTGTCTTACGCAGAGCACATGCAAATGCTCAATGAGCCTAGCCGATGGACTTTAGTCCGACTACAACGTCCAGAAAGCTAGAAAATGCAGCCAACGTGGGGCATGGCCTTCAACTCGAGTCCACAAAAGCAATTCCCCAAAGCAACAGTGCCAGGTTCATACTTTTACTTTCTTAACTGTGTTCAAGCAGAAAAATGGCAAGTGATAGGCTATATAGACCGGCTGGTAAGATTTTCGCATATGCAAATCTTTGCGAAGTTGACTGCCATATTTCCCACGTCAGGTCGTCTCGAAAGTTTCCATATAGCGTGTCAAGTCCTCAAGCTTGACTCTACTGTCATCGTTGCTGGACGATTTCTCAATACCACCAACGAACAGACGCGTTTAACGAAAGAACAAGTGTATCTAGCGCTTCTCCATGCATTGCGGACACACGCTGCGCTTTCCGCGAGGGTCATACCAACCATACGAAAAGTTACGAGGGGGACTTCGAAAGCGATATACGCATTCGAGAGATTGGAGATCCTCGATTTGGAAGGTGCTGTTCGTTTCTTAGACGAAAAGGAAGAGGAAGAGAATCTCGCAAAGATCATGCAAGACGAGTTCACGCGTCCTCACCGTTCGGATGGTGGTCCCAACACACCATTATGGCTGCTAACCGTCATTTCACGGAATACCGTCCTTTTTGCATGGCATCACTGTATTGGAGATGGACAGAGCGGTATCGCGTTCCTTCGTACTTTCCTCCAGGGACTCAACTCGTCTGAAGATGTTCCCGCTGATTTCGATTGGAGAGCCGTGAAGACACCAAACACACTCGAGCTTTTACCAACACTCGAGACGCTTACGGACCTCTCTGTCTCATTACGTACCCTTATTCCCAACATTGCAAAGCTCTTCATTCCTGCCTCTTGGACAAGCGCACGACGCACATGGACCGGCGCACCTGTCTCATCTGCACCTTGGCCTTTCCACACACGTGCACGTATTCTATCTATCCCTCCGGAAAACAGCGCACGCATGCTGGCTGCTGCAAGGGAACACGGAACGACGCTTACTGCGGTGCTTTACCTGCTTTCCACTGAGGTACTCGCAAGACTAGTTTCGTCTGACAAGCAAAACAGGAAGTACGACCGTCTCGAATGCAGTATTGCCATCTCGCTCCGTCCACTTGCAAATCAACCGCTTACTGCGATGGGAGACTTCGTCTCTGTGTATCACGCGTCAGAGCGTCTTTCCTCTTTCCCTTCCCCTTACCCTTCCAGCAAATCCACTTCGAAAGGAAAAAAGGACGTAGACGCAGACTTTAACTTTGACTGGCAACGAGCGACATCGTTCTCCAAGGACCTACATGCCTCGGTCCCGAAAACACGCGAAACTGTTGGTTCATTGAAATACCTCTTCGGGAACTACAAAGGTTACTTCAAAAGCAAACTCGGGAAGAAACGCGAAGGAAGCCTAGTGCTTTCTAACGTTGGCGCATTCAAAACAAATTCAATCTCGGGTGGCAAAGCTCAGGCAGGGTGGACGATCACGGAGGCGTATTTCGCACAGGATGACTGTGCAGTCGGACCAGCAGTTAAGATCAACGTGATAGGATCTCCGTCCGGCGGTGTTAACATTTCCGTTACCTGGGGAGAAGGTGTCGTTGAGGATGAGTTTGGGGACGTGTTCGTACGCGAGTTTGGCAATGCGATCAAGAATTTTAATTCCTTATTGGCGAGTACAGATATGAAATCTCCTTGACTTACAGTCAATCTCTTCCGGGATCGTGATTTCATTCGATTTTCATTTTGTCTATGTCCCCTTCGAATAACGACAATCTTGTGGATTGACTATCTAGACTCGACTGTGAATAGCGAATCGAAGTCTGGTACACATCCTTGGACAAAATGATTCTGGTTCTGAACTCTCAGTACAGTAATAGACATTCATCTAACAGTTCAATCTTTCCTATACGACCACGACCTCCGTACTCAAATACTGCCCTTCGATATTCCGAATGAACTTGGCGCGTAACTTAATACGTTCTAAGGGAGTACGTCAGAGTCAGAGTCTATTTACAAGTAGATACGCTTACCAGGAGTCGATGCTTATAGAGTCAAACTGTATGGTTTGATGAGCTGGCGAGTCGAGGATCGAAGTATCATATACCATTCTGCGCTCAGACTAAGCCTTATGTATTTACTTTTAAAAAATCCCACATACGGAGATTCTAGAAAAGTTTATACTATGAACGGATACTAACATTCCTCACTTGGATACTGCGATCATTACTGCATTTTGTTGAGTCATTCCGCTTTACGCTGAGAACGTCCGAGAGTATTATAGCCGATGGACTTATGTCCGACCACAATGTGTATCAGAAAACTACAAAATGCAGCCGAATTGCAAGCAAGCTGACTTTCAACTCAAGTTTCTCAAGGGAGTTTCTCTTAAATAGCTCGTGTCAGATCCATACCTTTAGCCTCCTGACGTTGCTGTAAAAATGGCAAGTGATAAGGTGTACAGGCCAGCCGGTGAGATTTTCAACTCGCGAATCGCATACAAATTTGACATTTTGCTTTATTCGCGTCAGGCTTTCTTGAAAGCTTTCACATAGCGCGTCAAGACCTTAAGCTCGACTCTAGTGTCATCGTCGCTGGCCGATTCGTAAATGCTTCCGATGAACACACGCGTTTGACAAAGGAACAAGTGTACCTGGCGATTCTTCATGCACTGCGTACACATGCTGCACTTTCTGTGAGGGCCGTACCGAGCTCAGGAAAAGCTACGAATGGAAAGACAAAGGCTGTATACGCACTGGAGAGATTGGAGACCCTCAATTTAGAAAATGCTGTTCGTTTCTTAGACGAGGAGGAACAGGATCTTGCAAAGATCATGCAGGACGAGTTCACCCGGCCTCACCGTTCAGATGGTGGTCCCAACACGCCATTGTGGCGACTAACTATCACTTCTCGGAATACCGTCCTTTTCGCATGGCATCACTGTATTGGCGATGGACAGAGCGGCGTCGCGTTCCTCCGTACTTTCCTCGAAGGTCTCAATGCCTCTGAAGATGTTCCTGCTGACTTTGATTGGAGAGTCGTGAAGACACCAACAACCCTCAATCTGATACCACCACTTGAAACGCTTACGGACCTCTCCGTGTCATTACGTACCCTTATATCTAGCATCGCAGGACTCATCATCCCTGCCTCCTGGACGAGGGCACGACGCACATGGACAGGAACACCTGTCTCCTCTGCACCATGCCCGTTCCACACGCGTGCGCGCGTTCTCACCGTCCTTCCGGAAAACAGTGCGTGCATGCTAACTACCGCAAGGGAACACGGAACAACACTTACAGCGGTACTCTATATGCTCTCTGTTGAAGTGCTCGCAAGATTAGTTTCCTCAGATAAGCGAAATGCGAAGTATACCCGTCTCCAATGCAGTGTTCCCATATCGCTCCGTCCACTTGCAAATCAACCACTTACTGTTATGGGAGAATTTGTCTCTGTATATCATGCTTCAGAGCGTGTCTCCTCCTTCCCTTCCTCGAAACCCATCGCCAAATCAAATTCGAAGGGGGAAAGGGACACGATCAAAGAGATCAACTTCGACTGGCAACGCGCTGCGTCGTTCTCCAAGAAACTTCACGCCGCAGTGCCCAAAACACGTGAAACCGTTGGTTCAATGAAATACCTCTTTGGGAACTACGAAGGCTTCTTCAGAAACAAACTTGGGAAGAAACGCGCCGTGAGCTTGGAGCTTTCTAACGTTGGTGCCTTCAAATTGGAAGCACCCTCGGATGGGGAAGCTCAGGCAGGGTGGACCATTACAGAGGCGTATTTCGCTCAGGATGATTGCGTGGCTGGGCCAGCAATTACACTCAACCCAATTGGATCTCCATCTGGAAGCGTCAATATTACTATAACGTGGGGAGAAGGCGTCATTGAGGACGAGTTCGCGGAGGCGTTCGTACGTGAGCTTGGTAATGCAATTGAGAAATTTAATTCTCTGTTGACAAGTATGAATGCGAAATCTCCTTAACTTGATGTTCTTTCTGAAACATAACTCATTTGATTTACTTCTTTTTTATCTACGTTTTTTGGATCACGACAATGCTGTAGTTTGGACATCTAGACTCAACTATGAATAACGAATTAAAAACTAGCACACAGTCTTGAGCGAAAGGGTATCAATACTGAGTTCATTCCTAGTCGTTGGTAAAAGCAGTTACTTTGTCATACAGCTTATTCGTGCAAGCTCGTCTATATAGTTGTCCTTGTATAGACGCAAAACCCGTTACATTTGGTGATATATCATTTACACTACACTGAAATACACGTCCAGGACTTGGTCCGGAGTACGTTTCACAACAAAGAACCTATAGCTACAGTAACCACAACTTCAATTGTCCAATGGGTATCAATCCGCCAAAAATCCTGTCTGGCTAATCCGACTCGACATCTACTTTCCTTCGCTTCGGCTCTATGATAACCTCTATCGCGACTTCATTATCCTCCGAAGCATAACCAGAGTCAACCGAAACTTCGTCAAATTCGCGTTTCCGCTTCGTCCGTGGTACAGATAACACTTCACGCTTCGCAATATCCATTTGATTGCAGTCTTCACACTTGTGGGCTGGCTCGGATCCAGCTCGCGTCTTCGAGGACTCGGAGTCACTGTCCATTTTGACCGCTTCATGGCTTAGTCCTCCACACAGCGTAGCATCGTCGCCGGAAGTAACTAAGCCTTCAGAGATCAACCCTTCTTCTTGAGCTGTTGTTCTGTCCTCTCCAATCGCTATGTTGTTCTCTTCAACTGGCTCAACGTCGAGTTGTTCGACTGCTCCTGAAACGTCTCCACTATCCTCGTTGGAAGTCTTGACACTGTCCTTGATATCCATGGCAGCATCCGGGGTATCAGATTTTGGCACCTTTTGTCGAATCATAGCCAAGGCATCATCCCAAACCTTCAAGACCTTATCCACAATATCCTCGTCGACCTTGAAATCCCAGACATAATTTTCTCCATTTTCAGGCTTAACCATCGCCTTATATGCGTTGCGTTCCCCATGCATGAAAGGTTTGCATAACTCTCTTATGCATGGGATCAAATCAGCAAAATATGGTTGGATATGCGCAATCACGTTACGTTCGAACCAGAAGTCATACGTGAGCAGCAAATACTTGTCGGTGCTGAGGAGACGGGACATTTCAGGCTCTAGTGGATTTCCGCCTACCCAGCTATCCACTATGGTGTCTTCAAGACAGTGATTGTACGTTCTGTTCGGACCAGAGCAAATCGTGCATACCCAGCACAAAACGTAGAACAGAGACTCAAGATCGTGATGAGCTCGATGACGGATATTAAGGTCATCACCAAGTGCACGTAAAACATCTACAGACATGAAGCAGGAAGTTCCCTGGGAGGGGGAAGGATAACAGTTAGAATGGAGTATGTAAGCCGGAAACGTCAAAACATCATACGCTAGGAACACTTCCAGCAGACGGTCGGCCAATAATACTTTTACCAAAATCTATTAAATAGCCTCTTCGAAGTCCGTCTGGATTATCTGGATCCGGTGCAAGAACGATGTTTCCCCAGCTGATATCGCCGTGGCAAATGTTTCTTCTATCTAGATCCGCTATAGCTGTACGAAATAGTTGGATCCTAAGTCAGCGTATGCAAATCTACGTTTAGATGAACTACGTACCATAAGCGACATCTCGAAGTGCCGAGACGAGCTCTTCCAAAGAGGCGAAGGCAGCTAACTTCTCACCGTACGGTGTCATGATCATCTGGTGATGCTTCAAAAACATATGCCCCGAAATCAACTTCGGAGATATATTCTGCCCTTCTAGCCATTTCTTGGTGAATTCGGTGGTGATATCTTCGCCACTGGGATGCTTTGCGATGTCATGATTCACCAGCTGAGCGACGTTTTTTATACCACGAATGTGTTCCATTATTACTGGTTCATTCATCTCGTTGTCCGTATCGAACCAAACATCCTTGTTAATGTATGTCTTTCCATCGCGTTCAACAACACGAATGATGGACCTTTCACCAAATATATCCCATACACCCTCATGATGAGGCAACGTCCTCCTGATGAGATATTCTTCCCCGTTAACACTCATGAAGTCATCGTCATTTCTCTTCCAGAACATGACATCGTAACCCAAATCTACGTCGTCTTCGTAGAACAGCACGGCAATCAAAACATCAATAGCGTCCCCTTCCTTGACTGTATACTGTTTGCTGGAATAATGGCCCGATCGATCAAAGTAATGCAGTATAAAGGACGTGCCAAGGTATACAACACCAATTACAAAGTTTCGGGGTTGACTGTTGAAGATATGGTGGGCGAAACCAAGCATCCGTGTCGAAGTGGACTCCAGGCAACCATCACACTCATCCTTGGCGACTACTACGGGACACACGACATCCCTCCAAGTCACCTCGTCGCTATCGACTTGGGCTCGATCAACCAAAACAATATCTGGTCTTTGACTGCAATCGAGATCAGACATCTTTTTCCCAGTTGCTTCAAAACCGAAGCGACAGTTAAAGCCTCTGGTTGGGAAAGTGATTGCTGCATTTGAAAAGCCGAATGCTTTGTCTAGCTCACGACCAATACCATTGAATAACTCTGCGAGCCTGCATCCTGGGCCTCGTGACGAATACTTGCTGTACTCGTTGGAGTTCATCAGAACCCTGCGCAGTTCTCTGCCTATACAATTCGAAACCTTTAATGCAAATTTTCTCTGTTGTACAATGGCAGGGTCATCATCGTAAGAATTGTAACAGTTCCAGCAGTGTGGAAAACCTGGCAGGGGAAAAACTTTGCGCAGAAGGTTGAGGCCTGTAAATACAGAGTGATGTAGCTTATACCGGTTCGCATCCTCATCACTGGAGACTTCAGTTAGCACACTTCGGCAGCCACAGATTCTTTGTCTAACTCACGAGGGTATCGGTCTGCCAGAACATCCAGCACATTCAACATCCTCACTTTCCGAGCTGCATTAGCATGTTAGACACCGACGTATGCACGAAGACAGTGTGACGAAATCACGTACGAAGCTAGGGTATCAACAGGCTTGGTGCGTGCACCGCCGTGGGGGCAAGTCATGGTATAGAGACGGTCAAAGAATCGGTAGGACTTCGAAAGTCACAGCAAGCTAATGCGGTTGAAATGAAGGTTGGAGATAAAGAGGCCTCAAAGACGCGTCCATACGTATTTATCTCCATGTTGTACGTGGCTCCAGAGTCGTGTCTCATAGGCTTCATCATCTAATGACTCGAAATTCAAGACGCGACGTCACGCTTCATTGTTGTCGCGTTATTGTCACAATCACGTGTAGTCATAGCTTTGTCTTCCGACGCGAAAATAATAAATTTCTGAATAATTTTGTGCTTTTAGTCGTGTAAGTAATACATGCAAGAGATGCAGATTTTCAAGTTCCGAACGTATGAGGACAAGAAATAAAGCATTGCAGCCATACAACAATCTATGCAGTACTAAAGTCACCGAAGCTACAAACTCCAACCAAACCGTCCTAAGCATCATACTATTATTGAAACAAGTCAGACGAGCTATGTTTAAGGAAGGAATAGAATATCGGCCGACCTGAAGAATTAGCGATGTGGCCCACGCTGTCGGATCCATGTTCTTGTCAAGATATTGATAATATTCCGTCCCATTAGCATTGTATCGGAACCTATTCAATTGCAATCAGCGCCTCATTCGCGAACTCCGAAACTTTCGCTAGCTTTACCGTTTCAGTGTTCCGGATACTCCAGGTGATCGACGAAGGTTCGGAAGAGCAAAAATGGTCTTCAAAGCAGCGCCCATAACCTAATTTGATTTATGTGTCAGTAACGAGGCAAAGAGGAGTACATGTGAGAACGTACAGAGTGTACGAAGGTATTCCCGAAAGACCTGCTGATACCATCCCCGGCAAGGTAGAGATCAGCTGAGCGAGTAACGTCAACTTCAGTCGGATTTGGGAAGACGTTGGGCTAGAAACCTCAAATGAGTACAAGCCAGAAATCCTTTATGACGAACACCCACGCTACGGTTCGCCTTTGCAATGCTCAAAAACAATCGCTCGTTCGTTTTCACAGAAAGTTGTCCAAGGTGCTTGTCACTCAATGCTTCCCCTGTCGCTAATCATTTAGCAACCATAAACGGGGCCGGAAAAATAACGCACTGTAAACTCCAGCAAACGGAGGGTCAATTCCTGTGAATATTGCGTCAATACAACTGTACACTATATGCGAGGGAGTGAACATACGCATTGCTTCACGAGCGAAGGCCGCCAAGATATCTACGTTCTCACCCGCACTTTCGATATGACTACGCTGGGGCGCATCAAGGTACAAATTGACCATATTGATCATTGCTGTCGAAGGATATATCTTAGTTACTAATGCAACCTAAGAGTTTTAAAACAAACAAACCTTGGGAGAGTTCAACTGTGGCAACAATAGCGACAGATACAATGGCATTGGCTAGCTCATCGAGTGGTTTGCCTGTCGCAACCATTTTCTGCAAGAATTCATGGCTAGGTTTCTTCGGCCCTGCGAACACCGACCCTAAGAAACCGATGAAAGATAACTAAGAAAACGTTAGTTCGAAATTACAGAAACGAAGGCGAAATGGATCTCTACCCTGCTACCGCTCACGGCACGCAAGTTTGTCTTGACGACATCATGAATCTTATTCATGTACTTGCGCGCACGGTCCTCGGTGTTAAGTTCCTTCTCAGGTTCAGTCTCCAGGAAAATGTAACTGAAAGCCCCTTTAGTCCATCGAACGAGAAACAAAATACAGGTAGACCAACTCATAAAGCGTGCCAAGCATAGTGAAGAGCTCCTCGTCGGTCCACTCTCCATCAGGGTTTTCAGCTGACTTGAGCGTGATTCCCGCCTAACAGAATAATTATGAGTGCTTGAGATTAGAATGTAAGTAAAGTCGGGCGTACAATTTCTGAAGCAACCCAATGGATAGGAATCATTTTCAATACAGTGGAGATATCAACGTTTTTCGTTTTCTTGCCAGCGAGGAAGTACGAGTCACGTTCAATGACGTAGCGAGCTTTTTCCTGGAAATGCTTGACGACTCCTTCCAGTGATCCCTGCGGACCGATGAGGATATTATAAACATCCTTCTGGTCGATCAGGCCTTCCTCATTCTGATCGAAAGTGATAAAGAAACTACACAGCTCATGAACAAACACGTCAAGTAAGAGAAATGCAAGTCGACGTACCCCTGGCCCTTTACCATTGCGCCAACACGATCCGCATACGGTGGCCGGAAGCCCGACACATCCTTCAGCATGCCTGCAACACTCGCATAGTCGCTAATGATATGCGTCACAGGTGCCTGCGTCGGACGGTCGAAGTTATACCGTTCTCGGACACCCATTTGCTTCGTGTACTTCTCCATTGCTTCGGGTGTCATAAGCGGGAACCATGTGAACGCCGAATCACTCGTATAGTGGCTTGGTAAATGACGCAAGAATAATCGTCCAAGCATGGAGCCATATCCAGGATTGGACGTATCCTTTTGACAGTCCTTAAGACCCCAGGCAGTATAGTTATATGGGGTCATGTCAGTCGTGTAGAACCGATCTCCTCGAGTCAGCGAGATGGCATCTGCGAGAATGGCACGAGAAATAGTGTATCCAGGACAAAGGCCAGCTCCATCTACAACAGGCTTAGTTTCTTCGCCCTGCAAACCAACTTGAAATGAATCAGTCCTCCATTAGCAAGCAGAGTAGCTTTTATGGATGGGAGTACTCACCATAAAGTTCCAGGTTGTTGATATCACCATAATACAGTCTGGAAGCAGCTTCCGCGATTTCGGGGTCCGGATTCCATTCCAAGAAACTCGAGTACGCTGAGGCAAACATCAATATGTGCCTACATAGGTCGCCATTATTTACTTACGCTTCAAACCCAGGAACTGTGAACCATGATAAGTATTAGAATTTCGTAATCTAGAGGTGACACAACGACTTGCCTTTCGGAAGTCGTTGAGCGAACATATGCCCCATCGTCGGCTTTGCTCAATGCCCATGATCTCGTTCAGTTTCATGATAGCTGGTGTTCCACGGGCTCCGAATGACGCCGCATGATGAGTAGTCGCATCCTGCAAAATGCGAGCAAGGTCTGCGTCCGCGAATCGACCATCTTCCTGACGCTTCAAACTGAACTTCAATGAGCAAGGGACTTGAGTTCATAGAAACATGATTGGGTTCGCACCCGCCGAATGTCCAATGCTCGCAGTCAGGTTGCAATTGCTGAGCCTTTGCCGCAGCAACCTGGAAATCTCTTGGTGTAACCTCTTCAGGATTCTTGTCACCAAAGAATTGCTTAAAGGCTTGGCTGACCCATTGCTCATCCTCGACGCTCGTCGTTGCATGCCATCGGTAGAGGCAGTTGAATTCGACGCTCACGGCGTTGCCCTGTCCACGCTCAACGAACGTATGATCCTCCTTTCGGATTTCCTCGAATGGATTTAGGCTCCAACTGATGCCCTTGCGTACGAATCCAAGAATTGCAGAAAAGTAATCCGAGAATACAACGTTAGCAAACCAGCCACAGTTGATGAGGCGTGCAGTTTGGAAGATCTCCTCGTCTTGCTTTGCCAGCTTAGCTGTGCGCTTCGGGTCATCCTGAGGTATCGTGTTTGGATCTACCCATATGCCGCGCTCGTTAATGTCAAGTAACTTGCTTGCAATGAACTGCAAAAATATTAGTGTTTGCACTGTTGGTAATAAAAATAAAACTCTCACGTTATGGTTCCTGCTAAACAGAACGAGTAATACGCAGACAGCTGGAGGCAAAAGAAGCAGTCTGTCTTCCGCAAAGACATCCGGATGGAGCATGCCTCGGCCATCCCGTGCACGCACCTTGTCCTGAGATGCCTGGTCGACGCCATAAAGAGGCGATAGGTCGACATATGATGAAGTTTCGTTGATCGTCCAATCCCTATGCGAAGTGCGGAAACACGTGTGGATGACCAACGCAGCGAACGAGAACATAAGCGAGGATAAACCAGCTGGGTGTTTCACGAACTATATTCATGGGCGATAGTTAGTGGCTGGGCAAACCATAAAAATAGAATGGAAAACTTATACCTTCTCGCGTTTTAGAAGTGTATCGAAGACAAGTCCAGCATCAGGCAGCATGTGACCGGGAAGCGGATGAATTTGCTGCACACTTCGCGCATAGGGTGTGCCAGCTTTACCCATGTCGGGGATGCTCACGTTATTATGGGAACCATCGGCCCGGCGCCATTGATATTCGTTTGATACGTAAGTGGGAGGCGGATGTGTAAGATCGTTGTACACTGGGTTAAAACAGCGTCATTTGCATAAATTTAGAAAATGGGGTTCATTGATTTTGAATAAAAAAGACGATTCCAACACTTACACAGTGTGACAACCGCGTTCTGAAGCTTTGTTGCAAGTTGCGTGTCAGGTGGGGTATTCGCCATCAGCATGAGGACATGCTCGAGCTGCAGAAGAAGCAACGTCGACGTCAGAGAATAGAAGAGTCACAGATAGAAGATGGGACGCATAACGCACGAGCATTTTGCGGTCGTCGAGATTGTTGAGGTTTCCAACCGCGTCGAGCACACCAGAGATCATCTGCGGATCCAGGATAAGAGGGAGGTCTTTCTTCACCTATAATGTTGTCAGTCGTTATTGGGGGAAAACGCGTAATAGTACAGTCTTACAAGCTCCCTCACATCCTTGAGCGTCTTTAGGACACCTGAGTGTTTATCGTCACTCGATGTGCTCCCAGATACACTTCCACCGGCGGCATCGCCATTCTTGTTCTAGTTTTGAGTGAGACTGGCAAGATGATCATCTTCAGATAAAGGCACTTACGGATATTGTTGAGGAGCGACGCATGCTAAAGCGGCGCTGTAGAGAACTCATAGCGATGAAGGAGAAACTGGGGTACGGATAGACATAAGGACCTGCACTCTCGCTTTTTGAACTGCTCGCCAAACCGTAATTCGGGTCCTTGCGAGCGGGAAATCATGCGATCAATACAAGCATGGACGTTTGAACAGACGTGAAATCAGGTATGCCACTTGACACACATCTCAAGCCAGGAAACGAGGCGTTCCATAAATGTGGCATCAAATGCTCGTTCGTCATTTGTTCAAGGATGTTCTTCCCTTCGGTGGGCAGGCTCGGGGGTTGCTGCCGTATCGCATCTCAATACAGTTTACGATTTCCATATTTTGCCATTCGCGCCCTGATGTGGTGAGGCTTTCGATGGGTGGAGATTCGAGGCTAGAAGCCAAAATGCCGAGGAGCTTGGAAGCAGCAGAACCTGTCCTGTGTCCAGGTTGGAATTAATTTAGATCTGGACGTAAGCGTGACTATGCGTCGATCTGCACATGCCTCTTTCAGCCAATCATAACTCATTTGATTAGACTAGTGAATTGATGCATTTAATCGACGTCAATTGTCGAACGCTAGCACTCACCAGCATAGGTGTCCGGAAGTTAAAGAATCCGAACAAACCAGGCGTGGCAATTGCTTCGTATCAAGACTGTTTCACAACAAAAGTCCCGCTGGACATTACTGAACGCCGTGATAGACGGGTCGGAGTATTCCATCGAATTCAAATGGAATTGTCCTTGATCACTATAATCCAGCAGTTTTGCAGTGGCCGAGATGTTGTTTCTCACAGAGTGTACCCGCATATATACCCAGTACACTCCATATGACCATCTATACTCACTCACAGCATTCGTTCGGCTTCGCCGACCACAAAATTAGATTAGCGCTCTTCATTAATCGACAAGTACAGGCGATGGAGATTAGTCCCGCCGAAAATTCGCCCACGTTATTTTAGTTTACCGTAAATATTGCCTGAAGTTAATAATGCACGGTAATCAACGTAGCATCCATATCATCAATACTTACACCCGTACAGCGGTCTCTTGAGGCTAATCGATCATTAGTGACTTGACAGAGACAACAGTAATGGTAGGTATAGGATTATACTGCTCCGACATGGGACATTTGAGGAGTAACGTCCGGATTCCGAACCGATGTCCCGGAATTGTCAAAAAGTGCGTCGTTGTCTCACGTGACTTAAGTAGGGCACGTGGGCAGACGCGTCGCGCGTTTGTTCAATGTTGTTTGCTGGAACGCGACTCTGACGACTTCGACCACCATCGGGCTACTTACTGGCTTCTAGTCGTTCATCTTGTCATTTTCTTACAGTTTCTAGGTTAATCTAGACTAGCTTGGGAACTGTAATCCGTTCGTTATACCTGGCGCGATGACCACGTCAAAATCAAGCACACTCAAATCAGGGCTCGGGACAATGAAACGAGACTGGTCTGACAACAACTCTACTTTCACTGCACCTAGCTCGCAAACTAGCAACTCTGCATTAGACTCCAAATATTTTCGGGCCGCTGATGACAACGAGAGCAAGGCGAGACGTTTGGCGATTATGAAGGCTGCACTTGCTGAAGAACCAACTACCGGAGCTGAACCACTTAAAAGCTCGGCCATCGCTAACAGTGCAGCCTCTCGTGTTAACGACACAAGGAAGGGGATATCTGGACCGTCTACCTTCTCGAAAACTGCCAACACGAATGGCCATACGACTAGTCGAAGCTCATCACTTTCTAAAAGACCGTCGGATGGACACGAATCGGAGACTACTGCGAAGAAGAAGCGTATGCTACCAGAGAGCTTCACTCGCTCTGATAAACCTGTCAAACCTGTACCTCCATCACGTACTTCTTCCAGAGGTGCGGCGGCGACCATGGCAGTTATGAATGAAAGACGACAAGCTCGTTCGGAACGCAAGGCGACGGACAGGCCGGCCAAGATATTCTTGAGCAAGGAGCAACTGCGGATTTTAGAGCTTGTTCAAGAGGGCCATAGCTTGTTTTACACCGGGAGTGCTGGTGAGTAATCACCTATACCTCGTCTGCGCCACACTGAATAGTTCGGATGCAATCAGGTACGGGCAAATCCGTCTTGCTTCGTGAGATCATAAAGACCTTGCGCAAGAAATACGTCTCCGTACCAGATGCGGTTGCTATCACTGCAAGCACAGGTTTGTTCCTACTTCCAGATATATTCATGAACCGCCATTAAATAGGCATATATATGCAGGTATCGCTGCTTGTAACATCGGCGGAGTAACCATCCATTCGTTTTCTGGTATCGGACTTGGAGTTGAGTCAGCAGAGGAGCTCGCAAAGAAAGTACGGAGACAAAAGAAGGCTATGGCCCGGTGGCTTCGAACGAAAGTTCTTATCATAGATGAAGGTAATGCTCTAACTGGCTTGTTGCATATATGCGTGTCTGACAGTCTGCCAGTCTCGATGGTTGACGGCGATCTATTCGACAAGTTGTCTCGTATAGGCACTATCCTTCGAAAGAGACCAAAGCCATTCGGAGAGATCCAGGTCTGTACCATTTTTATCCAATATACTTTTACGCATGCTTACATGGTAGTAGGTCATAGTCACTGGAGATTTCTTCCAATTACCGCCCGTCATGAAGAGCGGTTCTTCAAAGTTTGCCTTCGAAGCGCAGATGTGGAATGAGACTATCGGGGAGCACACGTACAACCTGACGAAAGTCTTCCGTCAGAAAGATCAGGGTAAGTTATTCCGCTTCCTGATCTGAGTATGACTAACCTAGCGCATTAGACTTTGTCGATATGCTCAACGAAATGCGATTCGGGAGACTGACGCAAAACTCCATCTCGAAGTTCAAATCGCTATCGCGTGAGATTCATTATGACGATGGGATGGGTGCGACTGAACTGTATGCGCCATCTTTTCTCCAATGCCAATCCATTTTTTCTGACATTGCTTCTCCAGATTTCCACGGCGCGAAGACGTTGACCGTTCCAATATTGGTCGCATGAACAAGCTCGGCACCGAAGAACACAAATACTCAGCTCTGGACGGAGGGACCATCACAGACCCGAAACAACGGGAAAAGATCCTCTCCAACTTCATGGCCCCATCCGTGCTCACTCTAAAAACCGACGCGCAAGTGATGTTAATCAAGAACGTAGATGAAACGCTCGTAAACGGGAGTATCGGGCGTGTTCTACGATTCATGGATCCGTCACAGGCAAAGGATGAAGGTGTGAACCAACCAGGAGACGGAGAGAAGGCTCCTAAGAAATCGAAGAGTGGGCAGGTGTGGCCTGTTGTAGAGTTCCATGTGCCAGGAGGATTGGTGAAGGAGGTTATGATTGTTCCGGAGAGTTTTAAGGTTGAGTTGCCGGATGGTGAAGTCCAGGCTAGTAGGACCCAGGTTCGTCGGTTTCCAACCTTTCATGAATGAATGTCATAGATGCTAATGAACTCTCTGATTAGCTTCCTCTCATCCTTTCATGGGCTATGTCTATTCACAAGTCACAGGGTCAGACGCTTGACCGTGTCAAAGTCGACCTCGGGAAGGTCTTTGAGAAAGGTACGAATCTCCTCGCAACTTCCGTTCAGCCGACTTATTCACTGTACTGTATTATATTGCACTTCAGGACAAGCATATGTAGCCTTATCTCGTGCGACGTCTCTAGAAGGACTACAAGTCCTAAATTTCGATGTCAGAAAGGTCAGACATCCTCCAGCTTTCCCATTCTTTATCCACCTTATTCACCGTGTCGACCTTTAGGTCCAAGCTCATCCCAAAGTTATCGAATGGAGCAAGTCATTACAAACAATTCCTTGTTGAACCTTGAAACCGTTGGCGCCTTTCGTCCTTCGTTCAGTCGTTACTAGATGGCACCTTTCTTCATTCTTTTGCACTGCTTTCATTCGGGGACATCAGCATTAACACTTGTCAATGAGAAAACCATCATACATACGCAATTGATCGCATAGTATCGTATTAGATCAACTCGGATAGTATTCACAAATGTGCATAGTAATATTCACAATTAAATTTGTACATGAAGAATATTGATAGTTTGCATCAATAATTGAAGACAGTCTAGGGAACGCATACGCCTGTTGACATCGTCCTTACAAAGCAGACTATTCTCTGCCTGTGAATAGCATTCAAAGCCAGATATGAGACACTTCTGAGGTCTGGAGACCCTGCTTATATTTGCTGAAATGCTCACTATTGCATAGTATAAATTGCTGAGCTATATGACCGAAGCAATAACAATAATTTTATCAGGAAGAAAATAAGGATGAACGCGCACTAGTATCCTACCAATACTCTAAATTTCTATACTCCACCACAGCCGGCAAACCCGCCTCTCTCCTTCGTTTCCTCTCTACCTCCCACCGCTCAATCCATTTCTGCATCTTCGCTCTCGCCACCGCACTCCCAACGTTCACCGTCGCGATAATCCTCGCACAATCCACACTCAACGCAAAACATGCAAGCTCAGCAAAACTCGAATGTTCAGAATAAGGTACACCGTATTGCATGAACTGTGCCGTAGAGTTCCGAGCAGGACGGAGATGCGCGTAGGTGAAGTCGCGAGCTTGAGCGGCCGCTACGACGCGTGAAATTGGTGGCATCGGGTCTGAGCCTACGGGAGGTGAGTACGTCCAACCTGTTGGGCGGAAAGCGACTGCTCGTGACCAACGACCTTTCCATCTATCCATATATTCTTTGAATCGATCCGAGGCGACTTGACCGAGCGGAACAACGTGAACGCCAGCTTCGAGAGGTTTGTCCGTTAAGAGAGCATGTAACTCTGGGTCGTCTTGACAGTGCAAGATTGCTACTTTGCGAGAATCGCAGTAGACTTTCGTGTTGAGTGCTTTGGCAATGGCTGAATACAGAACCAATTAGACAGAAGCAAATAGGATAGTGAAATACTTCCCGTACCTTTTACTACCCGTTCTTTGCCAATCGAATACGTTCTAAATGAAGTTAAGTAAGAGGATGTTGATCAATAAAGAAATTGCATACCCAACGACGATCAGAACTTCTCCGTCTTTCTGTGCTCTCTGCTTTCCCTTCCCCTCTCCAGTTTTCATCCACTCTTGAATCGAAGCTTTCCCATTCGACGAGCCCTTCCCATTGTCAGAATCCAACGGTTCACCGTTGACAATCCTCCGCGCCAGCTCAGCACAAGCTGAGACGACCAGTGGTTGTGGTGGGAAGCAGTATCTTGGGTTGAGATATGTGGTATCGAGATAGACCGTGTCAAGTCGCTTTCCCTTAACAGATGGGTGTAACACATGTTGTGGGCTGGCGCGGAAGTCACCGCAGTGCAGATAGCGGAATGTACGGGAAGTGCCGACGAATGGAGATTTGTATGTGCTATCGCCTGCGTTGGTCGTCTGAGATCCTTCAAACAGGAACAGACATGAACCAGGGCCTAGATCAGAGTAAAGTCAATCCAAGGGGTATAGATGTTAGTAATTGGGACATACAGTGATTCGCATCAAGCAGAGTAACCTTCACGCCTCCCGTATTAGGAACCTCAACTGGTGTATTCATAGGCAAGGGATGAAGCCATTTTCGGTCCACAGATAGCATATGAGCAATTAGATTCGCAGTCGTTTCTGCGGGAAGATAAATTAAGCCCCGGTAATTCAATTTTGACAAGGTTATCGCACCTGAGCAATAAATCGGTCCGCTCTTCCAGTTTGAAGATAAGTTCGTGTAATGATCCGAATGTGCGTGCCTTCAACCAGAACAATATGAGTAACGGTGCCATGCAAAAGTGAAAAAAGAAAGCGTACGTCAAGAAATATGCCTCAACACCTGGTATTGTTCCATATCGGAAGGCATCCACAGCAATTGGCATTCCAGTAAGTATTTTGTAGAAGGGCGCTTTCCGACGCTCCGTCTTCGTTGGTCGAAAGTTGGGGTCCTCCGCTACCTGTGCCTCTGTCCAAGCCGCACGCTCGCGCTCTGCGTTTCCAGACATGAGTACAGAAAAAGCACTCGCTGGCTTAGGCTTTAGATCGGGTTTCATGGGTGGCTTAGTTTCTGAAGAAGGACCAGCGGATCGGCTCGATGGGAAAGAAGACAAAGGACGGAGTGGCGTTCGAGCAGCAGCAGACGGAGCAACTGGGTCTGCAGAAGCATCAAGACATGCATTTACATGCTCCTGGATTTCCTGGAAGACGGTAAGTAAATAGAAAGAAGATATCAGGCGCCTGTTGAGACAAACCGATGAATCATAATCCAAGAATGTCATCCTGCACAGTGGACAAGAAGCAATATCATCCTCCACAACCTCTGCGTCCTCTGAATCTTCCATTTTTGTCGCCACATCCTCACAGCTATGTTCAAGAAAATCGTTTAGAACGTACTCAGTATCCAGATCCTCCTCCAGTGCTAGATCCCATTCGTCTGGATCATTCTTCACGCCTTGAAGAGACTGCTCCGATACAAAGTCCTCTTTATCAGAGTTTCGCCCATGCTGTTGCTGAGCAATTGTATCATCTTGACTGTTCTGCCTCCGCAATTGGTTATATATTGCTTGTTCTTTTAGTTGAGACTCTACGATGACCTCAACGTCACTCGAGTCGTCGACCAAATGTGCCTCGACCTCGTCTTCATCATCGGATTCAATGACAATGATGCCCGTATCTTGGGTTTTCAAAGCTACGCAGTTGGGCTCATCTTCGACACAGGTCTTGATTGCGCTAACAGGTGTCTTGCTTCCGTTTACGAATGTCTCAGCTCGCCGTTTGGCTTTGAGAGGTCTGCACAGTCCATCCGCACCAGGTGTTAAGAAATTGAGCAGTGTATTTGATTGCGGCGGCTGCTTGCGTTTCTTCGACATTGTAGACGCCAGAGTCGCTGGCGTGATCTCCAGAGTCCAGACTGACTGAGGTCTTCTATCAATGTGCTACTCGTCGAATCATATGCAACATATGGACGAAGTTTGAATGAATTTTACTGAATGGAATAGATGATTCGTTGATATAAGCGTATAGTGTTTGTATGAATGAGTAGGAGTACTTAAGTAAATCCACAGCTAGTAAGGCCCCGAAAAGAGTATGAGTAGTGTACTATGTGTAGTACCTTCCACGATGACGATGAAATGGCGTGACACAAGCAAGCGCGTTATGTCACACGTGTTCTCAGACCTTATCGCGCTGTTCCGTGTCACTTACAAATGCTATTCCATTGTTCATGGTGAATTGTTTCTTCCATAAACGCTCCGAAGTGATGGTATCAGCGCTGCACATACTATATCAGTGTATTAAGTTTAACAAACCGTGATCACAACTCAAAGGCATTGCCTCATCCTGAATCAGCACCAAGCTCACTGCCTTGATAGAGTAGTAAACAGTCAGCAATTGTAAGACGCTTGCTCCCAACCTCATCCTCAGGACTCTCCCAGCCCTCTGCTCTCTACACTTTCTGACAGGCTTCATATCTGGACACAAACTCGAAATATGCCAAGAGCTGACCATGCTCGAAGTGTGTTGCAATCCATCAGTAGCAAGTTTTCAGATCGGCTGATAGTGACTAGATGCAAGTTATCGATCTTGTAATACACGAATGACTCCATATCATCTCTTGGTTATCTTTACTACATTAGGACTTGGAGGATGGAAGGCAATTGCTGCATACAGAGGCACGGTGATTGTATCAAATACACTAGATTGGGTTTTGGGTGTTTTTCTTGCTTTATTGTAAACAAGACTTTCTACTCTTTTTTAGTACCTGCTTGGATTGATTTGTTGAATAGGTTCTTCTGGCTTGGGGTCATTAAAGACCAAGGTCCTCTAAGTCACCATTGGTTTTTTATATATGATTGTAGAGAAGATGTCTGGCATCATTTGGCCAAACTGTATAGGATTGGTTGTACACTTTACAGTTGAGTTTAATGTCTTAATGTTTTGTTAGATCACTGGCTTATAATGCTTATTAGATAAACTATCAATGGTAAGTATACTGTATTTCAAAGAACTTATCAATAGTGATTATTTACTTTATTTCTTCAAAGTTATTGCACTTTCAGTCAAACCCTAGCATAACTAATATACAAAATCAGTCCAGTCTACAAGAATATTTACACCCAGCTCTGGCTCGAATTGGAGATACTGTGGATTATAGATTGGCTAGACAGAGACTATCACCAGACAACTCTACAAGGGTGCAGGACCCAATAGTAGTTACACCATACACAAGCTCTACTGTCATGCAGGTTCCAGATATTGGCAATGTTTACAGGAATCGTGACCAAACAGGTCTGACAGTAGGAGACAATGCACGGGCACGACTAAATAATTGTATATATGTTCATATCTACAACTTTAATTGTTAGCTAATAAGACTCCCTTCAAAATTTAGTTCTTCAGGCGAGGGGTCGGCTACATCAAGAATATGAGAGTGAATTCCTTGGATCACTATAATGGTGTCTGGAAAGTTACTATTAAATGTAGGTGTTGAATATCATTACACATGATACTGTATTTTAACAGAAGTAATACACTTGTAGTCAGAGAAGATGAAGTGTGCACAGCAGAGCATCGCACAAAGAGGCAGGCAACAAACGAAGCATCCAAGAAGGCACTCGTAGTTCTTCGCGGCTATTAATGTAATATACTTACTTCTCAAAAGCTTGCTGAGTTTCTGAGCATTACTTCTTGCAGAGTACTGTAACGGGTTTGTTTAGATGCTCCCTCAAGGCGTTCAATGTTGATAGTCGGAACCCAGTTTTTGTGTGCCAATAAATCACGAAATGCAACATATTATTTTTGTCGGAGCAGGAAGTACATGCCCAGCCTACAGAAATGAAAAGACAGAAACCATAGCGACATGACAGACGTATCTATGTGTCCCTCTCCGCACGCTGCTTCCTTCTAAGGTCACGCTCTTCGGAGATGGTGAGCTTAGTCCCCTTGCCCTTCGGCAGAGAGATCCATGGCTTGATACCCTCACCAATGACGAAAATGTTGCTGACCCTTTGAGACATACTCATTAACACCCAAAATGAATGTCAGGAATAAGATGTACTTACCGAGTAACGAAAGTCCGGTCGAGCGCATCGCGGACGTGAACCATGTCATGTCCACCATCGTTCTTCTCACGGTGCACGATAACACCAGCACGACCCATGTTACGACCACCAGTGACCATGACAATGTTTCCAGTGTCAAACTTCACAAAGTCGGTAATTTTATTCTGCTCAAAGTCGAATTTGACAGTGTCGTTGACCTTGATGAGGGGATCGGGGTAACGGATGGTACGACCGTCATGGGTGACGATGTGGGGGACGGCGTTACGACCAATGCCAATTTTGCGGACCTTGCAGAGCTTGTAGGAAGCTTCCTCGGGGGTGATGCGGTGGATTGCGAAACGTCCCTTGACGTCGTACAGCAGACGGAAATGTTCGCCAGACTTCTCGATGGTAACCACGTCCATGAAACCCGTCGGGAAAGTCTCGTCAGTGCGAACCTTGCCATCAACACGAATTATGCGCTGGTTGACGATTGCAGTGACTTCACGGCCAGTTAACGCGTACTTCAGACGGTTGCGGAGGAAGATGGTAAGAGGAAGGGATTCGCGTAATTTGTGAGGACCGGGAGAAGGACGAGGAGCCTGCAAACCAGCTTTTAGATGTCATACCGAGGATGAAGAGTGATTAACACGCACATAAGTACCACTAAGCTTGTCAAGCATCCATGCGGATGGGGCATTAAGCCGCTTCAAGTGCTTTCTCGGTCCTCGAGCCTGTCAATGGCACAGATTATTAGCACCAGTGTCTTCAACATATTAATCTCGGGCCAAGATTCATCGCTGCATGCACCACTAATGCCGACTTGTTGGTGCATTTCCAGATTTTGTAAACCGATGCCATCCAAGGTCAAGCCAGACTGGCACGACTCCATCCATCGCATTCTACCGTCATCCACCCCTCGACCAACGCAATTCTTCACATACTTCCACAGAAACCATAGCAAAGATGACCTTGACACTAGAAAATCATAATAACTAACCATGATGGGCAAGTTTGACGAGGAGTCTTGATGTGTTGACGTTGGCGAGCTGCTGAATCTCTGAAGTCGCGATACGAAAATCTAGCTTGTGGGAATGCATGCCTTAATTTGACCGTGAGAATTGAACCTCTAATTTAATTTAAACCTTTTCTCGCCTTTTTGTTCCTTTCTGCATATCGTTGCAATACACATTTTCTCCCCGAGTTTATGCTTCTTCTCGTTATTCTGGCCTATTTCTGCCCGAGCGGACGCACTATGCTCAACTCTGTACTCGGTTCTGTTAATGGCCAATATCCACCCAGTCTGTCGGCTCAGAGTCAAAAAATGTGCTGACAGATGGTGATTACAGCGTTTCCGGAAAACTATGAGAGTCGCGTCGTTCTTTTTTTCCCCCTTGCCACCTGCCTTATTTGGCAGGTGACTTGCCAAGCAACATACACAGCTTGCCATACAACAATAAAGTACTGTAGTTGCCTTCATAAAAGTTTTCAGACACTCCCTAGTATCATAAGACTAAAATAGCAAATATATTAGGTTAACAGGACTGTCTTAGAGGATGCTAGCTTCTTAACAAGAGTGGTACAATCATTCAAACATGTAACAACAAAAAAGAGGTAATTCTGTCAATATTATAGAGGGAAATTGTAATTGAAAAGGTTCAACATATGTTTTAATGTATAAAAAGGTGTATATTAAGTGGAAAAACAGTACAGAGGTTTTGTATGTGTCTAAACAAAAAGGTGGTTGAAGTCACCTGCCTCATTTGGCAGGTGGCAAGGTGGAAAAAAAACGACGCGACTCTCATAGTTTTCCGGAAACGCTGTAAGAAGTATTGGACTCGTCTTCATGGGCCCAGTATGGTTTATTTTTCACCATACATTGCCTGTATACTGTTCTATATATTGAAGCCTTCTGTAGCTTTGGATAATTGATATGTAGTTTGACGTCTTAATATAAACACCGTTTCAAGGGAAGGATTGTGTACCCGTCCTGCAACAGTACTGGGATCTTATCGAATCATTACACATGTAGCTGACCTCTACCTGTGTGCAATTCTGAGGGCTGTTCGTTATGTTCATTTGCTGCTGCGAAAATAAAGGGTCAGAATTAGAATTCAAGGACAAAGCGTCCAGATACGGAAGTTCGCTCGCATTAGTGAGTGTTTCAAGAGTCATGATCGGCATGGCTTGTACTTCATCTACACAATCGCTTTATGCTCCTCGCTCCCATCATCTACGCAGCCTGCACGCTCAATAGACGCGTCTTATCGCGTCTTTGAACTCTACAAGGATTCTCTAGAGTCGAATCGCTCATCACTGCTAACCAAAGAGCGACTTCTGGATGAGCAACGGGACTCTGAAGTCAGTTATAAACCAGCTCAAGTCTGACAAGTTAAAAGACAGGCAACAAGGACTATCTTCACTTCGAGAAGTTTTCAGTCGAAATTCCGTTGTAGATAATCTTGATCCAGATGGAGATGGGAAGAGTTGGCTCGTTGTGTTCCAAGCTTTGTTCACAGCTGTGCTGAATGAGCGAAGTGCGGCACTCAAGAAAGGCGGTTCCGTTGCTGCAGCCGAACGGAGGTTGAAGGAAGCGGCCTCAGCAGTGCGCTGGCTCACAGAAAGGAGTGTGACGCATTGGGCGACAAAGGTTGCAAAGCCGCTTGTGAAACACCTTTTGCAGACGATGGTACATGGTGGACAGCTCTTCGCTCCAGTTGCGCTTGACTATGTGAAGGCCCTCCGAGTCATATGCTCCTATGCTCCTCACCGAGATCATCTCATGATGAATGCTGGACAGTGGATGTCAATATTGTCGTTGAGCTTTGCGGTCGTTCTTGATGATGATCTTAAGACAGGATTAGAAGACGAGCCAGAGGTCTCATCAGAGGTCGAAGTCAACTTGGTTTTATCGGAGAATGAGGACTCTCCCGCACGAAAGCGCAGGAAACTTGAAACCCAGGATACTGGTAGGACAACTCCGAGACCCTCTGCGCCTCGAACAGTGTCACCTGAACAGATTGAATTCGTCGCTCTCATCGCGATCCTGTTGCGATCCCCACGAATGCGGCTCGTCGCCGCCGAACACCAAAGCCTAACCGGCTCTGTATTGAATCGACTCAGTCGTTTTTTCAAGTTGTATCCTGTTGAGACTTCCGCTCATTTAGATGCGATCGGGGCTGTTCAAGCGACACTAGAGTCTGTAGCTCTGAACGCCCGAGATGAGGTTATTAAAGTTGGTATCAACGTGTGGGACCATTTCATTCAGCTTTGGTCAACGAAGAGCCGGTCATTGAAAGAAGGAATTCTTATGGCCTTAAAAACGATGCTCCCGTATGCCGCACACGCAGAAGGGATTCAATTTGATAAAGCAGAAGGATTCAGCAAGTTATTACGACATCTCCTCGCGGACAACGGATCTCGCTGGGGATTCGAGGAGCTCAGTCTTGACTCGCTTCGGTTGGAAGTTGCTTCGATTCAAAACGAACAGCCTTTTGTAGCACGAACATTCAGGGCAGGATTCAATTTTTCTGCGACTCAGGCAACCAGCTGGGCTAATTTAGAGTTGATGGCAGACGTTATTAAGGAGGCGAGCAGGCATTTTACTCTTTGGAATTGTTGATTTCTGAAATCGCGACAGCTTTATCTAGTGACCGAGTCAAGCCATTCATCTATTACCGAGAGCAGACGGTCACGGCTGGAGAACCCGATAAAGTCGTTATTACAAACCATTCTACAACCAAGGGCTATTCGTGGAAAATCTTTCGCTCTGCAAAGTCTCTTGTTTGTCATTGAACGACACTGGACGGTGTTACATGGAGAGATGCAACTTGAAGTCATCGATGGCCTCTTTCAGATGATCACGACGGACGACACCAGAATTCAGTCCTGGATTTTCTGTTGCCTGGCTGCAACCGCATACGCAGACTCCATGAATCCGAACGGACCGCTAGAGCCCGCAACAGCTCGATGGGATGCTATCTGGAGCCATTCAATGCGACGAACAAACGCACCCTCGATATGCCGTGCTGCGTGTCACACCGCGAACGCTCTCTTAACGTGCGGCAAAGTACCCTTGACACGTATTCTGACAGAGATCGAGACTATGGCACAGGATATCAATGTGCAAGGTCCCACTGCACCATACGATTCCGTCTGTGCGTTCCTTGGACGCTGTGTTAGAGTCGCTAGTCAAGATACTCGGCTTCATCGGATGCACCTTGATGACAAGGTGCTAAGTTGGCTCATTGAGAACTGGAACGTGCTGAGCGGTGTATCGAGGTCTGCGTCAAGTCTCGCACAACTGCGTCTTGTACAGCATACTATTCAGGACATCCTTGGCCTGCTGGAATGTGCGTGCGGATTCTTTGACACAAGCCAGTTGTATTGTCCCATTCCTTTGCCGCGGCATGCTATTGTAGATCTAATCCAGACACAGATGGACACCGCAGCCATTCAAGAGTTCCTCCTTGACGCTCGTTTCCCGCATACTCAAGCGAGCTCGCATTTGCAGCTTGCTCAGCCTTCAAACGCACTTTCATCAGACGTCAGGAATGACTTGATGCAACCGGACTCAAGGGTTAGGAAAGCATCCGCATTCTTCCTCAAAACACTTGAAGCAATTATACCAGCTTGGGAGGAAGCTCCTGATATCGGCCCTCGCTCACCAGCGGAAAGCGTCCGTCGTGCTCTCGACTTTGCAGTACTCGCGATATGCTTTGAATCATCTATGGTGATGAATGGAGTCGCAAATAACCGTCGTTCGTTACTCGCAGCGTGCAAGCTCATTAGTTTACTGGCGCCGCACCTCGTTGAACTTAGTTGGTCGACAGAAGAACTCGTCATTCTTCTTTCTAGCTTCGCACCCCTTTCTTCCGTAGGTTCTGAAGATGGCTCAAGTAGAAAATGGGAACCATTTATTGACCCTGGAAATGCTACCGGTGTCAGGCATTCTCCAAAAGCTCGGGTGAGCCGACATGGACTAACGACGCGACATTCGTCGAGGCAACTTCAGGCAATCATCTGGCAGAGCTCTGACGTGAGTAAACTTGCTTGTGCTTAACATGAAATATTAAGTATTTTTGTGTATTCAGGTCCAAGACGCACTAGCTGCGGTGCTGACCAGCTTCCGAAAAATTTTAAAGACATACATTACCGAAGAAGGAAAGGCATCAGGCAAGCACACCTCACCTGTCCTCGAAGACGAAAAAGACGGATTTGGCCCGATCCGAACGTCAAATGCCCCGATCATCGATATGACTAATGAAACAGGCGATCAAAGTGTCTTCAAAAGAATTATATGTATGTGTGTCGATAGTATCGCTATGGCTCCAGTCTTGCGATCTTCCGAAGGTCAAGTGGCGCGAGATAAGACTTTGGCGGATGTGGTTTGTAGCTCCGCGAGCGTCGAAAAGTTCCAAGTCATTATAGAACCCTTCTTGCTTCATGTTCGGCAAGAAAACATCCGCCCGACTCCATCAAATATCGATGCTCTCTTGACATATATTGAAGAGCCTTTGCTGTCTTACAACTACGGGTGCTCGGACGATCTTCACTCCACTGTAATCCAACTGCTTGACGCTACCGCGCACATTTGGCTGCAGCGCTCGTTTCCAGCGGAAACGGCTTCCAAAGTTCGAACTGTAATTGCGTGGCTAGCTAACAATCTCCGAAATGAAACACTCTGTTGGTGGCGCACCAGAGACGCACTTTGTCGGTTTTTCGACCATTATCTGAGTCTCGATCCCTTGAGACTGTTTTTGACCGATCAGACGGATGGAGATGCACTGGATACTGAGAATCTTCCGGATAGTCTTCTTCCCTTCATGTCAAAAGATGAGGATATCCGAGTGAGGTTTACAGCAGCTCTTTCTTGTGCTCGACTATTTTCGACGCCATATATTCGTACCAAAGACCAGATGCAAGTGTACACCGTTATTCGAGAGCAGCTCTGCCGTGAATTGGATAAGTGAGCAAATTTCTTCCTTACATGTTGCTGAATGCTGACCATAACAAAGCTACGAGCACATGTTGACAAGGTTTCTCTGTTTGGCGGACATTATGATTGCTAGTTCTGCCGTAAGGCGCGGTCCATACTGGCATCTCTTAGAGGTGTGTCTCCATTCGGAGATTTACGTGAAGCACGTCGAAAGCGTCCTTCGCGTGGCAGCAGAGAAGATGGGTCTTGATCGGTTTTCGGAGTTATTCCAGTCGTATGCTACTCAGATAGCATACTCTGTTCGCTTATCCGGGAAGGATTTCTTTTTCCTTCCACCACATTTGCTTGGTTATCGAGATCGGCAAGAGTGTACGGAGGCGACTTTCACTGCGTTCTCACCGACGAATCTGCTTGCGGGTCTGCGGGATGGTGACGATCTTATTCAAGGACGCGGTCCTTTTGCGCACCATTGCGACATGCTTGGTATAGCTCCAATTGATGGACTGCTGAAGTGTTTTGCCGATGTGGTAGGATACTACATTGTCTTCTGGGTAGATGATCATCAAGTTCCTGGGTCGGATGAACCGCCATTCGGCGCTGGGGTAGTAAATGTGGGCCTTTCCGAGCTTTCTAGAGACTTACCCATGGTGTTTGCAAGTTTGGGATCCCCGGAATTTCTTCGCCAACTTGTTGCTCAAAATATAGATGGGATTGTCTGTGCTATTCTACGTACGAATGGGGACATGGACCTGAACCGCGATGGTGCTATCGTTAAAGTATTCGAGAATCTCAACAAACCAGACCGCTCTATTCGTGCCTTCCGAACTTTAACGCAGTTCCAAGATCAAGTCGGATTTGATACCCACGCGCCTAACCTACCTGCATTTAGTGCGAGTATTGTCCTCTTGGCCCTCGATTGGCTCTGTGAACAAGTTGAAGCGGCAAACTCGGCTGCGTCCACATATCACGTCATGCAATACTTTTTCGCAGCTATAGCTCAATGCCCGCTCGTTAACGAACAGCTTCGCTTGTTGACATGTCTATGCATCTGGATCTCGCTCGCATATACGCACTTCAAAAGTGTGACCTTGCTTAGGGTGCTAATGAGTGGCTCGGCCGCGTTACTCGCACAACCGGAACTTTCTGCAATCGCCCAGGGTATGTTGGGATGGGCCTTTATCCACTTGCGCGAGTTGCAGCGTGATACACCTCACGTTGTCGAAATTTTAATACGTATCTCCTCGATCTCACGCGAGTTCATGGAATCGGATGACGAATTCACGCGAAAGACGGGTGCCAGATTGAAGACATGGATAGAGACGGAAGTCGTTTCTCTTGCGCAAGTGGATTGCCTTCGAAAGCGAATCTCTGTTTCTCTTGCAGCATGGCCTATCGAGCTTAGCGAAAGTCTCGTCGCGGTACGTGGGGAGCTTGGTTTTGCAGAGCTGTCAGCTGTTCTGGATGATCCGTATCTTTCGTATCATAAGTTCAAGATAGTGCGGCATCTCCCAGCCCTTGCAAAGTCTTCGTCGTATGACAAAGATCAATTTGCACGTCATGATTTTTGGAGGCTTAAGGATAGTATCCCGTTGTCCGACATGGCAGCAGAGGAACTCGACGCATTTAACTCTTTGCTTATAACGAACTCTGGACATATTCGAAGCCAGGCTGTCGATCAGCTGTATGGCAGGAGCGTCGGAACGAGACAAGTTAAACTAAGCGTGCAGAAAGCCACCAGCTCGACCAAGAGACCCATTGTACAGGCCCTTGTAGAGCTGCTTACAGACCAGTCTGCCCGAGTCGTACACGTCGCGTATCGTACTCTTCGTCAGCTTGCTGGAAGCGAATCATTAGATTCTGCAGAATACGGTAGCTGGCCACCTGAATTCCGCGGTGATATCACTTACTTGGACTTTTGTCCGAGCAAAGAGGTCGGACAAGCATCAAAAAACTTGTCCGCGATCCATGAGGCCCGGTTCATAGATTTGGGTGCAGAGTTCACGCAATGGATTTCCGAAATTTCTGCGTTTCTTGCCAGTGTATTGTCCGCAAGCGATCGCTTCTATGCCCACTTGACAGATGTCTTGAAAGACAACTCAGACTTCTCGGCGCAGGTGTTTCCTGTGCTCGTTCATACTTTGCTTCTGAACGGCCAAAGGCAATCGAATTCTGCGTCAGAGAGCGAGGTAAAGGCCGTTTTATCCTCGTACCTGACCAAGCTGCTTTCGCAAGCTAAACTCGACGTTCAATGCCATCTTTCCGTAATCAACCTAATTTTACATTTGAGACAGTTCGACTCTGGAGTCGCAGGTGATGAGCTCGCGTATAATCGTTGGCTGGACCTGGACTTCATGTTACTGAGTCGTAGCGCCATTAAGTGTGGTGCGTATACGACGGCATTATTGTTCCTTGAACTAGCCGCAGAGTATAAGCAAGCCCCGGACGCAGACGACAAATCGACAGAACAGATACTATTCGACATCTACAGTCACATCGACGAGCCCGACGGCTTCTACGGCATCAAGACTCTCGACTTACAGGACTTCCTCGTTCGGCGATTCCACCACGAGAGACAGTGGGACAAGGCCTTCCAGTTTCATGGAGCCACTTTTGAGGCAGAAAGTGTAAATCCTCGGGGTTCGGGTGGAATAGTTGAGTCTTTGCACTCGTTCGGGTTTAACAAGCTGGCGATGTCAACGTTGCAAACCATGGAGGCTAGCTCGACATTTTGTCATTCTACAGACATGGCATATTCCCTAGGATGGAGAACTGGCACCTGGGATTTACCGGATCCTACGGGCAGCGGAAACTCGGGTGCTACTCTCTACGTCGCACTGCGGGCCATCCACAGAGAGCGAGATCCTGATGCTATCGACAAGATATTATCAAAATCCCTCTCCGATGAGCTTCATCGCTTGCGAACTCTGGGAAATGAGAACCTGATTCAGATCCGCGAAGTCACGAAGAACCTCATGTGTCTAGCACAGATCAGACAATGGAGGAGTGCCCCGATTCAGAATAGTCTTGTTACTCACTCTGTAAGCGTTGAGAACGGTCCGTGGAAAGAATTTTGTGCCATTCAGGACGATGTCGAGTAAGCCTATTTCAACTGCCTTTTACTGTACATTATCACGCTAACGATTCATATAGTTTTTCAGATATGGAAAGCATTGTAGCGACACGCATTTCACTCCTACGCTCGGCTCGGATGAAGGATCAGAAAGAGCAAATCGGAACAATGCAGTCGGATTTGACTCGTGCTCTCCTTCGGCTGGAAAGAAGTTGTTTAATGCGCCTTTCTGAAGCTGCGCGAGAAGCGAATCAACCCCAGCTTGCCTTAAACTCCATCCTCAGTGCGCTGCAGCTCGATGGGGATCCCGGTTGTGAAGTGCGACAGGAATTCGCGAATGTTCTGTGGCTTCAGCGAGAACAGAAATTCGCCGTCGACTGCCTAAAATCAGAGATCCAGCATCGCAAGGCCGATACGTCTCATCGTGATTCCGATCCCATGAAAGTCCAGAACGCTTTGGCTTTGGCCAAACTCGTGAGTGAGCCTGCTTTGCTTTACAGTACCGTTCTCACAAGTTCATTCAGGGTGAATGGACAAGTGAGGCTTGTCTTGAGAAACCATCCTTCATTCACTCACAATATTTCCTTCCCGCGATCGATCTGTTGGTTGGCGGAAGGAAGGAAAACTTGTCCCTCAGCGAAGTTCGAGCAGCTGTCTTCTACAAATGCGCGCTATTCGCAGAACAGCAATATCAGTTGTTGATGGCATCAGAGGAGATAAAGCGTCTCCAGGTCTACCAGGAACGGAAAACACAGGAGATTGCAGAGCGCAAGGAGGCAATCGTTAGGGCACCGACAAGGAAACTACAACAGGAACTCAGTGGTCACCAAAAGAAGGCTGAGGCACTTTACGCCCAAGATACGGCACAGCTCAATGAATTCATTGGTGCTCGAGAGAATTTCCTGCGCCAAGCAATCGAGATGCTTTCGTTGTGTCTACGGGCCTCAGATTCATTCGACATTGACGCTGTAATCCGACTGTGTTCTCTATGGTTTGCAAATTTCAAAGGGGATGCTTCTATCGTTCAGGGAAATATCACCAGGATACCATCCAGGAAATTCGTCTTCTTGGCTCATCAGCTCTCCGCTCGTCTTTCCGTTTCGGACTCAACGAATACCGCCAACCAGAACGTATTACAATCGCTTCTTTTACGAATGTGCAGCGAGCATCCGTTCCACAGCTTATACCAAGTTTTTTCGCTTCAATCTTCCCGTAGCGACGCATCGTCATCCAATCGACGACGGTCTAGTGTTATACTTTCGGAGAACTCACAGACTGATCGTGCTGATGCTGCATATGGCATATTTGAACGTCTGCTGAGTAATCCCGAAAGCTTGAATAGAACTCGGGATGTCAGAAATCTCTGCAACGCATACTTGGAATGGGCTAAGTATCCAATCAAGGACGACCCAGCCATCAAGGCAAAGAAGACCAGGACAGACAAAGCTGGCAAATTGTTGATTCCGAAGAACTTGGCCATCTTGAGAATTAGGGACTTACGTGTCCCTGTAACGACTGCTAATACTCCTCTGGACCCATCTATGCGTTATTCGGATTGCGTCTGGATAAGTAGTTATCAAGAGAACTTCGATGTAGCCGGTGGCATAAACTTGCCGAAGATTTGTTACTGTATCGGAAGCGATGGTGTCAAATATAAGCAGCTCGTAAGTGGTGCTTGACCTTTTGATCAGTTCAGACCTCGTAATCCTGATCACACAACTTCAGTTCAAAGGAGAAGGAAACGACGATCTTCGGCAGGATGCTGTGATGGAACAAGTGTTTGAACTCTGTAACCAAGTTCTCAACCGGGATCGACAGACACGGAAACGAGAGTTGAGCATTCGATCATACAAAGTCATCCCTTTGGCTGCACAAGCTGGTCTGCTTGAATTTGTCGGAAATACCCGGCCACTCCAATTCCTAGTTCCTGCGCACGAAAAGTGAGTTCCTTCCAAGCCTATTTGCTCTATCACAAAGTGTCTAATCGATCACTCCGTAGGTATAATAAATCGGATCTCACAGCAAGGGAGTGCTATAAGCGAATGTCCGATCGAAGGGCCACGACAGAACGGGGCTCGGGTGGAGCTGTGCTCAAGTCCGCACTCGTGAAAGAGTTTACAGAAATACGACAGCTATTCCGGCCAGTAATGAGACACTTCTTTACTGAATGTCGCAAGGAGCCTCAGGCATGGTTCGAGATGCGCCTGAAGTACTCTCGTAGTGTCGCGGTTACGTCGATTGTTGGGCATATTCTAGGTCTAGGAGATCGGCACCTTTCGAATATTCTCATTGACACAGTCACTGGAGAAGTTGTGCACATCGATCTTGGGATTGCCTTTGAGCAGGTGAGATGAGCTTATTGCCACTTGGTGTGATCGAATCCACTTACCTTTCGAATTTAGGGAAAATTGCTTCCGATCCCTGAACGAGTTCCATTCCGTCTTACGGCGGATATTGTTGACGGGTTTGGAATGTCTGGAACTGATGGTGTCTTCCGTCGATGTGCTGAGGAGACGCTCAGAGTGTTACGCGACGGGTCGAGCGTTATCAAGACCGTGCTGGAAGTGTTCAAGCACGATCCGCTCCATTCTTGGTAAGTGCATTGCGATCTGTCCAATTAACATCTTGTCTTAAGACGACTTTGTAATACAGGACGATGAGTGCTATGAAAATTCGCAAAGCTCAGGCTGGCCCATCGAATAATAACGAAAGTGACCGACCTGGGTCTGGCATCGGCATCGATTTAAACAGTGGAGTGGAGGACGAATCTGCGGATCGGGCTCTCAGCAGCGTCGCGAAGAAGCTTGATAAGTCTTTGAGCGTGGAATACACCGTCAACGAGCTCATTGCTGAAGCGACGGACGTTACTAATCTTGCACTGATGTTTGTCGGTATGTATGTTTACCCTGTCGTATTTCTACAGTATCTGATGCAGTTTTTCTTCTAGGATGGAACCCTTATTGCTGACCAATATAACTTCTCACATATTCATACCTGTACTCCTTTCTAATGCACGCTCAGACCAGTTTACAATTGCTATCGTTTTCATGCTTTCATTTGAAACTTTTTGCTTGCCTGAAACTATCATTGTTCACGCTCCTGTTCATGTCTTCATTCTGCAACTGTAACAAAATAGCACAAGAAAGCACAACTCCATCTCTCCCCTTTTTTATTCTCCTTGGGACTCATCTGGTAGTTTTCTCACTTTTTGGTAGTAATCTATAGAGGACGGATATGTGCATAAATTGACCATTAAATCCCAAAAAGACATTTAAAATTTAAGTACATTCCGAACTTCCTTGAGTTTATACGTCTCTCCTCAAACACAAGGCGCAAGAGTGAAATAAATAAATTGTGAAACCTGTCTATAGACACTGTCCTTTTGCTTCGCGCTCCGTGCTGGAGGACTGGCTGTACTATAATATTACACAGTAAATGCACATAGTGGCACGATAGCTGCAACACCCTGTCTTGTAGACAGAGTGTGAATTATGTTTTTCGTTAAATGATGAGAGACGATGAAACTATGAATTGTATTTGGTGGATGCACTAAGAAGAAAGAGCAAGTACAAATGCAAAGAAAATACGAAACCGTGCATGTTATATGTTACGTTATGTCTGTCTGTACGTATGGCTGGATCTGGTGGGTTATGGGTTAAGTATGTAGGTGGGCTGGTGATGCTCATGCTAATTAACTACGTACAAGGACAAGGAAGGGGAGCAAGGAAATACATATTTCTTGTTATAATGGACGGTCAACATCCGGTTCCTTGCATCCCCTCAACCCCGTCCCACTTCCCAGCACCCTCACCGACCACTCACCCATCCAGAAAGAGACTAATAATGGGAACGGAAAGTGAGCGCTATACAAGTCGACAGGAAGAGTCGTGAGGTATAGATCATTCCATCAATGAAAACATTGAAATGGGGAGATGGGGAAATATAGGAAGGGAGAAGGAAGAGTAAGAACAAAACACAAAAGATTAAGAAGTCAAACATGCAGACTGAAAAAAACGATGAAAACAAAACAATCAAACAAACACAACTACATCTTCAACGGTATCTCACATTCTCATTCCTAATGGCACCAAAAAAAATTGGCTTTCTCTATTTATTTCGACTTGGCTAACTCGCGCGCAGCTTTGATGAGTGGCGTGAGTGTCCGGAGGGGTTCTGACAGTTGGAAGAATGGGTGCTACAAAAAAAAACAATCCACATATCAGCATACATATACATCTTCTCCGAACAGAGTAGAAGAATAGTAAAGAAGAAGACGCACCTGAAGTAACTGCGCAGCATCCGGCCTCTTCTCCGCATCAACCTCTAACGTTTTTGCGAGGTAGTCACGGAAAGTAGAGCTTAGCGACTCGGGGTTCGCAATCGTCGGCGTTCCGTTCGTCGCGATCAGGTATAATGCCTTTAGTGGGTTTTGGTTTAGGTATGGGGGTTCACCTTCCACCATTTCTACATGGGATCAATTAAGTACTGTGAGTCAAACAAATACACGGGCAGGAATGTAAGAGGTAAAAGAGATAAAACTTACCGATGGCCATGATTCCGAGTGACCAAATATCGACTTTAGGTCCATATTCCTTCCGAGTGACAACTTCAGGAGCCATCCAGTACGGCGTACCAACCATCGTCGTACGCTTCGCATGCGCAGGGTCCGAGATCTGCGCACAGAACCCAAAGTCGGCTTTAAAAATAGTCTCAGCGACACATGAAACGACAACAATGATAATTGACAGATTGAAAGGAACGCATATACTCACTGAGCTTAATGTCACCCGTCATACTAAGCAGAATGTTATCACTCTTGATATCACGGTGAATGACACCATGACGATGGAGATGTTCAAGACCTTGGCACGTCTCTCTACTAACAGCTGCAATCTGACCCTCAGTCATCAAATTGGCGGTGACGACGTCCGTGAGGGACCCGCCCTCCATGTACTCCATCACGACCCACAATTCATTACGATGGAGGAAGCTGTCGATGTAATTGACGATATTCGGGTGTCGACTCGACCGCATAACTAAGATCTCGTTAATGATCAAGTCTTTCTTCGGCTGCTTCTCGAGATCCATCTGCTTGATGGCGACAGAGATGTTCGTGCCGACTTGATAGGCCGTGTACACACCACCAGACGCACCCTGGCCAATACGCACGAGGTTGCGGTATAATTTCGTCGGGTCCGCATCTGTACAAATTTGTTGCAGCCGACGAACGACATCCTCGTCCCGAGTCTTGTCTTTATCCTTCTTCTCACGTCGGCGAGGTGTCGGTGTGGTCTGGTTTGGCGGTGCAACCTTCGGGTGGTGACCCTGGATGGGCGTGGATGTCGATTGTGAAGGTGGAGGAGGCGGTGCACGCGACGGGCTAACTGTCGCTGGGGCCTTGTTCGGGATCTTTGGTGGGGCAGGAGGAGTCGGGGACTGATGCTGTCGAGTTCCACTAGTGGTGTTGCTTCGGCCAACTCCACTCGGTACAGAAGGTGATTTCGGCAAGCGTGCGGAGGTGGCTCGATCGAGAGTGCCTAAGCCCTGAGCTGAGGATTGTGCTGGGGGCGGGGCAGGTGCTGGACGGTACGGCTGAGGCGCCGACACGACGGTCGGCACCTTCTTCGGCGCTGGTGGAGGCGAAACAGCTAACTGCGCAACCGGCTTGACAGCACCCATCTTATCCCACACGTTATTACCTTGCTCCGCGCGTCCCTCCTGGTAAAATTTCACAATCTCCATCACCGCTTGTGGATTCTTCTCCTGTTCAGATCGCGAGATACCCGAGTCCTGCAGGAGTTGCTGCCATTCCCGCGGGAGGCCCGTGAACTCGCCGGTGCTCGCGTTGAATCCTACATGCGTGAGGTGGACGGGGTCGTATGGCGTGCTGATCTCGGGCCGCTTTGTGCTGCTCATGAAGTTCATGAAGCTGAGCATTCCTTTTTTGTTCGACCCGCTGCCCGACGCGTTCGAAGGTCCAGATTTAGACGCAGAGCGGGCGCGAGCTGCGAACGTGTGTTCAGGGGCAATGTCGACGTGGCCTGGCGGAGAGATAGGAGACGCGTCGGTCGTGTAGTACGGGTCGGGCTGCTGGTGCACGGTGGGAAGCGACTGACGACGCTGGGAGCGGTCTGGTGCTACCTGGCCCGAGAATAATTCGTTGAGGTTGACGGTGTTCTGACGCGATGGACGCTGCGGGGGCGACGTTGCGGTAGCCATTGTCGAAAAAGGATCTATGCTGTCGTCTTTGCTCGGTGAATGGGCGTGGGTGGGGCTCGACTTGAGCGTTTGCGGCTGTTTCTTATAAACCTGGCGCGGTGTCTTCTGGAGGCTTGCACGTACGCGGTCGCGACGAGGATATGGACCAGTGCTCTGGCTGAGCGATGGGAAATCCTGTGGGGGTGTCTGTGCGCGATGCAGCGGAGTAGGTGCAAATTCGCGATGTGGACTGGGACTCGAGGGTCGTGCTGCACGTTACGTAGTAGCAAAAAGTCAGCGTCGTGAGCGTTGATGACAGAAAAAGAAAGAAAGAAAAGCGGTGGTCGTCAGCGAGGACGATTCTCGGCGATGTGCGCGATGCGATGGGAAGAGATGGCAGCGCTGATGATGGACGCACCTGATGACCTCGCCTTCGCGCTGCTGCCGTTGGCGAGTGGCCTGTGCGTGCCCTGTGATGTGCGTGTGGCGGACGCGAGGGTGGACGACGTGGTGGTGGTGATGGACGAGGGGGGCGTGGTGCTGGTGGTGGTGCTGCTGGGGAGGAGGTCCGGCTGGTAGCTCAAGCTGGCTGCAGCCTGAATGCTCTCGTCGGCGAAGAAGTCGGCGTACTCCTGCAGCGACAGCCTGCTCGGCTTGATGTACTCGACCGTCTTTGCGCTCGCGGTGCTCCTGCTGCCGCTGCCTGTGCTTGTGTTCGTCGTCGTCGACGTCGTCCTGCTGCTGTTCGCCATGTCTGCGCTTTCGCCAAATGCACAAATCAATTCACAGCCCTGCACTCACTTCCTCTTCGGGATAACCACTTCCTCTTTGGGGACACAAACCTTGTTTATTAACTCCGTATTTTCCACGGTTATTTTGACAGTACAAAGGACAATTGAGATGAGAGAAAGAGAAGAGAAGAGATGCAAAGCAGAGCGAATAATAACGACTACCACTGCGACTGCCTGCGGATATATGCTCTTCGGGGAGAGCGTGGTCCAATCGCAGGGTCAAACGTTGCTGCCCTCTCCGGCGCAGTCGAGGGCTCGGAAGAGGTCGTCTCGCCGTTGCCAGACGACATCCACTGCCGGTCCGCGCCCCAGGCTAGTATCCCGAAGCTTGAAAATCCCAAGGCACCCACGACCGTATCGCCAGAGTAGCCTGGTGTCATTCGCGGCCGTCGATTCCGCTGCTCAATCTCATTTATGAACCCAGCTTCCCGCTGCTCTCTCTCATGAGCCTCATCCTCTCTCTCCCTTTCTTCCTTCCTCTCCTGCTCCTCTTCTAGCTTCTCACCCATCCCATCTGCCCGCATCTCCATCACGCTTGCACCAAGGACGAAGCATATAACAGCGTTCACAATGAGCATCCCACTGAGCACGACTGCAGCAGTCTTTGCCTCCCAGCCATACTGCACAGTACTCTCCTCAAGCCAAGTGAACGCACATACAGCAACGAAGAACGCAAGCGCCGCTGCGCCGCCCCAGAGCGATGGCGTACTGTACAGATAATAAAAGAGACGCGTACGCGTCACGAGGAACTGTGTAATTGTAAAAGTATGAATCAGGACTTGTTTGTGAAAAACTTAAATATACATCATTATTTAGTATGTACACACCTCGAGACGTCCCGAAGTTATGTTGATCCTACATAAAAGACCAAATAGAATAGAGAATGTACTCCCGAATATGGACGCCGAGACTGAAGCGTGGGTCATTCGCCGAAGGTCACCCGCAATGAGTAGATTAGAACTTGAGCTAAAAGGATCGTCAATGCTCGATTTTAGTTCATGATGGTACAATGTTTTGTTGTTACTCACGCAAGCAACAAACCAGACTACAATAACTGCATTAGTTCGGTGTATTAAAAGGACAAAAAGAAAAGCAGGAACAACATACCACAATAGTGATATTCTCAATCTTAAACATGAGAATAGCATATAGGCGTTTCCAATCACGATCTCTCTCATATCTAACACGCACGGATGTCAGAAGTTACAACACGCCCATCATTAAGTGCTTCCACACTAGAACTCACCGTCTTTGAGCATCCTGAGATGCATACCCAAGCATCAACAACATCGGGATCCTACTCCATTTATAAGATCTTCCCCTTCGTTTCTTCGGACGCTGTTGCTGCTGATTTTCAGTCTGTTGTACCTGTTGTACCTGTTGTATTGACTGAGACTCCAAATGCACGTCCGCATTCTCACAGCCTGAGCGGCTTGAGAGGACTCTTAAGTTGAGGAAGTTTCGTGGTCCCATAGCCTTTGCTACAGGAGAGATAGAAGACGGGAAGTGGTAGAAAGTAAAAGGGATGAAGCAGGCCAGTGCCTCACAGTCGGGCAGTCCGCACCTTAGCGGATCTGAAGATCATGTTTGAGTAACACTAGATCACTGATAGACGCTCAAATGCCACTTTTAGTCCTACCCGCTCACTACGCACCCTACCAACGTGGTGGTCAGGGTAACCTCAATTCGTCTGGAAAACACCGCAGCAAGTCTAGAGATTCCTTGAAGAAATACACACACTGGTCAACTTCTTAACACCTAGTGCAAATGGACTGTGGACCTCTCAAAGGCAAACGGCGACCTGAGATCTTCATTAACGGAAACAGATAAATTACCGAGTCGGAACAATTGGTCTAGACTAGAGTTGAGGATGAGCCTAACCGCATAGTCTTGAACATTGAAATCCTCAGACGTGAACATCATTGTTATTTGAATATGTTGATAACGATGAAGTCGAAGCACGTTTGGTCGATGACTCCAGTGATTTTGAAGTCATCACAGAGTCTCCAGGCTATGAACAGACGTCAGATGACCAGTTACAGAAGCAAAGTGAACGGGATGGTAGAGTTTCTCGACGATATCTCGACTAAATTCTGCCCCAGAAGTGGATTTTGATCAAAGGAACAGTCTATTCAGCTTCGGGTCTTTGGCCACGTGCACTTCCTTAGTCACGTGTATCGGGCATTTACAATTATGGACTTCGGCTGACGTTCGCTTTTGCCTGTTTTATTTTCAATGCCATGCAGAATTCTGTGACTGCATGCTAGAGCAGTAACGTCCGATACCCACCATTATTGCTGTCCCAATCAAGTCATTAATGATGGACTAGTCTGAAGAGACTGCTGAACCAGTGTAAGTGTTGATTTTGTGAAAGTTACGTTGATTACCGTCCACAGCTTTTAGGTTGCGCTAGCCGACTCTAGCGTAGTAGAACTCTCGGCGGAACTAACCCTTATCGCGTGTACTTATAGATTAATGATGAGGGTAAAATTAAATCTGCAGGTCAGCGCGACCGAACGAATGCTACAAGTGAGCATAACCGCTCATATGGAGTGTACAGTACTCGGAATGAGCGGGTACACGGTACACTGCGTGAGAGAGTGCTTTTCTGCCGTTACGAAACATAGAACCAATGACAATCTGCAAGACCATTGGCGAATTCGATGGAATGCTCTGACCGGTATAGCACGGCCAAACAGCATCAATGGTATCTATTTGAAGCCGTTTGGAGGAAAGAACCAGCGCTAAGTGGCGCTGTTTGACGCCCTCCTGTCAACAACCATCATCGTTCTTGTTCCTGATGTGTTTTACGTACCGGCCCCCGGGCTGGCTGGAAATAAGATGAAGTTTACTCGTTAGTTTTGGTCGTCGGCTGCATACCTCCTCTCTTGTACCTCCTTTGCCTGACTCTTGCACACTACCATTCGAATAATATTCTAAATGGATTCTTACCTACAACCGGGCTCCTCAACCAATCAAGCAATACCATCCTCACCTCTGGTTGCCTCACCAGGCGTTCAAACGAGTGTATACATAGAAGAGAAAGCTGTGCCGGATCCACCAGCAGACAATATTGGCAACAAGAATACTTCACTCGCTACGAGGACAGCATCTTCAGTCCTTGGATGGATGACACCATACGAGCAAATGACGTTCTTGAGGCAAAGGCGAGATTTGAGGCGATGGGAACTCTTTCGGGACTCTTTGATGCGGAGATGGTCAAACTTGAACGTCATCGTAAGTACATAGATGCATATGGTTCTTATCTCATAAGGTCCAAAGCCAACTGAAGTTATTCTATTTCTGTCCAGTGTGGTTTGATTATGGGGTAGGCTGGATTTTCTGTATAGCTTTATATGTTACACCTAACACTAGTTGATGAATGAAATAGTGCAGTCTCTACAATTGTCTTCGCCGATTTCCCACTCTCGCGAGCTTCTTTCACGCTTGGGATCATCTCTCTTCTGAGCAGCCTCATTGCAATCGGTTTTGGCGTCGGGCTGATCTATGTTCTTGGTGATGTGCATGGAAGCTCCATTGTCGTTCGTCCCCTTTCCATACTTTCCTCTTCCCATTCTATATTGTCCCCACTTCCATTTTGCAGTATATTGAATCCTTTATTGACGATATTTGTATTCAGATGGTCGATGACCGACATCCATTTCTTCACCTCTTTGCGCTATCCATACCTGAAGTATGGGCATTCATCAGTTTCGGGACATTCTTCGCAGACATAAGTGTCATTGTCTGGGAGGTTGGTAATAAAGGCTGGATAGTAAAGGTGCAGTCTATCTCCCATTCCTCATATCTACACAATCTAACGTGTCTGATATTTAACTTATTTCATGGTTACACTAAGATAGGCTGGAGTCACAGCAGCAGCAGTCGCCCTCGTCGCACACCTTGTCGCCTTTGGCTTCCTCTTCCGCGAACAAGACACAACACAGTTCCTCATACCAGACGAACCTGTCTTCACCACAGAGGAAATTACAGAACCAAAAGAGGCAACGAAATCTGACGAGCCACCTCTATCTGACTCATCGTTGTCTTATTCGAAGGAACTGTTGGGAGGCGGGCTACAATCTAGTCCTAAGGAGCTCGAATACAATTGATTGGAAGAACACCCGAATACGTCGTTTGGACATCAAGACGCATTACTTCCATAAAACATACGAAACGGAAAATAAGAGCTTTGGTTCAGACGCTGCTGTGTTGTTTCGCGTCCTCAGCTCGGGGTGGGTTGATAGCGATGATAAAGATCACATTGCATCCAAACCCTTCCGCACCAATGCATTTTGGCTGTATGAAACTGGTAAAATTGGAATCGATGGCTGTGTTCGGAGCGTACGCCAGGGCGATGCTGGCCTATGCAATGCCCTATATACGTCGACGTGAGAAACGAACGATAGGTCCCCTGCTTCGAATTCTTGGAGGAAGAAGCCAAGTGTAAATGTGGCAATGGGGATGTTGTAGACCTGACGAGTGTTGTCGGATTAGACTGCCTATCAGACTTTTCACAGAAGTAATTTGTTTTTACTTGTTGGATTAGGAGAATTATTTTGGACAACTATCTCGCTTCATCCCCTTTCTCTCGTCGTACCGTGACCCGCAGTTTCACACACACATCATAAGAACAGACTATTAGTCTTCTATTAGTAATATGGGTATCTCAGCCATTGATTTGTTTTCACGATTCTGAACCTATATGGCTGTCCTTTCTGAACAGCAATGGAATTCAAACTCCTGCCACTGTCACTGCAAGGTCCACTATGTGGTCTTCGTGATGAATGAATATACCTATGAAGTAATCTAAACGATCGATAATCGATTTCAAAAACATGGTTCCCTCTGATTATCCCGCCTTCCTGCTCTTCAAGATACCTAAAGCCCTTTCACCAATCCATCCTGTTGCCCCAATGACAGATACATATACAATGGTCTTGAATGTCTGATGTGCCCATTCCGGTCTGAAGACTGGTACAAGCGAGATTACGGTACCCACAAAACTGTAGATCCCTACGAACGATGTTGGCTCCACAGTTGTTGACGCAAGCAGACTAAAACGTAAAATGGGGATGAACAAGTAGAGAGAAGCGGTAAAGTCAGCCCGAGCAAATTGGAAGTAAGTACGAAAAAACTGACTAGAGTGCAGCAGAGAAGCCTGCAGCCAACCTTTCTCCAAACACCGTCGCAATCGTCCTCTGTCCCGCAGCGATGTCTGCTTCCACATCAGCAGCAGCGCCCAAAGCATGCACACCAGCTGTGCAAAACGCCAAAAGCCAACCCTTCTCCGCACCCTCTCCAGCACTCGCACCGAAAAGCGCCGAACCTGAAGAGGTGTATCCAAGTGCCCAACATAACCAAACAAGTGCCCCATTGGAGAGTGAATCCAATATGGGTCTCTCCTTGAGACGTAGCGGAGGAGAGGAGTATTGCCAGCTGAGAAAGAGGATGAACGTAGTTAAGGTTGGTTGTTGGAAATTTCGCGGCGAGGATTGCGAAGGGATGAAAGATGACAGGAGAATGAGCGCTGAGGCGACGCGCGCCGAAGAGAGTACGAAATCATGATAAATGGGATCCAAAATTCCACCCTCTAGTGACTGCTCATGTTTGCGTGGGTTGCGTATATCGGATGGATAATCGTACACGTCATTTACGCCGAAAACAACTGGGGCACAACGTCAGTAAGGTATGGTTGGATTTCATCTGAGATAACTCACTGATACATAATGGAAAAGACAAGCAGAAGAGTTGAAATCCGGATCGTAGGATGTCCAAAGTAGTTTTTGGAAGCACACGAGAGTGTATTACGCCGATCGTGTAGAGAATGGGTCCGAAGAACCAGCCAGGAACGCGACTCGCTCTGATTAGGACCAGGAGCCGCTGTAGCATACTTTCAAACGTCATCACAGTAGTTCCCCAATGCCAATAAAATGAGGTAAAACTAGCTTTAAATCTGTCCTTGAGGTATCATAGGTCGCACGAGAAGCCAGACTTGCACATGGCGGTAGGAACTTAGTGGAGATCAGTATGAAAGGAATTTCCAGTCGGAGTTTACATACGCATCAAACGTGGTTAGACAGCATCATCACACATATCAAAGGTTTCAGTTGAACCAAAGCCTGGAAGATTTAATACAAATATACTGGATTTCAAGTTAGTGATTAGGGTGACTTAGCAGACACCTTTTAGTTTATATAACCTGGCCTAGTTGAAATACTACTTAAACACGGAAGCATTTCAAATTAATTATTTTATTATGATGCTTTTCTAGTTAAAATAGTTATTAAAACTTTGAGAGAGAATGTTTATTGAATAGTTAAATATATTTATCAGTACATATTTTTGAGAAAACGGCTGAAGTTTAGATTATTTAATTTAAATAATAAGACTAACACTCCTGCCTAAGCCCAGTCTAATGACTCACGACTGTGCCTGATTGGACGGGTTAATGTATGGCACTGGATTCCCTTACAAAATACAGCTGATTAGAATGAACGGAAACATCGGATGCAGTCACCGAGGTCCGTTGGCTGTTTAGGGACTGCAGTGGAAACCGTCACCAAAAACCGCAATCCGCAACCGCGGATAGGTTATCCGCGGTTGAAATTCTCACGGTAACCGCAGTAACCGCGGTTACACTGCCAACGTTCGACTCCATACACTACTTTTTTTGTTTTTCGTTTTTTCCTCTTTGTTTTTCAACACAAAACACTATTTTTTTTACAAGAAGCAAATATTTGCATTGAATACAAACTATGGACAGGGTATATACAGAAATGTACATGAAATATTAAGAGTACAG